CGTAAACGGCACACGCAACCATCGCAAGACCCCCGAAACCCGCCCTTTCGGTTGCGACTTGATATCCCTTTTCCGTCAAATACGTACTCCCTCCCGTACCATCCCCTCACCCCTGCGCGCATCCCGTCTGATCTGGGCGCGACCGTTAGGAAATGGCCCCACACCAGGTATCCGCCTTTCCGTAAGTACATCAAAGGTACCGTACCCAGACATCGTCGAATGTTTGGGATAATATCTGGTAAACGGCAGCAAAACCAGGACCCTGAGTGGCGGCCAAGCATCCAAACACATACTTGAATCGCGATAAGGTCAGGTGGGTTGCCAAGATGCGGTGAACCTTTCCAGTACAGACAGACAGCCATGTCAGCACGCATCGTGGCTGTGATAGATCATAAGGGGAAAGAAGGGGGGGCGGGCGCACGCGAAGACCACCACAGCTATTACGCGGCACAAGGCAGAGGCGGAGGCAAAGGCAGAGGCAGAGGCAGAGGCAGAGGCGAGGTGAGGTGAGATGCGACGACCAGCAGCCACTTGACGCTATCGACGACGGCAACGTCGTTTTCGGCTCTATACGAGGCGTCCTTCACAATGCCGTCACTAGCTAGCTGTCTACGTGTACGCAATGAATGCAATACGCCATACATCTACAAAGTCTACAATCTACAGTCTCACAGATGACTAACATGACTCTTTCCTCACCGACTTATCCGAACTCCGACTCATTCATCGTCCTTGACAATCAATCTCATCTGATGTCAAACCCTACGCACATCTACAGACTATCCCCTCCTCCGAACCAGCCTATGGCATCCTATCCCGCCCCAACCTTTGACAAAAAAAGGACTCTCCACCTTTTCTGTCGTCTACACTTACCTACACTTTACCCAACTAATGCTTGTCAGCCTCTCTCGATCGACCGCTCCTTGTTCTTCTCCTCCGCCTGACTAATCCGACTCCCCATTGGCATTGGAAGCTTGGGCGCAGCACCTCTTCACATTGCGTGTATAACGTGGTGGCGGCGGCGGCGACAAGGCAGCCGATATGCGAGGCCGTTTATCCTGCGTCCACATTGGTCTTTACCCTCCTCCCTTCCCCCCCGAAAGTACAGGTCGATTTTATCGGCCCGGAGCATATGGCCCGAGGCACCTTGCTCGGAGAGGAAGAAGCTGTTTTCGGTTTCCGACGGGTATGGGATCCCCTCTGTACCCAAGCTTACTGTTTGGTGTACTGATGGTGCCCGTACTGATGCGCCTTAAGTCATGTCATCATCCCTTTCGGGGGTCGGTTTCCCCTCTTTCACATGGGGCTCGCCTAAGAAAAAAAGATATCGGTTAAAGTGACCTGGCCACCACTCGTATTCCACGTAGCCTCGTCAATGTTCAGTAAACAAACCCGCGTTCGTTGGCACGTAGGTAAGCAGTAGTGTTGAGGTTTCCATGGATTCAAGAGTTGCGCATGCATATTCATTGGTTCTGTTAAGGAGGGTGGGGGCGACAACGTATACCTTCCCAGTATGTAAGTAGCCGAGGGAGGGAGTACATAGTAATGGAGTAAGCATCATCTAATCAATGTACAAGTTTAAAGGTAGGCAGACAGGTTGCTTCCTAATCCTAATACCGCGACGTTTGTCTCAAAACAGTAGTGTTCAACATTAACTATATATGCTGTAATAATGTAATTGTTTGATATGGAATTTTGTCGAATCTCCTTTTGCTCCTTGATTAGAGGCACGGAGGCGCAGGCGTTTAGGCAAGGAGGCAAAAAGCGAAGGATATTCCAGCCGTGATTTCTCATGTATGGTTATGGAGTTTGTATGCATTTACGTACTAGATAGCCATGTACCTTATATGCGTTGGTTGACCTGCAAAAAGTCCCTCCCTCTCTGGCAGTGACAGACAGCCCGATGCTAATTCGTCAGAACTCCCTTCGACAGAGTTTCAATGCCGTCCACTAAAGTGCCACCAATCTCCCCTTCCTACCCCTTCCTTACCAGAATACCAAAATCTGCAGCACAGCCTCGGCCGGGCCGCGGCACAAATTGTCCACTCACATCGCCCAGGTCCAAGTCCGACGAGTGGCATTGGCGGTGGGATGAACGTCTATAGGCCACTTGTCTGGCTTGACTTCACTTTGGGGTGGGAGAGAAATGCCGCGCTCGTGTCATGATGGTGCATATCGCAAAAACGTTATATTTCAAGACAAGACACAGGCGGTGAAAGGGCCTAGACCACAACATGGTGTGAAAGCAGAAGTCTTTTTTTCTCTTTAAAAAATTACTCGTGTGTGTTCGTTTTGTTCCTCTCCCTCTTACCGCTACAACAAGGCAGCCAAACTCATACCAAACATGACGACGGCCACCGCCCACGTGCTCGGTGGTGCCAGAGATCCAGCTGCGTTGCCCAACCCAAACGGCAGCCCTTGCGTCTTGAAGGTCACATTCTGCGGGATGGTAGCATTATAACACTGCCCATTTACGATATCCAGGTTCGTCAAGTCATCCGGCACTCTGAAGAACATGTAGTTGTTCTGAGGAATATCTTTGAAGCCCTCGGTGTTGTACGGGAATTTGTTGCCAGAGTCGGTGGCACTGGTGTTTCGCAAGAAGATGCACTGGACCTGGCCCGGGTAGTCTTTGTACAACGCGGGATACGCCTTCATGACATCGGAGTTGGTAGTATCGGCCACCAGAACAAACTTTCGCTGCGGGAAAGTCTGGAAGATCTTGTCGAGCAGGAATCTTCGGATGGACAGCGTCGCGGATATATCAGAGAAGTTGAGAGGACGAGTGTCGAAGCTGCCGAGGGGATACGTCTTGTAGATGAACTCCATGTAGTTGCGGGTGACCTGCTCGGGGGTCGTAGTTAAGTAGTGGAAGTGGAAGTCGGGGATGGACGCCGACCAGTTGGCGTAAATCTGGGGCATGTTCTCCCACTGCGTAAAGGGGCGCGCAAAGGAGTTGAGCAGGCCCTCTTTGGGCTCATAGATCTTGGTAACGCGGAGAATGTCATCAATGTCAGAGATGATGGTGAAGCCCGTGGGAGGAACGAGATACGCTGTCGCGTTACCCGTCAGCGTGCCGTTGGCGTACATGTTGAGAGTCTGGATTGACGATGTGGCATTGCCTGGCAACATGTGGCCGCCCGTCGAGTCCGTGGTGTTGCGCAGCTTGACAAACGCGTCAAAGTCACCTTCGGCCGTTGTCAAGTAGGGCAAGTTGATCGATTGTGCGCCGCCACGAGCATTGACGGCTCCTCCGCTGGCACCAGGTCTCACGGACACGTCGTTGACGAAGTTCATGGTGACATTTTGGTCATCTTGTTGGACGACGAAAATGGACTCGGTGACATTGCGTGCCTGGGCTTGTTGGTCGGCAGGCAGGTCCTTGATGTCGACATCGATGAGGAAAACGTTGGCCAAGTCATCGACCTTGGACTGGCTAATATTGGGCTGTTTGAAGACGTTGCCGTGGATGCGGACATTCCATCCTTCGTCGGTCCAGTTTCCGTAGGCCCTGCAAACCCAGAATTAGCTTGTTGACACAAATACAGCAACATGTTGTTGGTACTTACGGCAGATTCAAGATCTGGGTAGGCTTTGCATCAAGGTCACCTTCGCTGATACCAAGGGTACTGAGGACCGCGGTGCCAGTGGGGAAGCCCTGGAAGAATGCAGGAATGCCAGAAGCTACCCAGGAGGAGGCATCGCCGAGGATACTGTGGACGTAGCTATCGATATCGTCCGTCAAACTGGGCTCTCTCTTCACACGCGTCGGTGGGTGTGTGATCATGGGATGGGCGGGATCGACTGGTGCAGGTGCAGCCAGAACGGCTGGGAGGAGCGCCAGAGGTAGCAGAGCTGCACGAAACAGGGCCATGGCGGAATGGGATTGTGATTTGCGATATTTTGATGGAGAGAACCGCGTTTGGTAAGGTAGCGAACGATGATGTCAGTCCCGAGCGGTGACAGCAGCTAGAGATGTAACAATGGCAACGATAATCACAGAAATAATAACTCGAGGCACCAGCCCAGAACCAACACAATCGACTACTCCGTACTGAGGTTGTCCGGAAGAAACGGCTGTGGCGCGGAGAAGAGAAAGAAGAATGGGTGGGAGAATGTTGAGATCGGCGGTCGTTGTCTCCCACCTAGTCTCTTTGGGCGAGATGACCGTGCTTACCTCTGCTTCATTAAGGTAGACTGCGGTTACCTTAGCAGGTGGCAGCGCCATTGTTTCTCCTGTCCCAGATTCCCAGTTGCCCTGAGTTGGCTGTGAGATGAAGCCTGTTCTGGTTAGCTTGCACATTGTGACGTCAAGTGGCTGGGAAGAGCATAGTCCGGGATTGACACATTGGTGGGTTTCAGATCTACAATGGGGCAGCGAATCAAGCTTCTTAGGTGGGGCTATAAGCACATGCTCTAGCGAATAGCTTCGCGTACCCTGCGATTACTGCAGCCAAGAGCCACAATCGAAATGGCACTGAACAATTGGGATGCACCTCGGTCTGAGGTCAGATAAAATGCTTCTCTTCGGTGCGCTGCGTCTGTTTCAAGGATTGTCCGTGAAGCCTCTGCTTTGATATTTCAAAAAAAAAAATCTCAAATCAGGTCTGGACGCCGTGCTCTAGGCCAATCTCCTGTTTCCTCTCATCAGTCATCAAACCCCGGAGCACATAGCACCAACCCATGGTCTACCCAGCTGCTTTCCCCTCCACTCATTTCCCATCCCCAATCCTGATCCACGTTAGCACCCGAATCAATTGTCTTTTGGGGGATCTTGGCAAGACTTATCCCCAGTCGTTAGGGGGTTGCCAATCTCGCCATTTCTGGAGAGATGGCAACCAGGACTGCCATCCATGGGCCTGTCCTTTTTCGTCCAACGAGTGCCGAGGCCCAGGTGAGACAGGGAATAGGCCAGCAACATAGGTCTTCCACGATCCCGGACAAGCACAAGACTTTGACTCCAACACGAGATGGGTCCCGACATCGCTTCAGACCTGTTCAGCCAGTCTAGCCCTCCCACCTAGAGCCCTGCGTGTGTCGCCCGAGTTGTCTCCCGCTCACGAGCCACAACCTTCACTTACACAGCCACCCGGGGTTCGGCGAATTGGATCCCAGTCTGCGTACTCTCAAGCACTCGGGAAACTCTCTCTGTTTGAATCGCACGACCTCCTTGGACTAGTTTTTGTTTCCTCTCCGTGCTCAAAACGCAATGGAGGGCATTCCGCGCGGACAAAAGACATCCATAAAAAACCGCGCTCTCATCCGGTGCTTCTCGCGAGAGCAACATCACCGGGCAAGTGTTGGGTCCCGGCGGGATCAACGTGGATTTGGCGTCCTCCGGTGCCATGGGACAGAACCCACGACTGGAGGCTGATGCGCCTGGCCAGATCACATGTGGACATGTCACATCCGTGGCAATTCCCGTGGGTGTGGCTCGGAGAGAAGCCGACTGGCTGCTGAGTCTGATGCTGACAACTTGTTGGCTGCTGAGTGAGTCCTGGGGGTGGTGTACTGGACAAGTGGGTGCCGAGAGCTGAGCGTGGCGATGAGATTCGTCAGACCGAAAAGTTTCTGTTTGTAGGCCTGGAAACTTCGCAGTACTGTCGTACGGCCGGCGAGTGAGTCCAAGGCTGGTTGTAGGTGGATTGAAACTTCGATATTGACCGTTCGTGGCAAACGCAATGCTCCTTCCGCTTGTCCGTAGCAACACCCATAGACAACAGCTTGTTGCCAGCTCGACCCTGCAAGCCAAGTCTACCATCTTCCCCGTGCGACCTGTTCTTGGCCAGAGTTCTGGTTCCAGCGGATAGGTCCTGACGAGTGGCCTCGGACCAGAGGCTCTTACCCATACGACTCATAGCAACCCCCTTTCGCGCACCAAGCGGTGACTGGAATGTGTTCCCTGCCAGTCCATCCACCGCGACCCTCGAGTGCGGTACCGCTTTTCAGCGGCGTAGCATCGAGGAGCCGGGCGGATTTAGAAGACAGATTCGACGACTGCGGGCGCAAGACTTGAACCAAAAGGATACTTAGGGTTAAGTTCCGAAGCTCATTCTCTTAGCTGGACTGAATTGTCTGGTATAGACAACCATAGGCCATGATGATTCCATCCGCGGCAAGCTCAATGTCCTGATTCAGGTTGAGGTGCGACGCATCACGGGGTGTCAGCCCTGGCTGAGAGGTCTACGATAGACATTCCGGGGAAAATGAGAGTCGGAGAACTGAGGGAGAGGTGTCGTGCGAGGGCGAGCCCTTGTCCAGGTACAGTGGATGTTGGGCGAGAGAACTTCCTTTTGCCGACTGCGACGAGGCGCACAAAGCTGTTTTCCAATGCCGTATCTCGAATCGTTCTTTGGTAGAAGCTGCGTATCCGGTGGTGATTCTTGCTGTTGAAGACGCGTCAAGCTGGCCTCTCAGCAGGTATTGAGGAGGAACCAAGCTGTAAAGGTAAGGTGGAAATCCAAGGATACGCTGGGTGCCAGACAAAGGGGAAGGAGCACTGACACGACGCGTAAGGTGTAGTCGCGCACGCGCAGACACGTGACACTTGGAAAAGACAGACAGTGCAAATGAACTACACACTGTATACACTTGACCGGCTCTCAAAGCTGAATTACTAAAGCAAGTGTAAATCCATCATCTTTAGCTCTACATCCGGCAAAGATGGAACCAAACACACCTGAAAAGGACCCTCGCTCCAAATTAGCCGACGAAATTCTCAGCGCCGGTAAGCGGGCTTTTGATCCATCATCCGACGCTGCTTCTCGAACAGCCGCCCAAGAAGTCTTTCAAAAGCTCATCGACGGGTACGTGGGTGCAGTGAGGCCCCATGTCAGGCGAAACCTTCTGACAGAGGGACTAGGAATGGCTCATGGAACTTACTACCTGTCTTGAATGCCTTGATCAAGCCGAAAACTGCGCCAGAATGGCTACGACCAGAGCTGATGAAGATACTGACTCTGGTTCCTCTTCGACCTGATGGCGTGAGAGGAACCATGGAGTTCATCTTCTCAGTGCACCCGAGCAGCACCCTTAAAGCATCCGAGGCAGCCACTCCTCAAAAAAGAGGCGCCAATATCACCCAGGAAGCCATGGCCGTTGTCACTCGTATTCTCACCTCCCCACCAGCAACTGTATCACCTGAAGATTGGTTCTCAAGGGTTGCGCCGCAGTTGATCGTGCTGCTGGATGGAAATGAAGGCGCAGAGCTTAGTGTAGCAGCGGCACAGGTTATCATGTTCGGGGTACTGGGTAGGAAACAGTTTGGCGCACCTGGTAATAGCCTTGCTTTCATGCTGAAGCTAGAAGCCATGCTGACGCTGCTCCAGGAACACCTGGTTGGAATGTCTTTGTTGAGCCTCTATTGCACAACTTGGATCCATCTCGCAAGAGCAACAATGTTGCGCCGCACATCAAAACTGAAGAAACCGAGATTGTTGATTTGAGCGAAAAGGCCGTCCTGGTTACTGCCGACGACCTCTTCGTCACATTACGCCGCATGTCGTCGATGATAAACTCCACACCGTACCCAGCACAGACCAAAAGAATCCTTGACCCGGTTCTCGCACAGCTGTGGGCTATATCGTGCCAGAGCAAGGGCAACAAAAGGATCGAGGACCGATATTCGAAGCCATCAAGATCATTGCTTCACACATTTCTGAAACTGAGTGTTTCTGTGTCAAAGTTACACGAGGTCGTCGAAAACCTGCTATATCAAGGAGAGTACACGAAAATGCCACAGTGGCGATATCAATCGACTTCTGACGGCGACCTTCAATTATGTGCCATTCCGCTGGGCCAGGGATCACATGTCCCAGAACTAGACTGGATTGAGATTCAGACACGCTCCGAGGCTCTCATACGACTCTTGACGGCGAGTTGCACACCCGAAGAAACATCGACCTTCTTTCTGGAACTCCTTGGCCGATGGTTTCAATCAACGGTCACAACCCAGAAGCCAGAAATTCTCACAAAAGCGGAAGACAGCCAGGCTCAGGATGATATCAAGCAACTTCTCGAGATTACAATCTTGCAGAAGATGCTGGAAAAAATCCCAGACAAGCTGATCAGCCGCGTAACGCAAGTTACTGAGTTGGTGGCTCAGATTCTGGATCCCAGCGGCCTCCAGGACCAGTCTGACGATATCATCGCTGTTGCTTTAAGCTTGTTCAACTTAGTCGTCACAGCTCCAAGCTTTAAAAAGTCGAGCTTGAAGGCTAAGGTTCTGCAAGCTCTTGAAACATCCCTTGCTGAACTCGGCGCAGCGGGACGCCCTGAGGTTTCTCCTACGGCGAAGAACCTGACGCTTTTGCTAAGATACCGTGAGGCTATCGATCCCACAGAAGAGGGTGCATTTGTGCCTACCGATAAGCAGGTTGAGGACAGGCGAACGTACAAGCTTGCACTGGAGTACATTACGCAAGCAGATAATCCTCCCCCAATCCGCTCCGAGGGAATCAACCTTATTTCGGGCCTAGTGGCCTCTGATAGTTCTGTCTTGGACGTGCAAGCCACCCTCGTTCTCCTTTCGTCTCTGCTTCAAGACAGCGAAGACTTTATCAATCTCCGGGTTGTGAAGCTCCTGACCCATTTGGCGAACAAACACCCCAAAGCAACCACGCAGGAGATCCTTGAACATTACCTGGACTCGAAGGAAACCTCGTCAACGGATGTCCGCTTACGCTTCGGAGAGGCCTTGGTTCAAGTGATTGAGCGCCTCGGCGAGACTTTTGCCGGTGACGTTGCGAGGCGCGTGTCTGAAACATTGCTGTCGATTGCTGGAAGAAGAGGTCATCGACCAAAGACGGAGGCCAAGCAGTCCCGAGAGAAACGTCTGCAGGACATGAAGAAAAAGCAGGCGGAGGATGCGTGGGGAGGAGATGTCCCAGATCTCAGTGATGATCTGACGGAAGAAGAGCTGGCCAAGAACGAGATACTGACCCAGATTGTTGAGGGATGGGAGAGCAAGAGAGGTAGCGAAGACGTCCGCATGCGAGCATCTGCTCTTTCCATCTTCTCCGTCGGCCTAGAAACCAATATTGCGGGCATTGGGCCTGACCTCGTGTCCATCGCAGTGGACCTCTGCATCAATGTGCTGGCACTAGAGCGGGAAATCGAAAAGGGCATCATCCGGCGTGCAGCCATCTTGGTTGTTCTGGGATTCGTCAAGGCTCTTGATTCTGCCAAGCAATCTGGTCGGAGACTCGGTTTCGGATTGACCGACCAGAGCCGGGAGGATATTACGAGAACTCTGAAATACGTTGCAGTTACGGACAACGATGGTCTAGTCCAGCAGCACGCTCGAGATGTGATTGAGAGTTTGGAGAATTGGCAACTGTCTTCCATGGTTGCTTCGGGGTACAATACCGGGGACCCGAGCATTGGGCGACTGGCAGGCTTGACCATTGATCAAGACCGATCACTCCCATCTGTCAATACGAAGCGTCCTAGGATAGAAGAGATTGAGTAAACTAGTCAGCGAATCTATCACTTGCCTCCTAATTGGGCACAAAAGGAAATCAAATTCTGGAAATCCTGCTGGCTGGTCTGGCCTTCCTCTAGCTCGGCACCTTGTTGAAGGTTTTGACGAAGCTGTTGGAGCGATCCGGGCCAGACCGGCCATAATAGTGGGACCGGGCACCCGACTCACGGAGCTCACATAGGAGCATAATATGCATGTGAAAGCCTCACGTGATAACGCGTTATCCGATCATCGCACCGCGCCACAACAATAGGCACTTTAGGATGTCGAGGGGGACTTGTTCAAGTACACAGCAGTACGTTTCATAATTCGCCCCCGAGCTAGGCGCGTGCCGCGACCCTCCCCACGTCGCGATCTTCTCGCCACACCGCGACAATGGCCCCGGCCCGAATCATCGCGGACTCGGATGATTCCGACGATGATTTTGAATCACCAAACAGTCCCTCGAAACCTACTACGACTTCCGTTATACCGAGCCAAGGCCGCTCCTCCGACCCCGCGAGCGTCGCGACTAATTCTACCGACCCCAAGTTCTTCCAGGCCATCTATACCGAGCAACAACGTGCGTCAGTAGTCAACGATACTTTGCGAAAGCCGGACGAACCTTCTGTATCCGACGGTGCAGCGCCCAGCTCTATACCAGCTATGCCAGCACAGGACAAGCCGCACTTGGAGAGGAACGACACCGGTTCCTCCTCGCTCACCTCCGCCAGCGATCTTATTGCGGGTTTGGACAGCCCCGAGGAAAGGGAACCAGAGGTGGTGGACCTTACGGAAGTCACAGCGTCGCCCAAGATGACTGTTGCCCATGCGACTCCCGACGATATGTGGGATGTTCCCAGCAGCCCCGTCGGGGGTGGTCGAGCGCCTCACGCCAGTCTCGCAAAGAGCAGAACCTCAACCAGGGGGACGAAAAGAAAGCGAGTGAACAATGTGGAATTCACGTCTCCAGTGGCTATCGAAATGCCTTCGCAGGGCTCTACGCAGCCGTTCGACACTACTCCGGCCGCCGCGAGGATGGAGAACGGGAAGAGGGCGAGACTCAGGAACCCGGATTCGTCTCTACCGGCCGAGGAAGACGACGTCGACATGGTGGTGGTCCCACAGGCAGCCGCGGTACCGTCGTTTGGCGACCTGGTCTCTGGCCAAAAGCCTGTTTCAATGTACATCGAGTCCCAGACACTGAGTGCAAGTCAAAAGTTGGAATATGAATACCATTCAGTTGGCCCGTCTCCGGAAGATCCAGCACCTACACCTACTCAGCCATTTTCGACCCTGCAAGCTGCGGCTAGGTCAAGCGGGGCCACGACTATCGCATACTCCACGCCGAGCCAGACGAGAGTGATTGGCTTGCCTTCAGCACCTGCCGAAGACCATGTCACACTAGACACAGTTCACGAGCAGACTCAGGAAGGTTTCGGGGTGTCAGTCGATCCAGAGGCAACAATAGAGATACAATCTTCCCCGGATATCATATCTGCAGCATCGGTCCGTCGGAAAAGAAGGAACTTGAGGGACGAACCACCACAAGCGACAGAGTCTCGCCGGGAAGACGAAGGCTGGGATTCCGACGACATTGGTTTTCATCGAGAATCGTACAAGCCTCGTCTCAGTCGACGTAGAGGTAGTGACGCTAGCCGACAGGACGAGGCTGAGATGCCAGGGAAGACTGAGATTCCCGTGGCCGATATGGGCCCAGCCGCGCAATTAACCCTCGAGGAGCCTGTCTCCCTGCAAGAGCCCGTTCCAACGAGCACAGCAAAACCAAAAAAGAGAGGACGGCCGAGAAAATCAGATATCGCTGTAGTGGAGAGCCCGGCTCCCACCGAGACCTCAACTACGCCACGGACTACCGACGCAAGCGAAGCCGTGAAGGATGCTGCCGCAGGAACAGAGGCCGCAACGGCAGCCACACCGACGACCACCAAGAAGAAGCGCGGGCGGCCAAAGAAGGTAGACAACAACGCATCAGAAAGCGTGCAGCAAGCGACTGGAAAGCCACATGCACCTGAAGTGGAGTATGCGGGTGATGCCCCATCGGGCAAGGCGGCAAAGCATTCCAAGGGCCGCGGCGAGCACGTCGATACACAGCAGCAAGGTTGCACAGCAGATGCGGGCAGCGGCCCCCGAGAAAAGGGCGGCAGCGATCGGGTGCTGCAGCCAGTGACGCCTAATGCGGCGCTCAGCAAGTCTAGTTCCGACGGACTGGGACCGCAAAAGAGCGCGGCAGCAGAGGGGAAAGTAGCGGCAACGAAAGAGGCTCCTGCGCAGGCGGATGGCGACAAGCCTGGGACGGCGGGGAAAGCCGAGGGAAAGCAGAGGTTTTTGACGCCTGCGTCTTCGTCGGCGACGAAGCCTATTTATCGTGTGGGATTGAGCAAGAGGTCGAGGATTGCGCCGTTGCTCAAGTCGCTCAAAAAGTGAACTTACGGGTTATCGGAGCTCTGCAGGGGAATTGGAGGGATGGCATCATGGTCGTGATTGTTTTACTCATTTTCTCACGAGATACCCAATGACATGGGCAACAGGCGTTAGAGGGTAAGCGATAAAAGGAATATTCGGGTGGTATCCGGATGACAAGCAGTACCCCTCATGCTTTATGGTTCGGGGGTATTCGTCTAGGTCAATTAGGCCGATTGGCTATTTTATCGATATCGGGTGATGCGGCACGCCTCCATAGACCACATTCGCAGGCGAGTACTTTACAGTGAGACACGATGTCTTGGGGTATCACATTGCGAAACAATGATAATGCCTTTGGGCGGTTCCAAAGGCCTCACCAGAGGCTTTCGCAAATTCAAACTGGCAATACATGTGGCTGGGAATCCAGCTGAGTCATACTGAAGGAATGGGAAGCAAATGGCACCATCAGCCGCCATGCAGCAGCGCGATGTCTCTATCGACTTTTGCCATGCCACGAGCCCCATTGGGAAAGAGGGGTGATGGAGGGGTACATGGTAGGTAGCCACTTTGGGTTTATGGTGTGGAGAAGCACGAGTATCAGTAGGCCATCCTTTGGTATGCGCTATTACATGTCTGAGGTGGTTTGTGGCGTAGACATGCCACATTTCGAAGGCGAATGCTATCATGGCTCTTCAAGTATGAGATGAGCTGAGAGCGGATGGTGGTGATAGACAGGGTTGGAGTTGGATGTTGGATGTTCAGGGGCACGCACGGTCAGCGGTCGGTCCCCTGTCGATGAAAAGATGAAGGCGCCATCTGGAAGGAAACGCCAGGGCAGTCATTGACCAATGAGACTGCGCGGTTTGAGCATTCCACAACCCACCAATCCCGGCCCCTTGGCGTCCCGTCATCGTTGAATTATGTCAGTTTGCTCTGTACGGAGTCCCGCAGTACACAGTCCAAGATGTGAGTGAGGTGGATATGGGCAACCCCGCGCCTCTTTGGCTCTCTTCATTTCTGGTGCGGGGCAAATTTTCACTTTTGAGAGGAGGGGCGGACGCTGTCACACAGTCACAGTGAACTCGGAGGAGGAACGGGACTGCCCACAACACCGGGCCACCTTTGAGGGGTGACCGACTCGTCGAGACCGACTTTCGGCCGCTTGTCGTAGTTGCTACCGCAGTGCCGCTGGTGTGTGACTCGCCCTCTCTCTCTTTTTTTTTTTTTTTTTTTTTTTCTCTCTTGCCCTTTTCGTCCGATTGCTTCCAAGATCTCAACGCCATCCTCTTTTCTCTCTCTTCCTCTAACCAAAGAGATCGTGCATTATCGGCGGCCCAGAGACGAGCTTCTCTTGCCGTCTTCTTCCATCTCTTCCCCTCTTTTCCGTGCTGCAATTGGGCTTCTCCCCGCCCCCCATCTTTCATTCTGCCCATTCCACCTCAACTCCCCCTCCTTCACCGCATGCCGCATATCGCAGACGCAGACGCAGACGCAACTATCACCATGGCCACCAACGGTACCAAGGGCGAGGCCGCCGCCAACACCACCCACACTACCTCCCAGCGGTATCTCAGCACCCGCGGAGAGGACAGCGGTGTATGATATCCCCCTTTCTCCTCCTCCGTCGCCTGTGCATGCCTTCCCTCCCCCCCAAAAAGCCAGCTTCGCATCGGCGCGCGCGCACCGTTGGATATCATGCTCGAGGCCACGCAGTTGCTGACCGCAGATAACTACAGTTCTCCTTCGAGGAGGTCGTCCTCAAGGGCCTCGCCAGCGACGGCGGCCTGTTCATCCCTGAGCACATTCCCCAGGTCGATGACTGGCAATCCTGGAAGGACCTGGCCTTCCCCGACCTCGCCCACAAGATCCTGTCCCTGTACATCTCTCCCTCCGAGATCCCCTCCGCCGATCTCAAGGGCATCATCGACCGAAGCTATTCCACCTTTAGAGCCCCCGAGACCACCCCCCTCTGCCACCTCAACGACAACCTCTACCTCCTCGAGCTGTTCCACGGCCCCACCTTTGCCTTCAAGGACGTTGCTCTGCAATTCCTCGGCAACCTGTTTGAGTACTTCTTGGTGCGCAAGAACGAGGGCAAGACTGGAAAGGGTATGCTATGCGCCCCTTCGTCTCGGAACCTTTGCGGGCCGCCACGGTCTCAAAAGATACCATGCAATGGCAATTGGCACATGTGGGGACTAGCTAACACGTTGCGCAGACAGACATCATCTGACTGTTGTCGGTGCCACGAGCGGTGACACCGGTTCTGCTGCCATCTACGGTCTGCGAGGCAAGAAGGATGTCTCCGTCTTCATCCTCCACCCCAAGGGTCGCGTGAGCCCCATCCAGGAGGCCCAGATGACTACCGTCCTGGACGAGAACGTTCACAACCTGGCTGTTACTGGTACATTTGACGACTGCCAAGTAAGTCCCTCTCGCGCGAGCGTCCATACCACTTCTGCCGAACAGCAATTCCTGACCCCGGGCTACCTAGGACATTGTCAAGGCTCTCTTCGCCGACCCCGACATCAACTCGACCCACAACCTCGGTGCCGTCAACTCCATCAACTGGGCGCGTATCCTGGCCCAGATCGTCTACTACTTCCACTCCTACTTCTCCCTCGTCAAGTCTTCCGAGACCTTCAACCTCGGCGACAAGGTCCGCTTCGTCGTGCCCACGGGTAACTTTGGCGACATCCTCGCCGGCTACTTTGCCTACCGCATGGGTCTGCCCGTCGACAAGCTCGTCATCGCGACCAACGAGAACGACATCCTGCACAGATTCTGGACGACTGGCAGGTACGAGAAGCAGCCCGCGCCCCCCGCGGAAGCCGCTGGCGGCCTGGCCCAAGACGGCGTCAAGGCGCACGAGGACGGCGTCAAGGAGACCCTCAGCCCCGCCATGGACATTCTCGTCTCAAGTAACTTTGAGCGCCTGCTGTGGTTCCTGGCCTACGAGTTCGCCTCTAGCGCCGGCATGGACGACGAGTGGAACAAGAGGCAGGCCGGCCAGGAGGTGTCCTCGTGGCTCAAGGACCTCAAGACAAAGGGCGGCTTCGGCCCCGTCTACCAGGACGTGCTCAACTCGGCCCGCCGCGACTTTGAGAGCGAGCGCGTCAGCGACCCCCAGACCGTCGAGACCATCAAGAGCTACTACAACAAGATTGGCTACGTCCTCGACCCCCACTCCGCCATTGGCGTGTCCGCCTCAGAGCGTTCCGTCAGCCGCGCCGGCGCAGAGGTGCCGCACATTTCGCTCTCCACGGCCCACCCGGCCAAGTTTGCGGGCGCCGTCGACCTGGCTCTCAAGGAGGAGGAGGGCTTCGACTTCAAGGCCAAGGTGTTGCCGTCAGAATTCGTCGGCTTGGAGGACAAGGAGAAGAGGGTGACGGAGATTGTCAACGATTGGCAAAAGGTGCGGGAGGTTGTCAGGGCGCAGGTCGACGAGGAGCTCAAGGCTGCCGAGAGCTGAAGGGAGGGTTTTGGAATACCATGAGAGTGTGGGAGCATATAAAAAACAGCATTAGAAGCATGCAAAGGTTTCTGGCCTGGCTTCCCTGCAGGACTTCTTCCTCTTTGCATAAGATGAAAAGTCTTGTTGAGAAGGGAAGCCAGAGCACCAAACAAGAGAAGGCGCTTTTTTTCTTTCCGGAATGGCTCAACTGTGGTTCTGCGATTAGGGGCCTTCTCGGTACGGCATTGGTGTCTTAGTTTCCTTCGTCATGCCCATAGAGGAAGTTTAGAGACGGGCATGCGTGCGATGATGTCGGATGCCAAAAGGGATGAGAGGAAGAGAGATAGAGAGAGGGGGAGATAGGGCGCACCTACTAGGCATTACATGGGCGTTTGTCTTGGCCTGAAAGCCATTGCCATCCCACCCCTGAATGTTCTGAACAAATACAAAAGCAAACCAAAGTACTTCTGCTCCTCTACTACTCTTTTGTAGAGTGGCGTGGATCCGTTGAATGACGGTGTATTTGATATTTGCTCTGTGATGGGTGACCCTTTTGCTGGATATCATACCGCGTGCTGGGGAAATGAGATGGAGGCTAAGAGGGAGGTACAGTACCTAAGGTAATGTAGGTTTCCCGATTCTGCTGCTATCGTCCAAACCGTAAAGACAACGGCACATGTCAAACCATATTTGCGAGGCTTGTGTACTTGTCTGTAGCTACACCGACTGATTGACGACTGCCTCCCCCGCCTTCGCCTCATCGCAGCGTGAGTTTGTGAGATGTCAAATGCACGTTCGGAAGCTTGAGTTTTTAGCTAGTAGCCAAACGGATTTGCGGAACGGGCGTGGCGTTTCGTTGAGGCGCCGGAGGCCCTCCAGCGAGACATCGCTGGAGGGGGGGGGGGGACGTAGGTCCCCGGAGTCAGGCGGTTGATTTGAGAGCTTCGTACTTGGGGGGAGGAGGGTAGTTGGAGGGTATGTAATGGAGAGATGATCTGTGGATGACGCTGGTTTCCTTTTTTTGTCTTTGTGGTTGTGTTGAGACGTGGGTTTTGGGATAAGGCGGTGACGGAGATGATGATGACGACGGGATGGTGACGGTGGGAAGGTGATGAGGTCTGTTATGTGTGCGTAAGGTATATGTTAGATCCCATTTGATGGGAATAGGGGACGAAAAGTCTATAAGAAGCCGGGTCCCGTCGTCTCGGTAGGTATGTCCTCTTTTGATAGATCATCCAGACATCATACACTTCGTCTTCACACGCAACTCAAACATTTCATCAACTCAATCAACCTTCGATTTCGACGTCACGACATCAGTCATCATGCCTATCCAGATGACCGAAGATGATGTTTCTCGCATCCAGGCCAGCCAGGTTCGTCACCCCCCCCCTCCTCCTCCCGTGGTCTCTACCTCACTCTTTGAGATTATCAGGGTGTTGAGCCGGCTGGGCTATGTTCCGTGAAGAGAAATATTTTACAGGCAAACACTGACAAGAACAATCATCTTTCAGGACAAGGGCGGGAAGGACATGTCCTCGGGCGGTTTCGCCGCCAGAGCCCAGGGCGCGGGCGACAGAAACGCCAATGCCGGGGTCGGTGGCCAGGGACAGGGCGGTGCTGGCGCTGGTCAGGGAGGACAGCAGACTGGAAAGAAGTAGGACGGCTTCGTGGATGGCCTTGGCCAGGAAAGGGGTTTTCCGGGACTGCTATGGATTTCTCGCGAAGGAACCTTATTTCTTCTCTATTCTCCACGCTCGTTTGGACAATGGAACTTACATGTACGGATTATCTATCTACCTAACTCTTGAACAAGATTGAGTTAGGGAATTTGGGGGTTGGGGATGCTGTGACGTGATGTGATGTGAAATGTTGGAGAAAGGTTTCCATGTGCGGGCCTTGTGAGAGAAGACCGTTTTTTTCTTCTTCTTCAAATAACGTGAATACATGCATATTGTGGCTTCATGTATTCCCAAAAAGACAAAAAGTTCGAGGGTTGACGGGATGGGAGCTTTTGGTTGTGGAGATTGATGGCATGTTTGGAATACAGAGGTAGTGTCTGCGTCGTGTGATGGGGATACTGGCAGTCTCTGGGATCTGCTCACAGACGTTCTCCCAATTCTCGCTCCATCGACGCAGTGAAGCAAACACCTTGCAGTGCTTGAAAAGTTGGTTATCGCTTTTTCCGTGGCAGAGGAACATCCGTGTCTTTTCTGCTTCCTGTTTTATGAGAAAGGAAGAGGCCACCAGCGGCCTAACCGGAATAATTTACTTCTCTGCTCAAGACACCTCCACGCAAAAGGAGTCAAATCCTTTTTTGGGTTCGCTAGAATGTCATGCCTTGAGTGGTCGAGAAAGGTAAGGAAGGATTTGATAGCATCGTCAAGCCTGATTTCCTTGCCGGAAATGCCTTGGAAGCGAGCAGTGACCACATGTTTGCTCCACCTCATGGAGCCAATTGGGTATCATTACAATTATGAGCGAGGCTAAGAGAGATAATATCAGCCGTTCATAGCCCCCAAATATGAGAATTTGTCATGGCATATTCGCCACCACCAACAAGGCTGCAGAATAGCGAGTTCTCAGCACCAGGCAACAAGACTCAGTACAGAGAGGCGCCGGCGCAGAGAAGCAAGGGGACGAAGAATGTAGTGACAAAAATAGAACGGATTTATTTGGCTGCCTCACTCGGTAAACAGTAGCGGATGACTTGGGGACATGTCCAAGGCTACAGGAATAGCATCCTTTCCAGGTCTTCCAAGACAAGGCATGACTAGAAGGCGGGCAAGTCACACAAGTAGCCGGCCAGCCAAAGTTCAAAGTATACAATCCTTATCCTAATCCGAAGGTGCCTGACCAAACTTGCGACTTCTACTATGGCAGCCTCGTGGAGGCGGTGTACTCGGCCGCGTAAGACAAAAGGGCCATTATCAAAGAATGTTGTTTCGTCGTGGTGGTGGTGGTGGTGGTGGTGGTGGTCCTGAAGAATCGATACGTACCGGGATGTGAAGAGGCAGCCCAAGCGCAGCCGCGGTGAACAGCAAGGGTTGTACAGTGTTGTGACTGGATTATGGTGGGAGGAAGGCGGTTCTAGGCACTGTATTCTTCCGATGACGGCGCTTGCTTACCGCAATGCGCCTGCTCCACGTGCCAAAACGTACCTACGCAGTACGTATCTAAGGTAAGGTACCCCAACTGCCACGGTCACACCTCCAATTCGATATCTTCAAGGACCAACATCTAAACCACAAAGAATCAACCGCGCCGTTGTACTCTCCTCATTCTGTGCCCTTTTTCCGTTTCATGCAACCTACAAGCAGCCTAGACCAAACCTGACCTCTGACTGAACAGCTCATCCCGCGAGGCCCGCAAGCAAACCCCCCGGGATGAACCGCCGCCAGGTTCAAAGCTCAGCCCCCCGGAGCTGGCCCCGAATGACCCCTCCACCCCCCTTCTGGCGCGTGAGACATGCCACTCATGCGCTCACCACAAACGACCACCCAAGTCTTACCGCGCACAACTTGTGAGGCCGTCTACATGACCTCGCCTTCGGACTCACACCTAGTTCAGCCAAACGGGCACCCGACAACCTAAATCCTCTTCAAACTGTATAGGGTGCCTCAACTTTGTACACACACCCGGGTCCCCTGCCCACCATCTGCCTTGCAGGGTACCTTGCCTTAGTATGAACAACCAAGAGAAAGAAGGGAACAAAGTTGTCCATCTATACGTAGCCAAGACATAAATGTAGTCGATCTGTATTGTTTACTATCCGTCAAAGGGTCCAGTTCGTACCAGTTTCCTCACCCGTCCCGCAGCCTCCAACGGCAGCGCGCATCAGCCACCGAGTCGGCGCCCATCCCTTCTCCCGCCCACGCGCTTGAGCCTCGTGCCCTGTTGCCTCGTCCTCCGATGACTCGCAGCCGTTCCTGCGCCTACTTCTGTCTAGTAAATGTGCGAAAGACGGCGAGATTCTAGTCTAGTGACGAACGTACCCAAAGCTCTGGGATCCCAAGTTCCTCCCTACCTTATGCCAGGGCACACCACACAGTAAACACCCTCTCAAGAAAGAAGAGGCATCCTATCAAACAAGGTAGAATGGGTTAGGAACCTAGAGCAAAGTAAAGACGAAGCCCTACCCGCTCCCGCTCCGCCATGCAGCCCCCCCATCTTACCGGTCCTCGTTGGTATTGCGAGACGGGGTAGTCTCCTGCGCTGATCACCTGCGTATTGCTCCGGGGCTCTCGTGGTCTGCTGTCTTTATCCCGCAGATCTCCATATCAAGGTCTCGATCTGCCCCTTGTTGAACTCCTGTCGGTTTCCGGCCTTCTCTCGTCTTCGTCCAATATCCTGAACCCGAAACTCTGAATACTGTTCTTGCGAAACCTCTCAGTTCAACTTTAACTTAGACAGCCTCACAACAAACCTTTTTCGACTTATACGGACAATCACCACCACCTCCTCCAGTATCTCCCTCTCGCCAAACATCTCGAGAAACACACCACAAACCACCTAGTCCACGACCACAACCCCTTCAGACCGCATGGCCACCCGCCGGTGGTACCTCGAAACCTCCCCAGACGGCAAATACCAATTCGTCTCCCTCAAACGCTCCCGCTCTCACCATCATCACCGCCATCATCACCACCATGAAGAACCGGCTCCGGCTCCGGCCCCCTGTCCAACTCCGACGCCAGCACCACCTCCTCCAGCCCACCACTGCTGCCGCGACGACTGCGCACACATCACCGCGCCCGAACACAACGACCTCCTAGACCGCGAGCGCAAGCTCCGCGAAGCAAACGACGCCCTCGCCCGCGAAAACTACACCCTGAAATGCGACCTCCAAGCCTCAGACGTTGAAGGCCGCCGCCTCTCGGCCCTGCTCATCTCCGCGCAGGCGGAGAACCAGCTCCTGCGCGAGGATAACGCCAGTCTGCGGCGGACGATTGAGAGTTCGGGCGGGAACGCGGGCAAGTATTTGCGGGAGGTGGAGAGGTTGAAGAATAAGCTGCAAAAGGTCGAGAGGGAACTGGCGGCGCGATTGAGGCATGGTCCGCATCATCACCACCACTTCGGACACGGGCTCGGGCACGGGGTGGCGGAGAGGATTGAGGAGTTGCGGAGGATTGTGCGTGCGTGGGAGGGCAAGTATGACGGCGTGGAGGAGCAGAATCGGCGGTTGAGGAGGGAGTTGCATGAGCAGCGGTGTGTTGTTGCGGGCCAGGATGAGAGGATTAGAGAGTATGAGAGGATTTTGAGGAGGCATGGGTTTAGCAGGTACGAATGAGACGGGTGTTGGATGGATGCGACGGATATACGTTCTTCTTTTTCTTTTCCTCTTTCTCAACGAGATATGGACTTTGGGCGTGATTGAGGATAAGTGTCCTCAGCGGCTGCTTGAGATAGTCTCTTTCTTTGGTAGGAAGGAACGCGTTTGGCTGGATGATATTTCATGAGGGAGCCTTAGTGAGTTTCTTCCTCCCTCTCTCTTGCTCACGGAGTCATCATGCCTTGGGTATGAGAACTGACATTCGCATCGGCATAGGCTCTCATCAGAAATTGCAGGGCATCATCTTCATTGGCTTCGATCTGGGATAGACTTTTGCTGACGATGCTTCATTGGATACTCCGTCATGCAAGGCACTGCGTGACGATCATTGGGTACGCCTTTTTGGAGCATCGCAGTCCCGACCTTCGCTCACGACACATTTCATTTGTCGACAATGGACTCCTTTGGCATTCTCACACGACTTTGAGCTTTGAAACGTTTTATCAAGGGGTATTATTTGGGGCGGATGATGGACCGATGGAGAGGTGTATTATCATCTCACTCAATGATTCATTTCATATCGGTAGTTATTACTCGTACTAGCCGTATTACCTCAACCATTCCTCCAAGCCTTTTGTCGAGTTTAAAAATTGAAGAATGCCAATACCTTGCTTTAAAAGCCCCTCCTCCTCGTGTTTGCACCTGAACGCGCCAAATTCCTGGCCAAGGTGTAACACACGTGATGACACTGAAGTTACTCAACATGAGCATGCTTTTTCTTAAAGAAACCACCCATGTATCATTATTTAAACCGTCTTTCAACTAGATCGAAACTATCGAGATTCTCATTGAACCTGGTCACTACATCCACCGGCGCATGGAAGCAAAAGATTCGCCTCAACAGCTCGACAGGTGGAGTGACAGGAATACACAATTTACCATCTTACCAGAAGATTTAACAACAAACCAAGACCACTCTGACAAACAATCTGATTATGCGGTGGTGGCTGTCAGCGGAGGGTAAGACGAACGTCGGCACCGGGTCACCAAGTCAGCTGTCTCCGAACCGAGACATTGGTTGGGCCAGACCTCATGACGCCATCCCGTTCTTCTCGTCCCCTTCTCCAACACTTTTCTACCTCCAAATTTGGTACACGCACTTTTCCCACCACAGCTCGGTATGCCTAGGTACACAGCTTGACAGCCAACAGTCCGGGATACCATTCTGGGGGATACGAGCAGTTCTGTCAACGTGCAAGGGTTTTTCCATTCATGTACTCCGTAGCTGTGCCGATTTCGTTTTACCCCCATGGCCACGTCAAATCAGACGTAATGGTGTGCAGCATAAGGCTGCAGCATCGTCTTGGCACCGGGCGGGAGAGACTGGCGTTACACAAGCTGTGGCAGCGCGCGAGTGCGCGATTGCGCAAAAGGTGTTGCGCGCAAGGACTGAAGCAGGTATGCGCGTCTGCAACGGGCCACGGCCGCAGGATCGGAATCCATGTTGTTGGCCTCACCTGGACCACATCTTTCTTTCAAGTGACTATTCTCCCGGCTCAATGATCCCGTTTACAAGGGGGAGAGAGAGAGATTAGCAAGACAGCTAACTATCTTATCTAGGTAGAGTGCCAAAAAGCAAAAAGCTCAGCCCCCCTCACGGAGGGCCTACGAAAATCCCCTGGAGACTCTTACCAGCCTCAGGTGTAGCGATGCAGGGGATTTTTTCACGAGACTCGAACTCGCGACCTATGCGAGCGGGCCAATTCACTCACGACTTTCCCCGCTACGTCATAGGCCTTGGGGATGATATTAAACAAATTTAACTGCTGTAGAGGTAGGAAGGTAGGTATTCGGGGCGTATTGGGGTTGCGTATTCCAATCATTCGCATGTCTGAGGCCGGGGCGATCGTGAGTACCTTGTGCCCTCTCACTTTGTCGCCAGAATGCTGACACCGAGGTGAGCGAGCGGACTCAGTCATCATCCTTGGGGCTTCAGCCGCAGCCGCAGGTGTAAATCGGAACCATGGAATCCACCAAATGACCTGCTCACGCTCGTCTCTCGCTTCAGCAAGCGCGCAAAGAACCAGAAGAGGGAAGTTATCCGCGAGGCACAGAAAACGACAGGGATGAGAGAAGTTGAGTGAGATAAGCACCCAAAACGTGCTTCTGCGGCTGAGGAAACCAAAGTCTTCCACACGTTCCTCTGATTTTGTATCGTCTTTGTTCCTGGGAGGTATTGAAAAGCAGACGTTCAGCTGGGCTCCCTCCCGCTTACCTCCCATGTCAACGACGGACAACCGCGGGGGATGCTATTGCTAGACACGATCTCTCATTCGATGACATTCGACACAGGTAGTATCACCGCATCCGAGAACTGAGGTGGTAGGTACCGGCCTTGAAGCTGACGGATACTATCGACATCCGAAGACGGACCTGCAAGCGTGACGAAGGCAAACAGGCAGCCATCTTCACCACCGTTCAGTCGCTGGCAGATGGGAAACGTTCAAGTGGGTACGCCGAGTACGTACCGTCAAGGGTTAGGTTCCCCGGGCAGGGGCCCAGGCAGTACCCCGCTCTTCTCCCGTCGACAAATCAACTTACACCTTTCCTTTCTTCCGTCTTCCCTGCCCCTCCACTTCCATAGAATTCCAAAACGCATTGGAAATCCGAATATCTACAAAGTATTCGGATAGCGTTGTCGTTACTTGGCAATTCTCAATGTTACCCGTGATGCTTTACCTTACCCTTCTCGTTTTAACGGATGATTTATAATCTCTACTTCGATGATAGTAGGCAGTAAACACTTCAGTATGATGGGCTTCGACAAGGTGCCTTGGCGTATAGGTATGATAAAGGATGATCCTGTTCTTGTATCACTTCGACTCTCTCGCGTTGTTCATGGCTTTTATTGGGGTATCGATGCATCAAGTTCCATGGTCCAAAATTTGTTCATTGTCATACGAAGTGGGCAAATCACGCAAGACTGGGTTTGCCTCCAACCTCCAAGAACACAATGAAGCGGGTGTCGCGCATGTCAACATGTTGATGTTGATAACCATGTCAGGTGGGAAAGTGCATGTTTGGGTAGAACGGCAAGAATATCGCAGAGATTCCAGCCTGTCGAGGCGAAGTCATAAAAGTACCACGCATACATCCTTTCAGGCGAGATTCGTAACCCAGCTATCAGCGATCCATACTCCAACCGAGTTGTCGAATCGTACTTTTCAGAGATGATTTGAAATTTTCCTGCTGCAGAACAAACCAACGCATCGCATGCATGCCCGATATCCTCCCGAAAGCCGAGTCAAACGCGGGGTGGGGGGAGTGGATTCAACAGCATTCGACCCGAGTAGTGAGAATGTCTTGTTGGCACTTGGAAGGACTCACAAGAGGATCTACATGCCTTGGCAAAACACGCAATGCCTTCTTTTCTCTTTTGTTCAAAGAGCACAAACGCGCCCTGGACATCCCGCGTCTGAACGTGAACGAGGTACGAGGCACAAGCAGGTGACTATCTAGCATGAACGGAAGGAAGGAATCCTACGCTAGAGGCACGTAGTCGGCGAACTCGGGGAACTCTTTAGCCAAGGCCGGCGACCCGTTGTCTAGGCCCGCTGCCGTGGGGGTGTTGGCCGGATGCTCTACTGGACCGGGAAGCTTTTCCTGTGACTTTTGCGCGCGCTTACAAAGCTCTCGTTTCAGTGATGTAGTTGGCGTCCAGCATGACCGTACGGGTTGTACGGGCTTCTTCCCGATCCAGATCCAGCCCTGTTTTGTAAAGACCAAAAAAAAAGGCCGAGAGTTGCCTAGCCGCCAAGGAAGATGATATCGCCATCTAGGAACATCTCGAGATGGTAGATAAGGGGTACCTGCCTATCCCGTCGAAGCTAGTAGATTCAGTTCATGGGAAAGTGTAAAAAGTACGCCACATGCCCCTTGATATATGCATTCTTCATCCTTCGAGTCTTTGACTGATACTTGCTTTTGAGGGGTGTGGGGTTGTGTCGTGATCTGGCCTACCTCCCTTGGGCTTAGCAATATCGTGTCTCCCAGCCCTATAACTGGAGACTGAGACTAAGGTTGGTGATTTCTGCCTACGGATACGGACAGGCCTAGGCATGAGATGCGTCCGGCTTCTTCCACCTTCTGCCAAGACAGGATGGCGGCCGGGTTCTAGACGGCTGGCGCCTGGAGTCTAAGGTAAGGTAAGGTAGTGCAGTGTACGTACCGGTGGCAGTCCTGGCTACCTAAGGTAAGGTAGGTATGGAGTACGATACGTACTTGTTGTAGACAGAGTAAGGTACCCAATGTACATGTCCCTGAAGGACTGAGGATGTCAGCAATTAACACTCTTTCTGGAGGGGCAGCAAGAACAATTAAGCTTCATTGGTTGTCGTCCGATGCTGGGCTGTCAAGATTGTGTTTGGCAGGGGACTGCCTGCCCTGCCTGCCCTGTGGGCTACCTTCCGTTGGTTAGCCCGTGGGGCGGTGTTCCGTTAGTCTGTGCTTTGCGCAGTAGTTACTTCGACTTCCACAAACCGCAGCAGCTTTCCCTACTGGACCTCACTTCATCATCCCGTTCGTCACTCAACACCATCTCCATCATCTGCCTGCGGCCTACAGCCTGATCACCACCTCATGGCAAGGAGGTACGGCTCGCGACGTTCCTATCCATCAGCGAACGGATCATCGTATCGAAATTGATCGATCCATGATCAGCTCGTCCATTGGTGCCCTCGAATGATCAAGATCGATCATCGTAAGAAAAATGTGCGAAGAGAAAACACGCGATTGTTGGCCATTTCCCGCATTGAGCGCATGAAAGAACTACATTGGCCTCAGTCACCAAACAATTATCACCATGGTCACGAATGAATCGCGTCCTGTCGCGGGGTGACTCACGACGCGAGTTTCGACTCCTGCGTTCTGACTTCTCCCCGCCCCTCCCCCCATGACCTTCCCTCCGTCTGCGAGGTGGGGTGGGGTCTTTCGCGATGGCCTCACAGCAGTACTCCGTACACACGACGATCACTTTTCTCCCACGACCATGGCGAAGCTATTGGCCGCGAGCTTAGGAATGCAAAAAGGCGATACGCACATCATCATCCTGGAGATCGGACGAGGGACTAAAGAAACAGGTTCGGGGGCGCAGGCATACATCGACGCAGACGCAAACGTAGACGCAGAAAGGGCCCGCAGGAAAGGACCGCACAGCGCCAAGAGGAAACCCGTTGACCGTTGGCCCGTTGACGTCCTTGGGCTTTGTTGTGCGCAACGGCGATATTCTCTGGCGGCGGAGGGGCTCCGTCTGCGGCAGGCCCCTCACTTGAGGCCTCAGGAGTGAGGACTCTGGACTGCGTGCTGCGCGCTGCGAGCTGCGTCCTGACCTCAACTCACCTTACGTTGCTGCGACTGGATTCCGCTAGCGACGCACGCAAACGAGAGCTTCGCCTTCTGCCCTTGGCCCCCCTGGACTCTGGTGCTGCAAAAGCAAAATGCGGGAGGCCGGACGCTGTATGGACAACGCAGCGGCAGCGCAGCCTGCCTCGGGGAAGGGAGAGACTGAGTGAGACCGTGAGACGTGGGTTGGGCGAACCAATCTCCCGGGTACGCAGGCGTGGCAGGCCGCATTTGCGAACCATTCCGGAGGCACATTGGCACACACAAAACGGACAGGCAGACTGGAAAATAAGGCGTCCCACAAGAAAATCCAGCAAAACGAGGCAACGGGGGAAAAGTGCATTTCTGCCTTGTTGGCTTGCTGGCCCTGCTGGCACCTGCACCGCCCATCTGCCAAAGGTACGCCAATGAGAGCAACGGCTGCCACCGAGAAATTTGGTCAACTGAACTTGAGCAATGCCCCCCCTTTTTTTTTTTCGGTCTGTCAGACTCTGTCTGGCTTGGACTGAGGTGGGCTGTGGACTGTGGTTGGCTCAAGGGGACCATCTTGGGAACAGCCAGCAGAAATGGGAGTTGATTCCTGGTCAACCTCTTTTTCCACTTTGCTTTCTGGCTTAACATACGGTAGTCCACCGGACGGACTCACTCACACTCTCTGACTCTCACCACTGGATTGTCACTGCCACTGTCACTGTCACTGTCGAGTCTCTTCCCGAGTCCCGCTCCCCTCTTTCTCCCGTCCCCGTTCCCATCCACACACTCTTCTTGACCAAATACCCCTGTCCGTGTTCCCCCCTTTCGTCCCCTTGTACGGCACCACAGCCCAGTCCCAGTCCCTCCCGTCATGACATCCCTGCTCGAAGGGTGAACCCGCGATTCCGCCGTCCGTCCTGCCTAGCGAACTGCTGTGGGTACGGAGTAGGAGAAGCAGGATGGAAGGCTTGAGGTGTGCGAGTGAGCCTGTAAGGTGAGGGGATTTGGGGACCCGCGATGACTCTACTCACCTCACCTCGGACAGACAGACGCACTCACTCACGCACTGCGCAAGTGCAGCAGTCGCAAAAGTCTGCATGGAGCCAAGAGGCAACCAAGCTGGGCTAAGCAGCTCCAGCCCTACATGGCCACTACCGAAGGAATACTTTTGGAATGTTGCTAATCTCCTTGTGCCTCGGAGCATCCACGAGTTCCCTCCTCCGTACCCTACGCAGTACATGCCTTACCTACCCTACCCAACTAGCGATGTACCCGTTCCCGTACCCTATGCCTATGGCATGGACATGTCAATGTATCCGTACGGCATGTATTGCAGGTAAGGTAGGTATTTCAGTGTGGCTACGTACCCGGTTGCGGTTGTGGTTGTGGGTTGCAGGGGTTAGGTATTCGTACGTTCTCCCTTTGCATCGCAACTTTGCTGTCTGCCTCTCTTAGCTCCGGAGGCAGCAATGCAATCCACTGCCAGTCACCCACACCAAATCCCATCTGTCATTCTCCCTCCGCCTCCGGCTGCGACTTTTCCTCTCCGTCAAGCCTGCAATACCTGCTTTTACAAATCTGGATAAATAAAATGTCAAAAGACGCCGCTTCTGCCTTTTTCTCCCCCTCCCTATTCATCCCTCAGTTACCTTAGTACCTGCTCATTTCAGGGTGCGGCTATTATTTTCTCTATCCCAGACCAAAATAACACCCGGTCCCATCTTGGGCAGCATTCAACCCCTTATATACCCGACTTGACTCATCTCGACAAGGCACACACATACGACAAGTATTAACCCGCGCCTACCACCACACCACCCACATTGAATTTCAAAAAATTTCAATTCTACTCTTTTCAAATACATACATCGCAACCGGATCGCTCATAACGGACATTTCGCTCTCACTTTCGTCGCGCCTGTCTACGGCGAAAAGGCTCCTTGCCTTGGACATTGGTTCACACCGTCAACTCACAACCCTACCGTTGATCGACAATTCCCCGGCCACCCAGCGCCGCCCAATAACCACCAACCATGTCTACCGCCAACAAAAAAGAGGCTCGCGTCACCTTCCAGACCACAAAGGGCCACCGCCACCAATCGAGCGACTCTAGCATCTCCGTAATCAGCTCAAGCCCTTCCGCCCAGGACTACTTCGACCTTGAGTTGAAGTACAATAAGCTGCTGGACGATATGTCACGACTCAAGAGCGAAACCAAAGCTCGCTACGCCGCCCTCGAGAACAATATTGAAGTTCTCAAGATCGACAAGAAAGCCTGGGAGCGCGAAAAGGATAACTTGCGCACCGAAAACCAGGTTCTACGGGAGGATCTCCGCAAGGCACAACGCCACAGCCCCTCTCGAGAGTCGACAAAGATGTCGGGCGCACTTCCCAGCCAACCACCCTCTCCAAGAGAACACAAGGAGAGAGAGCACAGGGAGCCCAGAGAATACAAGGAGCCCAGAGAACACAAGGAGCCCAAGGAGTCAAAGGCTTTGCGTCGCAGCGACTCCAAGCACCGCACCCGCGGTGAGAGCAAAGTCCGCAAGCCCACCGAGGACAAGGAGCTTGCGAAGCGCTGCCAGGAAGACAAGGTGCGCCTCGGCCGCCGCTTCGAGCACAAGGACGACAAGAGCACCTCCAGCGGAAGCTCGAGGGGCAGCAAGCAGGGCAGCTACATTGAGCCCATGGGTCCCAGCGCTCCTCGGCCCGCTTCCATCGTGGAGCCGACCCGTCCCCGTACCAAGCGCTCCGAGTCTACGTCGTACGCCATAAGACCTACCGTCCTTACGACCACAACTGTCACCGATTCACCTTACGACCAGCACACTCCAGGCTACCCGGACCACGAGAGTCCTTTCAGCTATGAAGGTAGTGCATATGGCCATGGCCATTCACCATACGTTGAGGATGGAAGTTATTACGCACACCCTCTACCAGAGACCACCCGCGGGAGGTCGCGTCGGTAAAGCATCCGACACAAACAAGCAAGAAGCAACCAAAAAAATTGGCCAAGCCCTGTGTGACACACTCCCAGCGGGCAAGGGTGGTTTTTTTTTTCTTCGCTGCTGAAAAATACGTTTACGATACTCTGCATTCAGCCACAGGAAATTCTTCATCCCTGGCAAACGCAGCCTCCAACCGATAAGGCGGTGCGGGGAGGGAAGAGGCTTGAAAAGCGGCCTTTTCTGCACCTTTTCTCCAAGACGGGATGGGCGCTCTGAGGCTACAGATGGGACCCCCGCACCCGCACCGAGTCCGGGCGCAACGACTTACTTGAGAGTTGAGACGCCAGCCGGTTGACGCAATTAGTCGGTTGACTCATCCTCGATGACATTCTTCGGCGAACTTGGCCGTTTCCCGAGGCCAATTGTTTATTTCAGGAGACGGAAATCCGCCTCCTCAAAAAGTTTTTGATTTTTGGTTTTTTTCTTCCTTTTCCATATTGCTCAGTCATGTATCAAATCCTGTACTAGCTCTCTCATGTCAACAACTCGATACCCAATACCCAATACCCTTTCATGTTTTCCACGATATATCATTATCTATATACCTGAGTTTCATCCGAGGTCATCACATCTTTTCATCACTTGACGTCGATTGACGCCATCCCAAATATAAAATAAAATCTTTAAAACAAACAATCGTTCCAAACCATATAAACTACTCGTACAACATACGTAAAAATCCCCACCGCCACAATGAAGCTGTACCCCTCCCTCAACCCCGACCTCGCCGACTGGGCCGCCCGCCAACCCGTCTTCTTCACGGCCTCGGCCCCAACCCACCACCCCCACATCAACGTCTCCCCCAAGGGCCTCTCCGCCCACTTCGCCGTCCTCTCGCCCAACTTGGTCGCCTACATTGACCGCACCGGCTCCGGGTGCGAGACCATTGCCCACAGCTACGAGAACGGTCGGCTGACGCTCATGTTCATGTCCTTCGGGCCCGCCCCGCGTATCCTGCGTCTGTTTTGCAAGAGCCGGATCGTGGAGTGGGATCACCCGGACTTTGATAAGTGGATGAAGCGTGTCATCCCGCAGAGTGATGAGGCCGGCGGCGTTGGTAACAGTAACAGGGAGTCGTATGATGGTGCTAGGGCTGTTGTTATCGGCGAGGTGTGGGAGGTGCAGACGAGTTGCGGGTATGGCGTGCCCATGGTGAGGAGGGAGCTTTATGCGCCTGCCACGGCGTCGGAGGACGGGACGCTAGAGAAGGCGACGCAGCAGCGGCCGCAGCGGCACGACACTATCGATACCGGAAAGGAGGACACCGCCCAGACGAAGAGAGACGAACTCTCCGTCTTTGAAGAGCGTCCCACGCTCGACTACTACTGGAAAAAGCGCGTCGACAATAATACCGTGAATACCTACCAGGTCGAGACGAACCGCACCTCCATCGACGGGTTACCCGGGCTGAAGGCAGCGAGGCGGGATGCCGGGGAGACGCTCTGGGTCGCGGACCTCAAGGCGGAGGTGCTGCGCGCTGCGAGGGAGACGAGGGGTGTTTTGTTGGGGGTTTTGATTGCTGTTTTGGTGTATTTTGGTACTGGGGTGGTGGGTGGGTTGGTTGTGAGGTGGAGGGAGGGGAGGGAGCATAATTGGATTTGGCCTAATTGAGGCTGTGGTTTTGATACATTGGGATGGGAATGGTTGGTCATGGAGATTGCTCAACTTTGAAGTTTTTTTTTTCTTGAAAAAAAAAGGTAGATGATGGGCGTGGCAGGAAGTAGTAAATGCGAAATGCCAGTTGGCTGTTTTTGGGAATGACCGTGGTGGCATCTGTTGTCAATTGCGAAGCTATCGCGAAATCCCAATAGCGGAATGAGAAGGAGTGCTAATGGGAGAGTGTGAGAAAGCTTGTATCGGATTATGGTCGCCCGAATTCCACATAACAGACTGGAACCTCCGTAAACTCACGATTCTGTCCTATTAGGATAATCTCTACTTGATTCTCATACTCCTCGGCCACTCGTGATGATCTCTCAGGTCAAGGTGCGCTTACGACAGCCAACCACCAACCATCGACTACCTCCTCCCGCCAAACCCTTTGCGCTGATCACACCCCAACGCCACATCCTCTGCAATGCACAATGCTGCTGGTATCGGCGGGTGATATCGTCAAAGAATAATCGATATTGTGGATGGCGCGGGGAGGGGGGCAACTGCATCCAGCGAACCGGGTGTTGCGTCGCCCATACTCCGTACCTCTTCATCGCATCGTGGCCCTCACTCATTAGGCCCGTTGGGCAGAAACGCAGGTGGTGCGCAGGTACGCAATAACGCCCACCCATTGCCTATACTTGCTGACCCTTCCCGCACCTGCGAACCCGCATGCTGCGCTCTTCTTTCACACGTGGGAATCGACCATGCGAGGTACAATCACTTTTCAAAACGAATGCAAAAAATTCTTTGCCTTGCGTCTTCCCTCCCCTTGGATCATCCCGTGCCTGCAGCAGGGGCGGCGGACTCGCGCGCCGCATCCTTGTTGCCGCTGTTGCTGCCCGACGCACCAGCCGCCGCGGCCTTACCACCACCACGACCACGCCTGGTCCGCTTATGGTGCTCCGGCTTCTCGGAAGGCGTGGCGTTGCTGTTAGATGCATTGGTCGTCGATGGTGCAGCAGAGCTAGAGCTTGCTGCTGCGGTATTGGCTGCCTTGCTGTTGTTGGAGTTATTGGCGTTCGAGTTCGAGTTCGAGGCGGCAGGCTTCTTCTCCTTGCGCTCAAGAACTTGGACTGTGCCCTGGGCAACCTGTATGGGGCTCGCGGCAACTGCCTTTACGAGACCGTCGTGATCGGAGAAGTCAACATAGGCAAAGCCCTTGCGCTTGTCGATTTCCACAAAGGTGACGGTGCCAAAAACCTCCATAGCTTGCTTGAGGAGTGCCTCGGTTACACCTTGTGATGGATTTGCGTGCTTGACGAAACCACGGGTCACGCCAGCGGTGACGGCCGCAGTGCTCTTCTTTGCGTTGCTGCCCTTGCCTGATGCCTTAGGACCGGTAGGGGCGTTGGACTTGGCATTCGCTGGCGCAGCGGCTGGCTGCGAATTCGAGCTCGATGCTTCCTTATCGGTCTTGGCAGCCTTTTCCTTGTTCTTCTCCTCGTCCTTCTTCTTAAGCAAGATGACCGGTGCTTTGGCAGGTGCCGGAGCGCTAGAAGAGCCGCTCGCCTCGGTTGACTTGCCCTTTGGTTCATTGGCACTTGCGTTCTTTCCACCACCGCCTCTTCTAGAACGACCTGACTTAGGTGCCGTGGGCGTGGCGTTTCTCTCGGACGTTTGTGAAGCAGCTGAGGATGCCGGAGCGGGAGCCGGGACGGGTGGCGGAGCAGCGGCTGGGGCTTCGACCACTGGCTGAGCTGCTTCCTTTGACGATGTTCCCTTCGAATCGGCCTCAGCTTTGGCAGCATCGAGTCGTGCCCTCCTATGGGCGCTTCCGGGGCTGATGCCAAGGTCTCGCTGCAAGATGCGGGCAGCAGCCGCAATACCAGCTCGCCTACTCTTGGGCTGATCCTGAGACGAGGAAGAGGAGGCCTGCGTGATCTGGCTGGCGACAGCTTCTGCGGCCTTAACAGCGTCCGCAGTGGCCTTTTTGGTGAGGATTTTGACCGTCTCTTTGGGTTTATCGGCCGATTTGTCTCCCTTAGAGTCCTTCTTGCCTTTCTTTGAATCCTCCGCCGTTGATGCCGACGACTTGCCCTTGGTGCTGGAGTCTTGCCGAGCCTGCTTAGCGCTCTTAGCGGCGGCAGCCTCTTTCTGCTTGTTGGCCTTCTTTTCCTTGAGAAACTCAATCAACGGTGTCGTTGTGACCTTCGTTTCGGGCTTCGTTTCCTCCACATCCTTGTTCTCATTGCTCTCATTATCTTTATCAATCTCAGGATTGGTCAAGGATTGTAGAAAGGCCATGAACTCGGGGTCCTGATCAATAGTTCCCTGCCTTGGGTCGGTGCGCTTCTTGCTACTGGGGACTTTGTTGTATATCGCAAACTCGAGAACGGGCGGGCCGACTAGGGAAGCGCTATTGGATGTCATCTTTGCATCTTCCCAAGACTTGGCCTGAATTAGATTCGACAACGTGTTAAGGCTCTCGCGCTTAAGAACATGAAGATAGACTCGTCCTGGCCTCGATGGCTTCGCAGGGCTAGGCGCAAGAAGCATTAGCCACCAACCCTTGGACACATGGGAGCAAGCACATACTCATGAGAGATCTTCCCAGCCTCAAAGTTGTGCCAGCTAACGAGGCCATTGCCGGCCTTCCATTCGTCGCCTAGGTTGTTCCATAATTCTTGCTCCGTCATGCCAGGGGGCAGTCTTCGAATAACAACCTTGTCGCCCTCGACGGGAGTCCTACTCTTATTGGACTTTGGCGCATCAGTAGTGGCCTGTTGGCCGGAGACCGAAAGAACTCCATTTGTCTTTCGAGATGCGCCTTGGGCGCCAGAGGTTGCCATTGTGGAATAGATAGCCTTATATGCGTATGCTCGTGATCAATACCTGATAGAGGATGGCTACGCTGTTTTTGTTTGGTTATTGTTTCTTGTCTTGTAGCCTGGTGATAAGCTGTGCAAGAAACATTGGAAAATGTTTAAGTGGGAGTGTTCCGAAAGACGAAGTCTGCTGCGCAAAGGGTCCAAGAAGGTGTGTGCAAGACCTGGCTCAGATGTCAAAAGGTGATGTGATGGCAGGGTAGTGACGCGGGGCTTTGGGTTCACCTTAACTTCAGATCTGAAAGAATGGCTCACAACGGGCCACTGCCTCATGTGGGCCTTATCTTATCTTTTGCACTAGCCCTTTTTGGATAGCTTTGTCTGGGTGGGGCTCAAGGGCTGTCCTTCCACTCCTCACCTCACACAGCCCCACAAACTTCACTTCGGAAAAACCTCGGCAGAAACACAACCTCTCACAGAGCATCTTCGGTCAAATAATATTCCGATACACCTAATATTCCGAGGTTCACCCAGCACCCACCAGCCATCAAGATGGCAGGTCAAGAGAAAGAAGGTGGTACCTCGAACATCAAGGACAAAGAAATCGAGGATATCGACGTCTACCCGGAGACCTTTCCGGATTTCAAACAGTTGAAAATAGCTTCACCTGCCCAAGCTACGGAAGGAAGTCATTCACGGGAAGCTGCGACGAGTTCTGAGTACAGAGAGCCGACTGCGCAAGAGATCGAAGCGGCCATCCGACGAGCAAACAGCTATCAGAATAATCCGCTTACCAACACTGTCAGACGGCGCAGACCGACTGGCGACCGTGCTCGCAACCGCAGCGCAGCCGTATCTTTTCAACTCCCTTCAGTTCCACCGGGCGCAACTCCCATCAACCTCGGAGCGCATCATCCTACCAGTCCCCAGCAGGTGCCTGTCGCATCTGAACGTGCTACCCCAGCGTCCGTCCGCGGTCGTGGAATTCCAGTCCCTGGTCGTTCTGGCTACATCCCCACCCTCCCCCCTCTTAGCAATCCGCCGCGCCGACAACTCAGAGACCCCAACTCAGGCCGTCCCGTTGTAGTTGGAGGTTTCGATAACCTGCTCGACGAGTACAACCAGCGAGTTCTGCGTCGCAAAGCCCATGACCAGCGGACTCTCGAATCATTCTTGCAGAATTCGTCACCCGAAAGCACCTGGAACTCACAGAACCCTCGTCCTCTACCAGAGCTCCCCCCTGCTAGCACTGCCCAGCAGTCCACAACAGCCGCACCCAGCCGTGCTGCCCATAATACCCCTCCGACGCTCCCCGCTCAGAACAGTGCTCCACCGCACCCTTCGCCTTTGCAGTCACACCCGGTCGCCTTGAATCAGCAGGAGCCTTTTCCAACGCCCTCACGTCGCCGTGCCCGGTCCGCATCATTCTCAACACCGTCGAACGCCTCTTCTCTCGCTTTCTACGGCCCGGCTCAAAATCAACCTCCCCCTGAGACCATCCAGGAGGAATCATCGACCGAATACGAGGAACTCGATCACTCTGAGGAGCCCGATATTCGCACCGCACAAATTGGTCGCTCCATTCAACAGTCCAACGGTTCATCGCACGTTTCGCTCCGCGGCGGAAGTCTTGATCTTGACGATTTCCCAGAGGATTTCGATCCGAGCTACTACGAGTCCGACGATATCGACGACGACATCGACGACGACTTGGCTGTGTATTACACCGAATTCAATCCAAACATTTCCGAGGACTTCAACCCGTACGACATCGAGGCAACATCTCAGGTGCATACCCAAGTACTCGAAAAAATGGCGAGCCACATCCCCCGACCCGGCCCCGCCAAACTCTCTCCCAATGCGGGCTTAGACGAGTGGCTGGAGGAAGCCAAGCAGTGTCATTACTTGCCCGAGCGCGCCATGAAAGAGCTGTGCGAGCTTGTAAAGGAGGTACTCATGGAGGGTGAGGAATACTATAATCCTCTCTTCTCTAACCTTGTGCTGACTTGTGGAATCTAGAATCCAATATTCAGCCTGTGTGCACCCCGGTCACAATTTGCGGTGACATCCATGGTCAATTCTACGATCTGCTGGAGCTCTTTCGTGTTGCGGGTGGAATGCCTGGCGAGTCGAATGTGGAGGCCCCCAAGACTGCCACCACGGTCATCAGCCCCGAGGACATTGAGCCTCCTACCGAGATTACGAACCCGAAGCTCAAAAAGAAGGTCCGCAATGCTGGCAGCCCCCCTGCTGATGAAGACGATGAGGACGACGCCGCGGCCGCTGATACCAGCGCGACTTCCCGAGCCGACTCCGCCGTTGAGGTCTCCACCACGTCGCAGTCTGCCGACACCCGCTTCATCTTCTTGGGTGACTTCGTCGATCGTGGCTACTTCAGTTTGGAGACTTTTACTCTACTCATGTGCTTGAAGGCTAAGTAGGTAACTTTTGCCGTCCGTTGCACCATCATACTAATCATTTTCAGATACCCCGACAGAATCGTCCTCGTTCGTGGCAACCACGAGTCCCGCCAAATCACCCAGGTGTACGGATTCTACGAGGAGTGCCAGCAAAAGTATGGCAACGCTTCCGTGTGGAAGGCGTGCTGCCATGTCTTCGACTTCCTCGTCCTCGCTGCTATTGTCGATGGAGAGCTTCTCTGCGTCCATGGTGGTCTTAGTCCGGAGATCCGCACCATCGACCAGATCCGCGTTGTTGCCCGTGCGCAGGAGATCCCTCACGAAGGCGCTTTCTGCGATCTTGTTTGGTCCGATCCCGAAGACGTCGAGACTTGGGCTATTAGCCCTCGCGGCGCTGGCTGGCTCTTTGGCGACAAGGTTGCAACCGAGTTCAACCACGTGAACGGTCTTAAGCTTATCGCTAGAGCTCACCAGCTTGTCAATGAGGGTTACAAGGTCAGTGCCTATCATCAGTCCGCATTACTGGGTTTATGCTAACGCAAAATAGTATCACTTCCCGCAGAACTCTGTCGTCACGGTGTGGTCGGCTCCGAACTACTGCTACCGCTGCGGTAATGTTGCGTCCATCATGACCGTCGACAAGGATATGAACCCCAAGTTCAGCATTTTCTCGGCAGTCCCCGACGAACAGCGCCATGTCCCTGCCAACCGCCGCGGACCGGGCGACTACTTCCTCTGATTGGGCTCGCTGATCTCTATATCGGAGACGTAACTGTGCTGGGGACGCGTTTGGAACACCGTCGGGGTTTTGTCCTGAGGTTCCAACGTGGTTCTTGCTGAAATCACGTCTCCAACTACCGGCCGCTCGGAATCAAGCGGCGAGGCTCTGAATATCACGATGAGCCTCACATTCGTCTTAGTACACAAAACCGTCTTGGGAACTAAACACCCGGGCATCACTGTCGTGCATGGAAAATACGCACGATGATGAGAGATGGTTCTTCTTTTGCTGCAGACGGAACGTTTTTGCTGTCAAGAGCAGCGCACTTGAACATGGCATAATCCACGTCTGAATTTTTGCCTGACCCATTGCCTGGGTTGTATCGTGATTTCTGGGCATGAGCACTGAGTACTCCGCGGACAATAGCTTGTCTTTGGCTCGCTTGCCACAAATATTTGAGGAGTGACTCGCTCGTTTGCTCGGAACGATCACGAAGGAAAGGAAACGAGATTAGAATCTCAAAGCTGGCTCGGCCTCGAAAAACGTGGAGAGGAACGTCGGGATGAGAGAGGACGGGCTGGTTACTTTTGACGTATTTGACGATGTCATGCATGGAATAGAGGGCAGGGGAAGACCTTCTTGTAGATTAGGCATAGAGATGTTCAATACCCATACATTCTGAAACCAGGAAAGCTAGACTACACGTTGGGTGCCGTAAACGTTGCTTCGTTCGTGCTAATGCAGGCGATATGCCTTGATAATGACCAAAGAGCTTATGAATGCCAGAAACCACGCGCCATACTTTTGTCCCACATCCGCCATACCGCATCGAACCCCAAGTCACACCGGACGCCCTGCGATATACTAGGGTACTCCGTAAACCGAACCCTCACCAAACCCCTTCAAGCGCGCTTGACTTCCCACTTCAGATCCTTGATGCTCACTTCCTCTCCTGCCTTCTCGTCATAGTCATACCACTCGCCGTCCGTGAGCTCAATGGCAGAAAACTTGCTGTTTGAATCAATGCCCTCGGCGAGCCACTCGCCCTCGGGGATGAACTCAGTGAACTCAAGTCCACGGCAGTCGAACTCGAGAATCTTTTGCTGCTTCGCGGGCTCGCCTTGTTCATACGAAGCCGGGGCGGCCTTTACGGAAGCGGAAGACTCGCGCTTGCAGTTCTTGCACTTCCAGACGAAGTTGGCCTCGCCTCTGCTGCCGCTCATTTCATTTTCGTCCTGAATTGAACAGCAGATGAGTGGGGTGTCCAAAAGCCTTATGGTCAGGGGAGAGACTCACGAAGCGATTGACACCGACGGTCTTGTCATGAACTTCGCGACAGGATGTGCACTGGACTTTGAAAGTGTACCAGAAGGGATTACCCTCGCTATCATCGGGGCGGAGATTTGTGACGCTGTAGAAAGTTAGTGTCATGTTCTGAGATCTTGGAACTATTCAGACTGACCCGTTGAGCTCGGCTGTGAGATAAAGGGCGAACATTGTCTATTTGGCTTTCCTTCTGAGCTCAGTGCCTTTCAGATTGTGGTTGTTCGATTGTTTCCCGCACCCGGCGCTGTCGAGGGCCGCTGTAAAGTCATGGTGGGGTTACTTCATGGAGGGGCAGCTGCGTCACTTCTATAAGCAGATACACCATTTAGTCACAATAGTCGCTTAATCGCATAATGTCTATCTACATTTTCAATTGGCCCTTGTCAATTGGACCCGTCATCTCGGCCAAGCTAAGTCGATCGTCAGTAATTGTGCATCAGACGATAATTTCCGCGCCTGGAACGTACCGATCATTTCGACCACCCTCGACGCCTCGTCGCACGTCAACGCATCAATTCGACTCAGAGAGGCTGCCACAATAGCCGGCATGCCGTCAGAATGCAGGCAATCTGGTCTAGAGCGGGCCAGGCGCACCGATGCGGCTGCAAGGCCTGCTTTAATGCCTCCGGGGGCATGATACGGCAGTCGGCGACGCGCTCGACGCAACGAAAACCGACCTTTAGCGAGATCTTCACGGCGTGCTATACATCGATAATGGCAACGGCAGCGATGCTGGATGCAGGGAGGAAAGACAGGCGGCGAAAGGATTTGGACCGACAGATTGAAGAGGTCTCGAGCGAGCTGGCAAATCTTGTCGAAAAAGCAAAGGAGAAAGCTCCCAAAAAACCGCCTGCTGGGGACATTGGCAACCGATATCCGGGCGCATTACAAGATCACGTTCCACAAAACCCCGAAATCAGCAAGATTCTCGACGCCCTCGGGCCCTCATATAGGTGGCAGAGAACTGTTGCGACAAAGGCCGACGTGGACCGTTTATGGAAGATATACGAGCTGAGTCCTTCAACCGAAGTCAGAGGGGTCAATTACGAAGCCTTGGTTAAGAAGCTCGCGACAGAAGAGTGGATGCCCATTGAGCACCGCGCACCGCGGACGCCGAGGCAAGCCAAGGCGGCAGCGGTGGCAACGAAAGCTTTGGTCTACAAATTTCTCGACGCAGGCGAATCTATGGTTGGACGCGAAGGAATGCAAACGGCGCGAGAGGAGGTAGACAAGCTGATACGGAGGAAGTTCCCTATCTGGGATGAAAGCGAACTGAGCAATGAGGCTCTGAACACGTGGAGCCGGGAGCTGAACAAGGCGTTGAGGAGTATTTTTGACGCCTCGACTCCCGAGAACTTTCAACATACGATTTACAGTGTATGTCACAATCTCCTCGTATCGCCTTCATCCCTCACCATTCACACATACAACCATCTTATTGCGGGCCTGGACAGAGTTGGGATGCATGGCCTTGCTTCAGCGGTGGTTCTTTCTTTCTACCAGGGCAAGCTTGAGCCCACGCAGCTTACCCTGGTGTGCATCCTCAATCACTACAGGACGACGCAGGACGCAGACAACTTTGCGGGTTTCATCGCTCGCATGACCGGCAAAGACCAACGAGGTGCCAAGATCCGGAGAAAGAGGCGCGAGGAGGTGGCGGAGCATTTCTCTCTTCACGGATGGGCTAGAAGGAAAGATGTCGCAATCGGCTCCCATTACGTCGTCGAGAGGGCGCGTTTTGATGAAAGAGTCTTCGCCGCTATCATCGAAGGCATGTTGGCTTTCGACAGACTGAGGGCTGCTGTGGGTGCATTTGCGGCGAGCATCACGGCAGACCTCGTAATTAGCCCGCGGACGACGTCCGAGCTGCTCGATTATTGCGCCCGCTCCCTGGATCGCACAGCTGCAGCCAAGGTTTTGGAAGTACTGAAGAGCAGACCCGTGCTGATCAAGAAAGCATTCTTTCGAGAGAACGACAAGCTATATCTTGCGCGGCGCATACGGAGCTTACTGGATATTTGCGGCTTGGAACACAGCTTGCCGATCAGCGTGGCACCGTTCTTGAAAGATCCTATGTTCTCGATTGTGTCAAGCGAGGAGCAAAAGCGTGTAGCTTACATCACACGAATAGCCCACACCGTATACCAAACGGAGTGGTTATTGGACAGCGCGCGCGACTACATTCAGCGCGTGAAAACGGGTAGCGCCAGTACTATCCGCATTGATTCGGGCTCTCCGCAGATGTACAGGATGTGGAGAGCGACAAAGTTGGTTTGGCCAGTGCCTGAGGGTCTCCCGGAAGACCAACCCGGGACGTCTTTCTCGCAGGAGGAAAACGTCGACTGGTCTGCTTGGGATCGCCTGGATGAAGCGTCAGAGACACAGCTGTCGCAGAAAAGCATGAGTAAAAGCAACGCTCTTTCAAAGAATCAGGGTCAATCGTCCGCATGGGATCGCCTTGAAGAGGCGGCGGGGATGAAACCGAAGAACACGAAGCACGAGAACAAAACCACCATTGACGAGGTTTTTGAAACGATCGAAATTCTGTAAATATGTACTATACCACACATGTAACATTATGGTTATATGGCACGTATATGCCAAGGCCAAATTGATGGATAGAATAGAGGGCCTAGGCCAAAGCCAGCTGTCAGATGCCCCTGATAGTAGGGGCTCATGTACATCAAAATATCAAGCAATTCAAATAAGGACGACCGCACTGCATCATTGATACAAATAAGGTTCCTCTACCAAGTGAGGTAGGTTCTGGTCGATCCGCTTCCGTTGGCTTCCGGATAGCAAGGTATTATTCTAGACAAGAAGTTGCTCCGGTTCAAACTCTCATGGTTGCTTTTTCTTCCTCAACCCCGCTCCGTTGACTTACACAAGTGCACCTGCTACCTACCTACCTCACCACCTCCCCTCTCACCTGCTGCGTCTCTTCGCATTCTTTAGAAAAAGAAGTCACGAAATATTCTTACACATTTTATATTCTTACACATTTTATACTGACCCCTCAAGGATTAATCAAGAGTTGAACACTATGATCTGGTTCCCAAGGGACTGGCAGGAGTCGACGGAGCCGGTGGAGTTTGCGGACCAGGGCGGTTGTGGTCTTCCCGGACTACGAGGCGGAGGAGGCCTACCTGATCGCGCACGACAGGTACAGCAAGACGCTGCAGCTGGAGCACACCGTCGACGCGGTGCAGCACTCGCTGGCGGAGCGGTTTGATATATTGGAGCTTGATCATCGCGGTGTTTAGGAGTCGCGGGAGTACATGCCGCTCGGGTTGATGAGGCTTGGTAGGGACCAGGATGCGTATAATGTGGCAAAGTGGTGGACGCTGCGCGACGATGGGGTTTATCCGCGGCTGAAAAGGCAGAAGCGGTACAAGGAGGATGTGTTTGAGTCACCGTACGCGATTATGAGGAGCAAGAATGTGCTGTTTGGGACGTTGGATGGGCTACTGCTGCTCAAGATCAAGCTGTACCTGGACCTCTGGGACATTTGCAACGCGGACCGGATGCTGAGGAAGGTGGTCGTCTACTGCAAGGGTAAAGGCGGCATTGAGAGGGTCCTTCCATCCGAGGTGATTGACACGATCCAGCGGTACAATATCCGGTCGCACATCATCCGGGAGCGACGCGAACTGGCGGAGAATCACGGATTCGTGGCGTCGCCGCTGGTGCGCAATCTCAAGAGGCAGATCCTGGAGCTGGCGCGGGCGGTGTACGATAATCCCGAGTACACTGGCGATGAGATGGAGGTCAAGTATATTTACGCGCGGCCGTCGTGGGTTGAGATGCCGGAGGCGGCGCAAATCTTGGATGATGCGCGAGAGGGCATTGCGACGATGGCCGAGACGAACCCGTACTGGGCTCGTCGGGTTCCGCTAGACGACGACGACGATGATAATGATGATTCAGATTAGTTTGTGCATGATAAGGTAGACTAGTTGTTAGGTATTGTGTTTTTGGTGCCGCTTGGATTTACTTCCTCGTTCCCTGCGGCTCAAAGCATCAGATCCCCAGGCCGCTACTATTGCTGTGCCAGGACAGCTGAGACCCAAGTACCACAGCTGAACAAGCCTCGAAAGGGAAGTTTGAAGGATGCCAAGAAATGAGATCGTACCATGTCGGTCGCACGTCTTTGACACTGCGCGGGAAGAGGGTTGCGGCCCCGAGCGTCTGGCAAACTGGGATTGACTTTGTTGGGGTAGTCACGAGTGATATCATTGTAATATAATTCAAGGCGGGGGAAAAGAACGAAATTGGGATTTAGACACGACACGTGAAGCAAGCTTGTTTGGATCTGGCTTTGCGTGACAGTTATAGAGGGAAAACTTTCGGATAGGAAGAGGGTTCAAGTAAAGGTATGTTTACCTCATTTGGTGATTGGTTGATGCTACTGATTCGCTGAGTTGTAGAGGCTTCGTCAGAGGGACGAACCTGAAAGCAAAAGGCCATATTAGTTTAGGAGATGCTGTAAGCCGCAAGTGTGGAAAAAGAATCCCAGGAACTGGAGAGTCTAAATTAGTTAGGGGTGGGCGTTGAAGGGATCCCATTTGGCCGTTGTGCTACTCTTTTGGGAGTACGTTGTCAGCTCTTGATTCACGTAAAAAGGCTGAAGACTCTTCCCCAGGTTGATCACAAGGGTACAAAGCTAAACCATGGCAACACATAGTGAAGCGTGACGTTGCCGTTGTACTCCGTACACGAGTTTCTTCCCTGTGGATTGCCATTAGACCCTTGCTGATCAGTCGTCACCCAAGTTCCAACAGCGTGATATTGGCGAGTTTGGCTAGTCAGCAGTAAAAGTGACTAGCAGCTCCGTGAGAGCCGAATTGGCATCAAGCAAGAGGCCCCCAATTCCTGTCATTATCAATCAATATTTGCAGACTGTAGAGGAATGGATGCCGGGATGCCGAGGTCTTTTGCCCTGGCCAAAGTGGCCAGGCGACAGGACCCCTAAAAAAAAAAAAAAAAAAACTTGGAACATGCATCACGGAACCAGATCTGGGTGGGGTCTGGTGTAGGTCATTCCTGGGGCCGCGATGGATTTGGACCAGTCACTTGTATGCGCAAGAGTCAGGACTCAAGGGGTACCCGTACAAAGGTACGCAGCAGAGGCGCGCGGAGGTATGGACATTTGAATACTAGGTAGGTATGTTTAGAATCATGCAGGTGCCTTTTCTCTTCCAACGGCGGCCAAAACGTGCAGTTTGACCGGACAGAGACCGATGTCGGTTTCAGGGTCCTTCCCGCCCTCGGCGAGTCCTCCGGGGGGTGGAAAGGTCATGAGGACGGACGACCTGACAAGCCTACGAGGCGGTCTGGAATTTTTAGACAGCCCATCTGACCCGGCGTGCCGGGAGGGCTGCTCGAAGGCGAGATGAGATGTGTCCCGGGACGCGGCCCCGACTCGCCTCAGGCCCTTCAGCCCAGTGAGCCTACCTTCCCCAAGGTACCTACCTACCTACCTTTCGGAGAGGTGGGAGCGCGGAGCGCGGTGCAGGGCACTAAAGTGATTAGAATTGGGTTATGAGGTACTAGTGAACGGTACAGGCTCACCTGCGATGCACCACCACCACCGGCCGGTAGACGGTAGACCGGCGCAGAATACCTAGGGCATACACGTGTAATCCGATCAATTGAGCCAGCAACATCAGCGTGCAACTCTTTTCATTAATCTTCCTCACTTGTGACGACCACTGACGTGAGGATTCATTCATTGGAGGCATTGGGAGAGAGGAAGGGAAAAAAGGATGGGATAGCCAGTGTTGGTGCTACATCAACGGCGGGGTGACCATGGACAGGCCGGCCAGCTGAAGCCGTGATGGGGCGGCCATCCCGTGACTTGGCGAATCAAACAGGGGCGGCGCTCCACGGGCGGTCAACGGCGGCTTCCAAGTGGCTGACTTCACCGACCGGATAACGCCACACCTCAAGCTGTTTTTGGATACTCTCCAGTGAACACTGTCTTTTTTTTTTTTTTTCTTCATTTCAAGGGCAGGAACCTTACCTAGGGTTCTTGCTGGGTTGCTACTACCATTTGTTGTGCCTGCGTGCCTGCCTTCCAACGCACCTGCCGTCACGTTCAGAAGCGACTGGTGCTGGGTGGTGGAAGGTGAGGTGGTTTGGGTGTCTCAGGTACCTCCCGACTGTGTCTCGAGTCGTCGCGCCGGGGCTCGGCAGTACCCTCCACAGCATCAACTGGTGTGTTGGGTACCTGACGACCGACAAAGAGGTACGGCATGCCAAGGCTTCGGATACCCTGCGGCCGCTGTGGAGGTTGAGATGAGTTCACACCTCCCACACCTCTTCTTTTCTCTCCTGGTGTCCTGCTAGGTATTGCTGTAGTAAGGTGAGGTGCTAAGGTACCAGAGGTGCAGACCTGGAGGTAGGTACTGTTGCATGCTTCCGTCACTTGTCAATCCACTCTCTCCTTGCGCCGGTCGGTCTGAAGTTCTGGTTCATTCATTCATACATAATCCCCCTCCAACCCACTGATGCTCTCCTGAAGGGGGCCCAGATCTTTCTTTTCTCATTCTTCTTCTCTTTGGATTCTGTAGAGGTGTATTTGGTAAGCCAGTCATTGGACAAATACCAAATACCGTACAGATACGCCATCTCAATCACTGCTTCTCCGCCCTTTTTCAGTCAATGGCGAGCTGGATGTGGAGCTCCTTGAACCTGGAAAAACCAACAGGACTCTCGTGACTGACTGATTGACTGAGCGACCTCGAATTTCTGGATCCTCTCTTTTTTGCTGCAACAAAGAAGAAGCGGATAGTGCCTTCTGTATCTCGAGTTTTCCCCGGTACACTGACTTGGATTTGTTTCTTCTTCAAGTTTTTGGTACCTTCTCCAACTCACCGCATTCACCACCTCACCACACCTCTCACTACACACTTCCGACCGTCATCAACTTATCCCCCAGCCGAAATCACGACCACCTACGAGAACTGAGAAGAAGAGAAAATGTTTGATTGCGGTTGCGAGTCTATCTGCCTCTAAGCAGCCGTTCAGCATCAACATTCACTTTCGCCGTCTTATTTTCTCGTCAGCACCTTATCTGTTTGCTGCAGCATTCTTTCACAAGCTGTATCGCCTAGACAGTATCACTACCAACCGACGCCACAGCGTCACATTCAATCCCTGATAACGGACTCAGGCATCATTTCACCATGAAGTTCGGCAGAAAGTGCGCCTTCCTCCCCATCCCTCTCTCCCCTCTTGCCGCTTCATCCGACAGAAACCGATATCTATGCTATTTTTGGCCTTGCCTTTACTTATCTGACCGCTTCGTCATTTCATGGAAAGTCATGCTTACGCTGTCTGCAGTCTCCCCCGCAACCAAGTCCCCGAGTGGGCGGCCTTCTACATCAATTACAAGGGCCTAAAGAAGTTGATCAAGGCCGCGGCGCAATCGGCCAAGAACGGAGAGACGGTGGATCTTGCAGGTGGGCGGACTTGGACCGGACCGTGAGGGCGCAGCCCATCCCCTGACCACATCTTGCAGAATTCTTCTTTGCCCTGGATCGCAATCTCGAAGACGTCGACTCTTTCTACAACCGCAAGCTTGGCGAGGCCGTCCGCCGTCTCAGTCTGTTGCGCGACCGCTATGGCCGCGTCCCCGACGTCGTCTCCAACCTCGACGAGGATGAGACCGAGGAGCTCATGGGCGCTCTCTACGAGATGCGCATTATGCTGAGAAACCTCAACTGGTTCGCCGAGATCAACCGCAGAGGCTTCGTCAAAATCACAAAGAAGCTCGACAAGAAGCTCCCCGAGACGGCTTCCCAGCACCGCTACATCTCGACAAAAGTCGACCCCTTGCCGTTTGCTAAGGACACCACGAGCACGCGCCTCCTCACTGAGATTAACAAATGGATCTCCGCCCTCGGTGACGCCCGCAACGTTGACGACTCCAAGTCGGACAGGTCAGTGCGGTCGCTGGGCCGCGCATCCTCCAAGGCCATGTTGACTTTGTCGCAAAACCTACTCGACACCTTGGAGCAGGCCATCCGTAACGACAATGTCGACTCACTCAGGGCCGGGCTAGACGAGGGCAACGTGACTGGCGAGCAGTCCTCCCAAAGCTTGCTTCTCAACCTCCTGCAGCGTTCCATTGCTGCGAGATCCAAGGCGAGCATCGCCTATCTTATCGATCAGCTGCCGTCCATTTACGAGCCCGAGGACATCAATCACCGCAACTGCATTCACCGACTTGTCATTCACATTGGCAGAACCAAGTCATCTGATCCTGACAATGAGCCCAAATCGTACCCCTTCCCGATCGGCACTCAGTTCACTTCTCACGACCTCCAGCCAGCAGTCTCGCAGGCTGTGGTTCCCCGCGCACTCAATCAGAACGAGACGAAGCTGCTTGGCAAAGATGATGAGGCTGTCCAGATTCTCATGTACCTCCTCGACACTCTCAAGCTCGAGCACAGAGATGCGCTCAGTGCCAGAGACTCCTTTGGACGTTTGCCTCTTCACTATGCCGCCCGATTCGGCTTCGTCGTCGTGTGCCAGATCATCATGGCCAAGATGCAGGAATGGGGCCAATTCAACGTTGAGAATGGCATCGATGCCCCCGAGTGGCAGGATAACGAAGGATATGCTCCTTTGCACCTGAGTGTTGTTGGTGGACATCCATTGACCACCAAAGCTCTTCTTCAGGGTGAAAACTGGCAGGGTGTGAGTGTCAGGAAGGCCGAGATGAGACGAACGGTGTCTAAGTCCGGTGCGGTTCTCGCTATGGCCACCAAGTCCAACTACAAGGTCATCGTCGAGATGCTCGTTGAAGCTGGAGTCGACATCAACTGGCAGGACAAGACGGGTGAAACCGCTCTGCACCTTGCCGCCCGATTCGGTCACGATGAAATCGCAAAGTCGCTGATTGCCGGCACCGAGGAGCAGAAAGCCGACCTCGAGATCGCAGAGAACACCTACGCCTGGACCCCGCTTCATGTCGCCGCTGTTGACGGTCACTTGTCAATGGTACAATTGCTAGTCGACTCTGGCGCGGTTGTCGCCAAGGCCGACTCCTCTGGTTGGACCGCCAAGGAACATGCCGCCCTGCGTGGTCATCTCGACATTGCCAGGCTCCTCGCTACTCAGGCCGAGTCCGAGATTGTGCAGCCCACAAACAATCTCAAACTTTCCAACGAGAGCTCTCCTCGGTCTTCGTCTCCTGAGAACATGTCTTCAATCGATGGTCGCAAGTCAAATGGTGCTATTCGTCCCGTCGAGCCGGTCAAGACCTTTGGTCATCGCTACCTTACCGATCAGAGCATGGTTCTCGTTAGTCTTGGATCCATGGATATGCGCAAGAATCTCGAGGCCGTCAAACTCGACCGCGTTCCCTTGACCGAGGCCCACTTGACGGAACTCGACACCGCCTTGTCCATTGTCGTGTCGGCCAGTGGTGCCAAGGGGGAGCCCACCATTGTTGACTTGCCTGTTCACGAGACAATCTCCACAGAGCCTATCGTGTTCACTTCGGCAGACCCTTCCCAGGTCAAGCTGATGTTTGACATTGTCCCAACTTACTCTGGAAATGAGAAGAACAAGATTGGACGCGGCGTGGCCCTGTTGTCATCCATCAGGCCGACGCTTGGCACGAAGCGCATGAACCTTCAGGGTGATGTCTGTGTGCCGATTCTGGCCAACAACTTGGATGTCATTGGCACTGTCAACTTCAACTTCCTAGTTGTCACGCCATTCTCACACCCCAACATGGAAATCAACTCCCAGCAGACCTACTGGAAGAAGCTAGCGAACACGATGGTCATTGGTCACCGCGGCATGGGTAAGAACATGACGAGCAATAAGTCTCTCCAGCTTGGAGAGAACACGGTACCTTCATTCATCGCAGCAGCCAACCTGGGTGCGCAGTACGTCGAATTCGATGTTCAGCTAACCAAGGATCATGTCCCGGTTATTTACCACGACTTCCTTGTCAGTGAGACAGGTATCGATGCCCCGGTTCATACCTTGACCCTGGAGCAGTTCCTGCATATCAACCCCGACTCGAACCGCACCAATGGTGTCAACAACGGTGTGAACGCAGTCAATGAGAGAATCGAGCGCGTGAGAAACAACGCACCTGGCCCTAGACAGCGGTCTTTGTCCATGGGCTACGCTGGTGATGGCCTCAATGGACACAGTGAAGAGCGCATGAAGCACACTCGCGACTTCAAGAACAAGGGCTACAAAGCCAACTCCAGAGGCAACTTCATTCAAGCTCCATTTGCCACTTTGGAGGACTTGTTCCGACAGCTCCCCGAGCACATTGGCTTCAACATTGAGATGAAGTACCCCATGCTTCACGAGAGTGAGGAGCAGGAGATGGACACCTACGCCGTTGAGCTCAACTCCTTCTGCGACACCGTCCTGTCCAAGGTCTATGATCTTGCTGGCAACAGGCACATCATCTTCAGCTCCTTTAACCCGGACATTTGCCTCTGCTTGACCTTTAAGCAGCCTTCCATACCCATCATGTTCTTGACGGATGCGGGCACCTGCCCTGTCGGTGATATCAGAGCGTCTTCTCTCCAGGAGGCGATTCGTTTCGCCAGTCGCTGGAACTTGATTGGTATTGTCAGTGCCGCCGAGCCTCTGATTAACAGTCCCCGGCTTGTACGCGTCGTCAAGGAAAGCGGTCTGCTGTGTGTCAGTTACGGTACATTGAACAACAACCCCATCATGGTCCAGGTAAGTTTCATGTCCTGAAATGCAATACGGATAGACAGTGATGCTGATTATTACTCGCAGCGCCAGGTGAAGGAAGGCATCGATGCAGTCATCGTGGACAATGTCCTCGCCATTAGAAAGGGCCTGACGACGACCGAGGCCGAAGTCCTCAAGGGTGCCGGTGAAGACCTAGAGGAGGGGTCCGAGGGCGATTCAGCTTAGAGGAAAGCATATGTGTGCGGTTTTCGGTTCCACAGTACGGGAAGAATTGGGGGGGGGGGGGGGCGGCGGAGAAATACATATCTTACATGGCATAGCGCGCCGGAGGGCAAATTGGCATTCCAGCTGGTCGACTGTGTTTCGACTAGCTTTCAACATTGAGAGAAAAGCAGCTGAAGAGGCTTAAACAGCCTCTCGCAACCCGTAACAGGTTTTTGAGGGTAGATTATGAACAATACAGAGAACGACCTCGCGTGGTCCTGCTTGTTTATCGTACCGACGTCCATTACCGAGATGTGGCACAGGTGCAACCTGTCGAGAGGGGGTGGCCTTCACTTGTAATTTGTTGTTGAGGCTAATGCCGGCATGTTCAACAGCCTACTTTGCCCATCTCTCTGCACAATCTCATTCATTTCAAAGTTAAGGCGTCAGTCCAGCCCCTGCCTCGTCTCATCGAATGATGCTGACTCTGACCCGTAGTGGTTATTGGTTTCACAACTACTGCCTAACTTGAAGTTCACTTTACACATCACGCACATCCAACCCGATGCAGCGCAAACCAAACCAACACATCTCTCAACCCGCATATCCAGATTTTTTTTCTTTTCCGCCTTGCCCAAAATCAATCGAAGAAGGATTCCTACACCGGGTAGTGCCGTAGTGAACCAAAGCCCCACCCAACAACCCACAGCTCCACAACACCAACTCCAACGTCAACCCACCACAAACCCTGGAACCCCTTCCTCGTCGAAATTTTGCAAGCTGAGGGATATAATTGCACATCCACCCGTCACCTTCAACCAACCAGCATCGAGACAACCTCGATTCGGGATCATCTGCGTCGATGGTTTAGTGGTAAAATTCTCCGTTGCCATCCAAGCAGCGTCGGGGAGCCGGGGGTTCGATTCCCCCTCGACGCAATTCTTTTATTGATTTGAAGGATATTTTGGTTTGTGGAAGACTGGGTATATGCCTTTGGGATGTTGCTTTTTGATCCTGGTTACTTTCCTTCGGCTTAGGAGATTATCATACGGTCATTCTTGACAATGACACTACAGTCGGGGTTGCTGAAGTCGCCCGGGATGATACACAAGATGGAGCTTTTACTTACCCTGTTCAGGTGAGTGGTCTCAAGTTTCTCATCGTTAGGGGGGGATAATCCCTTGCATTGCGTACTAGGTATGAACCATAAAGGTTATGTATGCTCTTTACTGGAACCAGTGCCATGACCTCACGTTGCCTAGTCTGAATCCATCATCTGTGAATTTGAATCAGATGGCCTTTGGAAAATCTAAGCACTCTCAGCTCGGTGACCTCGTCTCTTCTTCAGTGTAAAGCAAACATCCATCAGTCCCATCTTTGCCTCCCGAAGAGAGACTCACCGTTGAACCCCAAACCCGGGTACCGACATCTTCGTGGAACCATTCTGAGGCACACCGCCCCCTCAACAGCAAGGCCAAACATGGCATCGGATGGCCTTATCCAAAGAACTTTGTAATACTCGACATCCTCGCCTTTACATCCAAGTCACGAGTCTCTTTGTCTTCTGGAGTAACGCATAACCGGGTCTCTACTGGGCCCTCACATGAGCAGCCCTCTCCTCCGTCATACCTCGACTACCACCGCCTTCCTCCCCACGTCATCACGCTTGAGGTGTCCCATTATATCTCGCATCCCACAGAAGAAAGCTATTCTTTTGCACGCGAGTTTCTGTTGCCTAGATTTGCCTCGCGGGTAACTGCTCACCGACTTTATGCGGACTTCAAAGCGTTGCTTTCTGGTCCGCGCTTTAAAAGCCCGAGGGGGGACTAGTACTGAGCAACATTCCCCCGCTTCGTCTTCATTTCTCTTTAGTATTCAGCATATGAACTCAAACTTTGTTGAACAAACTCTTCTCTTCCGAGTCCATGTACACATGAATCAAACACTACATCGACTGACCAAAGTCACAGGAGTTCACCATGAGTAGGAGAAAGAGACTCACGCCTCAGGAGTTGGAGAGACTGTGCAGCTACGCAACTCCCGCGGGTCGATGCCCTTACACCAGGGTGACCTTGACGAAAGATGGAAACCGCTATCCGTCTCGATTCTGCAAGCTTCATTGCTGCAAGAAGATTGATCACAATACTGCGTGTTTGAACATGAGGACAAATAACAGGGGATACTGTCAGCAACGTACGTAGCCCCTAGACCTCGCGGATATATCACTTACCCCTAAGATATCTAAAACTGACCTTTCTTGCTAGATCTTCTATGCCAAGGCACAATGAATGATGCTAGATGCAACAACTACATCAAGAACTACGATCCTAAAGAGTTTAGGTACTGTTCACAGTATCGTACGTGTTCCTTACCTCCCAGCCTTTTTACCCTAGCATACATTTCCATCGTCCATCTCACAGCCATTCAGACAACTGCATACAACAAGGCTGCGCAAACCAACGCAACCATCCCAACGGCACCGACTACAGATACTGCCCAGACCACCGCTGCGACCACCAAGACTGCACAAACCCAAAATCCCCGCCCTCCTCCTTCTGCGCCTCCCACACCTGCGCCGCTCCCTCCTGCCTAGCCCGCTGCCCCGGCGCAACTGGCGACCCCCACGACCCGTCCCGCCACTGCGACCGTCACCGCATGTGCGCCACGCCCGGCTGCCGGCGCTTCGCCCACGTAAACGAGCACGGCGTCCCCTCGGCCCACTGCGGCGAGCACCACTGCAGGTTCGAGCAGCAGCCGCCGTGCGGCAACGCGAGGGCGGCGGGCGCCGGCGAGGGTACGTGCTTGGCGCATACCTGCGAGGAGAGGGGCTGCGGGAGGATCAAGACGAGGCATATGCCGGACGCGGGGGGCGTGGCGGGACGGTATTGCAAGAGGCACGAGTGTGATCGGGAGGGGTGCTGGGAGAGGAAGTGGGAGAGGAGTGATATGTGCGTGAGGCATAAGTGCGCGAGGAGGGATTGTGAGAGGGATGGGGCGTTTGGGGAGTACTGTGATCGGCATAGGAGTTGTGGGACGCCTGGGTGTGAGAGGTTTCGACATGTGGACGGGGAGAATGTGAGGGATATGTGCGAGGAGCGTGAGTGGTGCCCCCCTCTTTCACTCTGCTTTTCTGACAGAGGTTTTGATATCTGCCCCTGAGATCGTATGCCTTCACCTTGGCTGCTCTCTGTCTCATCTCAGACCAAGCAAGCTGACTTCATCATCCAGACCTGGCAACCCGCTGCCGGAGAGCAGGCTGCGACGCCCGCGTCGTCGAAGGAGGAAGCCTCTGCCTAGAGCACACCTGCCGAGACCGAAGCTGCCAAAACGAGCGGTCCGCCCTGGGCCGCTACTGTACCGACCACAAATGCTCCGTCCAGGGCTGCCAGCAGCTCCGCGAGACTGTCGTCCTGTCGCAGACCATGATGATGCTGGGCGTGCTGAGCCTCGATCTGCCTCTGTCGCCGTACTGCCGGGCCCACGTGTGCGGTCAGGAGGGTTGCGCGGAGCCGGCTGCGGGCGGCGTGAATGGGGGTGGTTCGCGGTACTGTCTTGCGCATGCGAGGTGTCGGAGGCCTGGGTGCGGGAATGGGGTTGATGTGAGGGGACGGGATGGGAGCTTGTGCGAGGAGCATAATCGGCTTGGGGGCGGGTGGATGGGGAGGAGGGGGATGTTGGATCCTGATGCTTGTGGATGGGGTGGTGGTGGTGGAGGAGGAGGAGGAGGCGGCGGTGGTGGGCAGCATTGGCCTGGGTTTGGACCTTGGGGGGTGAATGCCACTATTTAGAATATTTTGAACGATCAGAGGTAACTGAGTATGCGGATTCTTGCAATAAAAGTTTTGAGTATTTGTCACTGGCATCCATTGATGTTTTGAGGACTGGCTCTTGACATGAACCTATAGCTTCCGGTCCCCACGAGTTACATGGTTCTCATGAAGAGATGAGTTATTGTCTGGTGGTTTGGTGATACTGGAAGGATGCAGTTTTTATATGATGAATATGCTCATATTCCTCTTCCGTCTGCCTCGTTCCTTCCTTTGAGGCGGTTGTCTCGGCACCCGGGGGCCAATGGTATATACCCCCCCTGGATCCCAATTCCTTCACCAGCACAGCAACGCCCGTCTAGGTCGGCGAGGTCAGGTCAAGCTGTGTGCGAGGTGGTCGAATGGTCAAATAAAAACAAATACTCTAATGAAGTCAGAGTTCGGGTTGACTGAGGGGCGCGCTGTTCGAGTCCGGGCAGGGGCGTGAATTCTAAGGTCAGTATCGCCCTCCCATGTGTTCGTTTTTTCTTTCTTTATTTCTCTATTCTAGTAGTATATAGTAAGAAAGGGTCATTTGAGGCTGCCACAAAATGAGGGCAGAAATGAACGACCTCTGTAATGATATTTTTTGTATAAGATTTCAAATATCAGGCACGAAGGATGGGAATACTCGGTTGCTATGGAACGGCACTATACAGTCCAATCGTCAACCTTGCGTATTCGCAAACACTTGAGAGCAACAAACATATTCTTCGTACACAGGTCATGAGGTCATTGCAAGATCCCTGTCTTGTGTCTTCGTTGTTTCTTAACAAGTCACATGACAGCTGCCTAGATCCCGAACCCCTTGATATCCTTGACCAAATCAGTGATACTCTCCTCCAGGCTCTTCCACTTGATACCCAGAATCTTCTCCGTCGCGCTGTTGTCGTACCCGTACACCTTATCCTTGGGCGGCAGCTCCCCACCCTTGGTGCCTTCCACAGGCAACCTGTCCTTCAGCTCGGGGAAGTTCTTCCTCACCACCGTCGCGATCTCGGCGTTGCTGAACCATCCGGCCGTCGTGAAGAGCCTCTTGCCGCCGGCCTCGGGCTTCTCCAGCGCCAAGATGTGCGAGAGCGCCAGGTCCCGCACGTCGATCCAGAGGTACGCCGCGCCCGTCGGCGCCACGGCGTCCTTCCACTTGCCCTTGACAAGGTCCACGACCCGCTCGTTGGAGGTGTTGATGCTGTTTAGGTCCGCAAAGTGGTGCACCACGGGACCCAGCACGAGCGGCGGCGTAAGCGTGACGAGGTCGAAGCCGGGCTTCTCGTCCTTTACGAAATCCCACGCGGCCTTTTCGGCGAGCTTCTTGGACGCGCGGTACGCCGTCGCGGGACTGCGCCCGATATCCTCGACAGTGACGGGGTTCCAGAATTCCTCGGTGAAAATGGTGTTGGGGTCCTCCGTCTTGGCCTCGTCAATGACGGACGCGAAGCTCGAGGTGACAACCACCCTCTTGACGCCCGGCGCGTCCCGCTTGAGGGCCTTGAGGATGGCCGTGGTGCCGACCACGGCCGGGTCGATGAGCTCCTTTTGGGCGTCGGTCCACTTGAAGTGGAAGGGGCTGGCGGTGTGCAGGACGGCCTCGAGGCCGGGGGTCTTGACGACCTCGTCAAAGGCGTCGGGGCGCGCAATGTCCGGGACGATGGCGACGTGGAGGCGGGAAGCGTCGAGGTCCTTGTGGGCGTCGCGGATGCGCTGGGCCTTGTCCTCTGAGCGGACGGTCGTCACGACGGAGTGGCCGCGCGCGAGGAGCTGTTCGAGGATGTGGGCGGCGATGAAGCCGGAACCGCCTGGTGGGTGTTAGTATTGTGGTCTTGTGTGATATTACCTCGCTTCTCAGCGGCAGGAGTGAAGTTTGTATGCCATTGAGGTTTTGGGAGTGCGGCTATGATCTCACTCATCACTTACCGGTAAGGAGAATCTTGGCCATCTTGTCGTTTGTGTATCCCAATGGCTCTCAATGGCTGTTCTTGAATGACAACTGGGATGTAGTATGGATGAGACAACGTTGCGGCTTCAAAGATTGTTCGGATCGAAAGGATTGATTTTCTAGTGTAACTCAGACATTTTGAACCCTTTTATCCTTCCCTCAGGTACAGCTCGCCCCTCCACCACCCAAGACGCCGTCACTTTACCCCTCCATTGCATGATGATTAACGCCCCCCCAACAACTGCCCCGCTCTCTCGACCCCCGCGCAACCACTTCATTCCAGGTCCATCCAGGTCCCAGCGCGGGTTGCGTGGGGCACCAAAAGCGTTACGTCATCCCTGTGGGCTAGGGCGCCATCGATTCGCTCATCTCTTCGCAGGTGGTCCCCGCCCCGATTGCTTCGGCCACCTCCTCCGGCCGAAGTCGGGGCTATGGGGCCGGATTTTGCGGGCGATAATGCCGGCCGCTGACACATCCCGGTAGGAACGGCATCACACTTACCGGCTGACCTGCCGAATTGCCTGGGTTCTTAGCTCCGGTCTACTCAGTGGAAATTTTAGAGAGTTCGACACAGCGAGATACACTCTGTGATGTCAGTTGATTGAAGAAGCGCATTATTCTATGCAGAGTTCATTGTGCCTACGCCCTTACCATCAAAAGGCACCTGTGTTTTCCATCTCAAAGGGCACTGCTTACGGCAGCAATATTCAGATTCCGGTATACTTGGAGAATTGACTCCCAACCCCAGCTCCAACAAGAATAATCACCGCCTCTTAAGAAGCCTTGCTTGCCCCATTTGAAAAGGCCTTCGACGGAAGGTTGCATAAGTACGCATCGCTCAGCTAACGCCCTCTCCGCAAATCAAGGACTGGCACGTTCGACGCGTTCCTGGTGGAGCGGAGCTGAGCCAGCAAACATCACGAAAATCCGTTGGACTTACTGCAGCCTCCCGCTGCCGGCGCACCATCTTCTGACCGCCCCTTGTTTCCCACGGGTCCCCAGATCCGGACGAAACTAACTTATTGAGTCAAATGGCCGAAGTAATCGGCGCTTTCTCTTCGAGTCTACGTAAATTCGAGGGGCTTACCAGGTCTGTTGTTCTTCGTTGTGGATGATCTGGGTTCTCTTGACAAACCTTGACGATTTATTTTGTTATCGAGAAAACGCAGGCTACTGTCGTCAGCATGTAGCTATTGTCCGATGTGGTACCCTGGCAGCCAGCTTAAGTTGTGAGGAGCAGCCAGCGCAGTTTTCACGCCGAGTCTGATTGTCGACCCCCTATTCTATTGTGTGATGAGAAAGCAATGAGACAATTTGAGGAGACTCCCGACAGCTTCTCGAGTGCGCAAAGTGGCACTTACATTTCGAAGAGTCTCCCACTCTCGGTTCAAGCTGAGAATAAGTGTGGAACAGAGGTCGAAAGTGCCACACCTTCCAGTACCAAGGCTTGGCCGCCCGTAGTGCATATCAGCCACCCCGGATGGCTTCAGATATCTCTGAAAATCCATGCAGCCCTCGACAATCAGTCTACAGCCATAGGCCGCCATGCCAACGCTATGCCAATGAGACATCGCTGTTGGTTCCTCGCCCTCGTGTTGAACTATATTTTTCAGCTTCCTAGGCAGAGGTCACGGAAGTTTTCCCACGCGAGTTGTACAACCCTGCCTTGGCCCACCTGTGCCGTGCTTCTGCCGCTGCTTCTACTGCTGCTTCTACTGCTGCCGTCGCTGCCTGCACATGATTCACAATCTGCTGGTGATCATCCCTTTTGCCTTTTGTTGATACCTCTTTCTTCATTTGAACTCGTAAAACTCGCCGGCGGCTGAGTCAGAGTAAATACTGGTCGTACTTGGTGTAGCGCTCGCAACTCTAGACTTTATAGGCATAACCTCCGTTTCACGCTGCGTAATTCTCTGGTTGCTCAGTGTCGATGCTGGTAGATTGATTTGCGCCGAGACAATGCCAAGGCAAGGGTCTATATGACGCGAGTGCAACGGCTGCAGACATGAATTACTGTCTTAACCCGAGAACCAACCGGTTTCGATGCAATGCCCAGGCTTCTAGAAGGCGTTGGGCTGCTTAACCCATGAGGAATTGCTTTTATTCCTTTCAGCCTTTTCAATTCTGAAAAAGGTTTCGACTGAAAGAAAATCAGTAGACTATCTCTCCTGCAAATCTGATGTTGGCTTCGTAGTCCATGCCAAGCCATGCCACTCGCGACGGGCCATCATGGGCAACAAGCTTGTGCGATACTCTACGACCTATATACCCTCCTTCGCAGACCCGAGACACCCGAACATATCAAGAGTCACCACTAGTTCATTGACATGCAAAGAATGAGGACATATCCAAGTTGAACCACGAGTACCACGGCGCTAGCTCATCCTAGAAGGCACTTCGCGAAAGCCTGACAACGAACCTGTGGGAGCTCGCGTACGATGGAAATCCATTGGTTCCCGACCCCGTGATACCTTGGTCTGTGTTCTTCAGCGAACGCCGCCAGAAGATCTCCGGCCCGGTTCGTGGTACCCCTCGCCTAGCACTCGTCCCGGGCAGCAAAGCATTTTTGCCAGGAAAGATGGCTACACCCATTCCCATATAAGCTTAGTACTCTAGTCGGCTGGCTTGAACGGGCCGTCTTCGAAAAAGGACTGCCGACCAAGGGAGGAGGGGAAAGGGGGATGGGGCGGGAGGATCTGGTTGCCGTATTGCTAGTGTACCTATCCTCCGCATGGACGAGGTTGCGAAATGCTGTCCCTGCCGCGGTGCTTCCTGTTGAGTTTCGTGCGAAGTAAGGCCGTTCGTGACACAGAAGCCTTGTAAATGCAGGTCCAATCGCAGAATCTATGAGCATCTTTTGTTCCAGGACTGAACCCGGTGAACGAAATGAGGTGAGAGACCCTCGGGTGGCATCTCGACGAGCGGAACGTCCTTCTGAGAGACTTGAGAAATACGAGCTCTGGTGGACACCGAAACGGGATCGCTTCTCTTCATGAGAATATCAGCTCCCCACTTCCCCTTGTTGATGCAGGATCTTTAAACACGCACATCGCGGAGGTAAGGATCTCGAAGCTAGTGAGCAATGCGGAAATCCAAGCCTCTGCTCTCCAAACCAATAGACCTTTTCTTGAGTTTCTATTTGCGGCGGGTTCACGGCCTACTTACGTCAATTGTTCAAGTCCTGGCTTACTCTCTCCAACATGGTTGCGGGCCACTCGGGTGCGTGCATTTTTCCTCTCTTCCAACAACCTCTGTAGTCTGTACGACGTTGACTACATACGAAAGACCATGTAGCTCGGGAGCGGACAGATACAGTGCGGTGTAGCCACCACGGTGATGCTTGACAAGTCCCTCCCGACCCCTTGTCCTGCCTCTCAACTTCACTGAGCCTCCCTTGCGAGCTGTCCGGGATGTCTAGAGGTGGACATGGTATATATCGACGATGAGGACGTCTTTCTGAATTTGCGAGCGCCTCGTCAAGTTTTGCATTTGGGCCCTGCCAACTTGATGCCATGCATCATCACTCCCACATTTTCCAAGACCATTCACGCAAGGAGCCTTCTGAACCTCAGCTGAGCTGCACTTGAGAGAGTGGCCATTTGTGTCACTTAACCTGAAAGCCTCTCATCCACGAACTCACTCGACACTATACTTACGGTTACACTCACCCAAGACGAAGTCCAAATCCGCCTTGCCGTTCATCACAGCCCTGCTGGACTGGGGTTCATCCATCGACCATGGAATCGAGGGAAGACGATCAGCCGGAGCTGGAAAATAGAGAGGAGACATGGGAATCGGTGGCGAGCAATGTTTCGGATCCGCAGAAATGCATCGAGGAGTGTCGAGCCCAGGTCCTGGCAAGAGTGGTACCTGGCTTTAATGGATCAAGGTACAATGAGGTTTGCAAGCATCTGCTAGCGGACAACGATGACGCGAAGAACATTTTATGGGAATTATATTGCTGTGACGCGACGGAATGCGGGGTTCATTTGAGTGGGAAGCCAGAGCTGGGACAGGATCGTGAGTATAGAGACAGCATTTTTCATCGTGTCGTCTTATGGCTTCTGACTCTAGCTCAGCCAGCGTGAATCTGGTCATTAATGTATGTCAAGGGTAAGTCGACCCCTCTCAAGTTTTACCATTCTTAACTGAGTTTGGAGCACAGTATCTTTGCACCAGTAATTAAAGACCCAGGCCCTCCCCCAGATGACTCCATCTGTCCGATATCGTTGAACGGACCGCTTATCAACACGGACATGAGGCCGTTGTACAAGACGGATTCGAGAGGGCAAGAACCAATTTTCACGGGTTTTGGGATAATGGCCACGGTCCCGCCGGAAGTCATGCCATCGACTGCATCATCGACTGTATCGTCGGCCTCCAAATCGTCGACACGCTCAACAGCTTCAACAACAGCAACCCCAACAACGTTCATTCCACTTGCGAATCAGTCTCAAAGCCACCGACAAGAAGGGCTACACACGGGGACCAAAGTCGCCATCGGCACGTCGTGTACCATAGCGTTTCTCGCCATAATGGCCTTCGTGATATGTCTGTTTCGCCGTCGCTCACGAGACGACTACGACCACAGCCTAAAGAGCGAGATCGGACACCCGAACCCTCGACCAGACACATCCCCTACGCCCCTTTCAGGTCCCCTATACGCCATACGCGAAGGCATTCGTACGCCTTTGACGCCCCCGCCCCGCCTGCAGCAACGAAGGCTGCTTTCCACCCACGGGAATCCTGAGAGGCCGAGCATCAACATCAGCGTCTCCATCCCAGGAACTCCCCTCGGCGCCTCGGTCGAGAAGGCAGGCATCTTCTCGCCGTCTCTCATCTCGACACCCACGCCCATAGCAGCCAACAGAGTCCCTCCGAAATATGACCGCTCCACGAAGCCATACTACCGCGTTTCTCCGCCGCCGCCACAGAGTACATTCGGCCAAGGCACCAGCGGCGGGCCCCGATACTCCGGAAAGACGTCGAGCATGAGCAGCGCGGCGAGCAGTCGCACCGCCACCACCGTATCCAACGTCTCAAGCATATTTCCGCACCTCGTGCCCTATTCGTGGCCAATGCGGCCTCCGAGGCCTCACGAGAAACCGCTGCTGATACCGGATCTGGTGTGTCCTGGTCCCCCACCGGCTCGCTCGCTTCCTCCGGCACCGCCTGGGAGCCCCACGAGTCCCGTGTCCTTTCACAAAAAGTTGCTTCTTCAGCAATTACAGCAGCAACAGCAACAGCAGAAACGAGGTGGTAGTTTCGATAGCGTCAGCGCCGCTGTCAGCAACGGGTGGATTCCTCCTCGGAATCCGGCGCGGGGCGTGATGCTGGAGAAGGAGTCGAGGGACTTGTGCGAGTTGACGGAGACGTGTGCGAGAGAGTGGCGGGAGAGGAATAGCTGGGGAAGCTGGAGTATCGGAGGTGGTGGGACGGGTGTTGGGACGAGTTCGGTGCAAAAGGGGGGCGGGAGTGTGAATAGTCCCGTGTTGGAGGAGGAGGATCTGGAGAGGATAGGCGGGCGGTACTGAGTCTATGATGTTATCGATAATGATATGATGTGAAAGATAAGTTTTTTGAGGTAACCTCCCTCGATTTCCGTGTTGGTATGTCATTGCGATGGGAGGTGGACCTTTACGATCACGCGTGGTTCTGGTCTTGATCAGCTGGCTGATCGGTAGCTAGAATGAGATCTCGACATGGCGTTGTTAACTGTATGAGATACGTCTTGTTACGCTATATGTTGTCATTTAGTTCGTATCTAGCAATGTATATCTCGAATGGGATTCGGTATTATGCGAACACATATTTCTCGTCAGACATGGAAGTGAAGTTTGACACCTCTCTTGATCGGGAATCGCTCACCCATGCCACAATTCCACGACTTTTTCTGAATAAAAAAACATGGTTTTGAAGCTATAATTCGTATCTCAGACTGAGATCATACTATTCGTCTATCCTTGTGTGCGGCCCATGGAGCCTGTTAAGTCTGCCACGGTTCTACATGCCAACATTTACATCACGATGCCCTTATTCCACCACATACGACCATACCCATTGGAAAATTCGGGATCCCGTCCGCTCTCCCATAGACAAGCCAATGAGGGCCGGATTAGTAGTTGGGTCGGTGACGACCAGCGAATACCTGGTGTTGTATGTTTTTGGTGTTTTGGGTGGCTCGTTTCTCACGATGTGAGGCCCTGCGGTTTGGAGCGGATGGTGGGCGACGATATTAGTGCAGGACTCTTTGTCAGAGCGCCAGCCCAAACAGGACGCCTTTCAAGCTTTGAGTCTTGTCCTTATTGATAAAGCTGAGTGTGTTCATCTCCCTCAACGATCCTGCCGTAAACTTTTGAACCTTTGATCCCCGAGCAGCCCGGATTCTTTTGCTTCTTTCGATGGCCGCCTCGCTTCCGAGGTCCAACTACCCAATCCGAATGACTAAGTATGCGACTAGTCACTATTATCTGAGTCTTACGCTATGTTTGTAAAGCACTCTGCAGAGCCTCTTCTGCTGGGCTTTGCCCGCAATCGGCTGGTGGAATGACTCCTGGCCGGCAGCGAACCATGGGTTGTTGACTGCTGTCGTTATTCTTTTGCTATCATCCCTGGGCTTCTCAGAAGAGAAGCTAGTGCGAACGTTGCTCTTCAACATTCTAGGCGAGAGCTCGTGCTATCGTTGAACGCTTCAAGGTCGATGGTGAAAGCAAGGTGATCCTTGAAAGTCGCCTCAATGTCAATTTTCTCTCTAAGAGACGACATATTGTGGGTGGCAGAATAGTCTTCACCTTTTCTTCAGTCTCGATTTTTGTCTTTGTTGAAAAAGCATAATTATCTTCGTGGCACAGCGAGAGATAGTTTCCGGCGATGATGGTGAGAAGGGTGCGCGGATGTCTTTGGTGCCCGTGGCTTGCCTCGGTAAGGATTGAAACGTAGTGCAGAAGAGTTGCTTCCTTTTCAATAGTAAATATAGAAGCATCTCGTGTCTAGTCAAGTTGTAGTATACCGGTTGGACGCAGCAGAAGTGTGCAATTGTTCCGAGATTTAGAATGGCGAGTGGAAGCGGCGAATGCTAGGCAGTTAGAGACGAAAACAGTCGCTGAACGGGTTTTGGTGAGAGTTGAAGGTCATCAGGTAGTAAAGGTTGGTTTTTCGTCACATCGTATCAACTATTCGTTTTTTGGTTCTATAACCATCAGGAAGCGCGCATGTGGACATTACCCACCTCGATGCCATTAGCGTGCTCGCCTCGAGGACAAGTACATAGAAAGTCATCCCGCCTATTAGGAGTGAAATATCGCCAGGATCATCTGCTGGAGGAGTGTTTGGTAGTGCTGATTCGCGCAATATTGGTTGAATGGATGAGAAGGTGTCTGCCGTCGCGGAGGCCGATCCATCCGTTGCCCTCTCTTTGGACAGAGCTCACGATTCACTTCTAAGAAAGAAATCTTTGACAAGTCAAGCTAGAACCACCGATTTGAGTAAGAGTTGTAAGAGTAAGATTCTGTCAGCCCGATACTGTTCATACTTGTAGTCTGACTGAGAGGTTCTTGGCCATGACGAAGGTTGATGAGTGGATGTTACCTGTAAACCAAAGTGCATTTCTCACAAGGTAGCTACTTAGCTACCTGGCTAGAAACCCAAGATACCAAGGCATCCAGTTATTTAGAGAGACGGATAGGCGTCAATAGATAAGCGAGACAAAAAGATATTTCTACCACGTGATTCAAGGCATCTTCAAGTCAGTGGTGAGGGTGTCAAATATTTCGGAACTACTCCTCCTTCTTGCCTTGAGTTGCCCGGCACCTCCTGCCCTCTTGCACCCTTCACCTTCCTACTCTTCTCTTTTTCCCCTCTTCATGTTATTCTTTCCTCAGCTTTCACTTTTCTTCAGAAAATTTGCAGTCTCTCTTCTCCAACCTCTGTCTGTGTGGTTTGGTTGCTACTCCTCCCTGCCTTTCCCATTCTACTTTTCTTTCCGTATGCTCACCTTCGACTTATCACCTGCTCCGCGCGTCACGGGAATTTCGACCTCGCCTTTTTGACCTTCCCATCATCGCGGTCGAGGCAAGTCTGTTCTTTCCCCCAAAATCTCTCTGGGAGCACTTGCAATCCGAGGCATGATCTCCCTCGCGTGGACGGGTTCACGCTTTCGGGCTGGCGGATCTCCCCTCTTCTTCGACTCGACTCGCTACTGTCTTGTGTTGCCATCTTCTGGGCTCGCCAAATTTTTTGCTCGTTGCTGATCGTCAAGAATGGAAAACAAGATAACCGTTGCCGAAGAATCCGATAGCGACGCCGCCATAGGTAGAACGGATTCGCACCGACGCCATGTCAAGGTATGGATCTGGGGTTCCCTTTGATAATTTGCAGCAAAGCTAACAGCATTTCGGCGTAGCCTCTGACCAAGCGCGTCCTCTGATTATCCTTGGAGACGACCAGGCAAAGAAGCATGGTCTTACAGTAAGCTTAGAATTCTATTCTTGACGTTATTCACCTGTACATGAATCTAACAATATATTTCGGCCTAATCTCATACTTCCAATCGCCATCGCGCTTCCATGAAGCGTCGTGAAGAAGCTTGGATGATCAAGAAAGTCGCAATCCTTGGCAGCCGTTACGAGAACTTCGCAGCTCTCGTCAGGACCTGTGCCTCGGATCCCATCCACATCGGACTCTTGGTCAACAAACCTATGCTCTAGGAAGATGATCCCTGGCTTCTAGCAAACAGAATCAATGCCGGTATGGTCCTGGACATGACCCTAAACTGCCCCAGGTAGGCGACCTACCTGAGACTCATAACAAATCACAAACATAGTAAGTTCTCCGCGAACAAGTGAAGTCGCTTGGTTCTTCTCAATCCGTGGCACCCAATGGTTACCGAGTGCTGATGACTTCTAGTTCGCAGAATGCAAAAAACAACATCAAAGAGGGAGGCGTATGAGCAGATGCGGCATCTGCACACACTGTCTTGTCTTTCTTCGGCTCCCTTCTGGAACCTCCTGGGGTAGAGAAGAGGAAATGAAAATCACCGGCAATTTCAGATCTACACAAGCGACACACACATGACCAACAAAAGCGACTTTTTCGGAAAAAGTACGACGTTGAGGACTCAACATCAGGCACCATCCCTTAGCCAAGCTACTACACCCTACCGACCGCCTTAACCCTCATCACCGATACCCTCCCTCGTCTTCATTGCCAACACTCTGCTCACCGGTAACACTGGCGCCCGCTCCCCATGCGCACCACCGGCGACAGTCCCTGGGTCAACTCCCTCAACTTCGATGAATAGACCATCAGTCTGTCAAACGGGGCCGTCGTGCAGGTTTCTAAGGCAAGCCTGCTTCTGTTGTCGGACCGTCCTTTTCCGGGTCACTTCGCCTACGTGAGAACTCGGAAGGCTATTATCAGGTGGGATGCTTCTGGAGAAGGACCAGACGGAGCCAGTCTGAAGCCCAACGCAATTTTTCGCTCCTCTTTTGCCTCTCACCTAGTCATTTCTGGAAACCCTCGCTCCTAATCGAGCCGACACGAAGAAATCCGACAAGATTCCCTTATTTTGGCGTCCACATCACGCGGGAATGAACCTTTCCCCGCGACAGAGCTGTTCTTCTATCCAGCCTCTGCTTCCTGCTATCAATTTCCTCCTGAGCAGAAATGGTAGAGAATTGGGCTGACAGAGGAAGATATCGGAGCGGCTTTCAATGGTCAGAGAGACGGCAAGCTAAGTGGAGAAACACTATCTCAAGGAGCGCTTCGACCAAAGACAATGAACACGCCCGGATTTCACTCATACAACACTGATAGCCGATCCAATTATGGTACATCGCTGGCTAGCTGACGCACTTAGAATCTCCATGCCACAGCGCGCAACGAGCGCATGTAGACGTTTACCTACACGCGGTGCCAGACAACAGTGCATCCATCTATGGGCGGGTCATAGGTCGGGTCCGACTCATCACCGATGTAACGATCCTCACAATGCAGAATGAGTATAGTTGACTTGCTAAGGCATCATGCTACGGTGCAATTGCAATTTTACTTATTCTTCCTCACCATTAACGGTATGAACATCTATTCGACTTTTCGGTTGGTTTCGATTGCACACCCCAGCACACCCCAGCACACCTCTAATTGGCCAAAGCTCACAAGCTCCTTCTGCAGCTTTACCCAATTTTTTCCCCCCCACTGAAGCGATCCTTCCCAACCAAGACTCACACCGAGACGCACTCGACCTACCTATAACATCAGCCCGAACTACATAATAATTCGACATAGCGCCGACCATAAAACGAGGTTGGAAACCGATCGATCGCGGATCCGAGAGAGAAAAGGAAAGAAAGCCACAGTCTATGGAAGCAATCAAACAGAAATCGAAGCGCCTGCCAAAAGAAGAGAATAATGCCCCTCGACGACGACGACAATCCCACCGCGGCGCCAGCCGCGGCGCAGCTCAACAATGACTCGGGCGCAGGCGACGAAGCCGAGGATGAAGGTCTCTTCGACATGCGACTCTTTGCATCCATGTTCAACAAGAAGGGTGTCGCCTCGCAAGCCGTCCGCAAAGGTCAAAAGGACTTTGAGTCGCACGGCACAAAAGCCCAGGAAAATGCGCTGGAGACGAGCAGGCAGGTCATTGAGGAGGTGCTGGGATATACGAGGGTGCACAGGGATACATGGAGCAAGGGCTGGTATTTCCAGGACTACTGGCCCGAGATCATGGAGGCCATCGAGGATGGGGACACATCCGGGTTGGCGAAGCCTGAGTATCTGCAAGAATTTATGACCGAGACGAGGCCGATCTACGCCAAGGAGAGGGTTGTTGTCGTGGAGGAGCTGAAAGGTCCGCAGGCGAGGTCTATGGGCAGAGTGATTCGAGGACTCAAGACGCCAAGACCGGCGTTGGGAAAGCTGTGGTTATTACCCGAGGAGGCGCTGTTCCTCGTTGAGAGGGGTAGCTTGGAGCTTTGGTGGCCATATCGCGAGCTCGAGGAGATTCTGCCGCCGACGGAGACGAAGCCCGCTGAAGAGCAGACCGATCCCGAAGACGCAGAACCAGACGACGAGTTCGACGTTGGCGTACCCTTGAGCTTACAAGCCGCCTACTCATTCTTCATCGGACTGGACGGCGAAAGGGGCAAGATATCACTTCCGAAATACCAAGTCTACTCACACCTCAGACGGCTGGGATACTACGTCCAACGTGTACCGCCAGAAACTGCAGAACCTACGCCTACATCCGAAGCACCGCAGAAATCACTGTGGCAGTGGCTTGTCTCGCTCCTTCAGAGACCAGTAGCGGCGCCCGCAACACCACCGCCCTACGGACCCCTCGTCAAGCCGGGCGTCTACCGACGATACAGCGTCGTCTACAAACAACTCGAGCTTCTGTCCCGTTACCAGCCGTCGCCCGCACCGCAGGAGCGCAAGCAGGCCGAGGACCCGTACAAGATCCATTGGCACGTCTGGAAGCCTTCGAAGCATCCCAACCTCCGCGTGACGGACCTTCCGCCGCCAGACATCCGCATCGCTGTCGTTGACGCGCGCGACGACGCGATCCCGGATTTTGAAGAGATTTCAGCGCTACTCGACTCGACACCGTACGACGCGCCCGACCCTGTCTTGATGGGCGGACCAGGAAGGCTGTACCAGCGCCTGAGGCACGGTTACCGCAACGTTCTCGTCGCCGTCGTGGATCGCGGCTTGGTCAACTTTATGAGGTTCGGACAGGCTGCGTTTGGAGAGGAGAGGCTCTACGAGAGATTTGACAACCGGGGTGGGTTTCGAGGCGGGAAGAGGGGTGGGAGGGGTGGACGTGGAAGGGGAGGAGGCAGGGGACGGGGTCGGGGTCGGTGAATGATTGCCGCTCAATACGGAAATTTGATGTTGCGGCACGGGCTAGGGAGAAAGAGAGGCTCTCGAGGCGGGGCGGGCGAACTCTGGGACGGATACCTCCCAAGACTATTGAGGCACGTATAGAATGGAGTACAATTAGAGAAGCCTCACGGCTTGCGGCTCGTGATGATCGCCGCCAGTGGTTGATAGATACCCTCCCCCTCATCAGCACGGCCTTACCGTTCAATGATGAAATGAAAGGATTGTCTAATACCGGGTTCACACTCACGATATTCTAATCGCCCCAGCTTCATCAAACGTTGAAGTGTTTTCTGGGAATCCCAAACTGCTGGCACTTACTATAGAGGCTATGCTGACGACTAGTTACGACAGCTCTACAACCAACCCCAGAATCCACAACATAGACTTTTTCTCCCTTCCCGCCCCCAAAATACCCATTCTTTCTATAGAGTATAACAAAAGCCCGTACGAGGGGAAAAGTCTGACATCGCTCATCACCGGGAAGGACATGTTGTTACCAGCAAAGGTGTGTATTCACGCCAGCCATGTACCCGTAGGCAGCAAGAGAACAAGCCAAGACGTGTCCTTCAGGTAGTTAGTTGTAAACAAGTCGCCGAAATGAGTCATGCTTCGGGGGGGCTTAGGGACTTGCAACGCTCGTTGCCTTTGAGGCTGCCAGTACTCCGTACGGAGGAGTGACTCGAGTTAATTTCAAACTAAACTTCTAGGGCTGTCCGTAACCTGCCTCAGCTATACTAACTATCCTATTCTGTATCCGTGTAGACTTTTTTGAAGTAATATCGTGACTCTTGCCATGGCCATGGAAATTCGTTCTAATCATTCATAAACTCTAACGCAATGAAACTCGCCCAAAAATACGGCCGCGGAGTCCTTGGGTGCGCGGAACCCGCGCCTGTAGCGTGTAGTGCGGGTTGGGGAATCATGTTCTTTGCGGAGATTGCAATAACGCAGAGTATCTTGGACGGCTGTCGTCGTCGGAAGCAAGTTATGTTCGCGATATTCGATTACGTGCGGCTACATATGTCAAGGACAAACGTTTTTCGTCGGCACCTACGACGAAAACCTACAGCCTGAGAAAAGTCCACAATCCCAGGAACCTGCCCTCTTGAACTAGTGTACCCACAGAGCAGAAAAAATGTTGTCAGTGGCTCGATGCTTACTATAGTTACAGAGGGGAGGGGGGGGCATTCACGGAAAATGCATAGAGCTGCGAATCAGGAAGGCGGCCGTACGAAGTGCCGATATCATAACGCTGTAGGCTTTCACCTGAGAGAACCGGCCAATATGCGACTTATTTGGCGAGAAGTCGGTCAGCGCCGGCGCCGACCGCCGGCTGAGCTTTCTTCCAAAGTACGGACGCCGACGGGATTGTGGGGAGATTTGGTTTTGGTTTTGGTTCTTTCCATTTCTCTCTTGGAAGGCTGAATGACCTGCCTGTATCCGTAATCACATGGCAAAAATGCGCAAGGCGTGAAGTGGATGAAAGGGGAGGACGAGGGAAGATTGAAATGCATGGAAGGGCAGGGGTCGGAATGCCATCCATCAGTTTAGGTTGCGCGCGACCATGGGGGTCATTTCGGCGAGTACCGTACCTTTGACGACTCCGTACGGTGTTCAGCCAAGATGTTGTGAGCTTGGGACGGGGGTCTAACTTTCCATGTGTTCAAAATCCCCTCAAAAGGCTACCCATAAGAAAGAGCTGGACCATGTATGCGCGAAAAAAAAAAAAAAAAAAAAAAAAAACTCTTTGCCAACAACAATTGTCATCGCGGTGAGAAAAGATGCGCTCATGCGTCAACTGAGGGGTAAGAGTTGGCCGGGGTTTAGTTGGAGTTGGCTGCCAACCTGCATGGGAGATCAGGATTGACGACGGGGATATAACCACAGGACTGGAGGGCCCGTTCAACCCCTGTTGACGTGACCAGGAAGGGAAAGCCCACAGAGTACGGACGAGTGTCCGTACAGCACGTTCTTTTTTGAGTTTCATTGGGCGTGCATTTCTCATATGTACGACGACCAGTCGTTTTTCGACTCGTCAATTGTTCGAGTATCGAGTACTTCCTATGGAGGGAGTACTTGCAGATGCGGCATTTGAAAGTTTAGGCTGCATTAGAAGCAGCAGCGTGGAAGGCGATGAAATGAAAGGACCTGCCAGGTACGGTTCGTCAGCTGCCCGTATCCATTGCTACCTACCGTGTTCATGGAAAGTGCGTGCAACGAAGAAGAGAGTATCTCGCGGCTATCAAGGTGTGTGTTGTTGGCGAAGAAGGTCATGCGGGTGAACGATGAGGTGATCAAATAAACCAATCTCACCATTTACCCGCATGTCAGTTGCCTTGTTGGTGCTGGTGCTCGGTTGACGTGCGGTACCTTGCCTGAGTTGTCAACTTGGAGAAGAAACCTTCGGCAGGGCGCGCTGCGGAAATTGTCGCAAACCTAACTCTGAAGTTGACCGCACAGCTTCATGCACGGGATACAGAAAATGAAATGAAGGGCGGCAAACGATGACTGCAGTGATGGTAGGCGACAAAAAGGACATTGTGTGAGAAATGCACAAGAAAATGCGACAACAGCAGGGTTCGAACCTGCGCATCCGAAGATAATAGATAACGATTGAAGGATCAATTCAAGTCTATCGCCTTGGACCACTCGGCCATGTTGCCATATGCAATTGTTGAGGTGCAGGACCAAGATTTGCACCCAAGTACCGTGAACACAGCTGGCGAGGCCCACCAGGCGAACGAGACAGCAGCCAACAGCCCCGTGAACGAGCGAGAGATCGCCACAAAGAGAAATCAGTAGGTAAGCGTACTACGGCGACTTTGAAAACGTTCAAAAATGCAGCGAACCATGCTAGCAACCGGTGAAACATACCGAGCATGGTTGCTTCTCTGGTGGCAGTGGGTGCAACAACTGCCTTTAGCATACTTTTGCTGGCGCAAGAGTCAAAACTTGAAGAGGCATCAACTCCGGTTGCCGAGTTGCCCGGCTCGTGCGGGGGACCCGGGAGCTGAAGGCTTGAAGCACAAAATTGAAAAAGGTAACCATGAATGCCCGAGGGATGTGGTTATGAATAGTTCAGGATGGAACGTTTGGTCTTGGCGGTAAAGGGGAAGATCAAGGAGGTTTCCGATGTCCATGCTACCCAGGTGGTGGGAATCCCTCCCTGGTGCGCGCCGCCGCACAAAATTCGAGCAGAACAATGCATGGGGATCTGGCAGTGCGGCACCTGGTGCGAGCGCAGCCCGAAAGGTTGCTCATCCTCATCCACGCGCCCCAGTTTCGGGAGTTCCTAGATAGGGTAACTCGCTGCGTTTCGAGTTGAGGAATCGTGAGTCCGTCCTTTGCTGACAACCTGACAGCGCTTCTTGGAAAGTGAAGAGGGTTTCTGACTCTGGCCCCCCTATCTCATTTGCACAGTTTTGAATGCGTTGGTGGCCAACTGTATCTGGCTGGATAAGCATGTAACGGGAGTTGCGACAGACAACCTAACTCATTGGTGGTTGGTTGGCGTAAAGTATCGTGGCCCTTGTTAGTATTAGTTGGCCTGACATAAACATTAGCAATGCGTCGGCTTCTGTTCATAAGGTTGTGAAGAAACGGCGCGTGGAGAAAAAGCGCGAGATACACTAGAAGACAATGTTGCGACAGAGATGATTGACGGAGAGACCAATAACCGCCCAGGATGATGCGATCTGATGCGCTGATGCAGTGTCAACACACCCGGAGATCCACCACTGAAGCAATACCATTATTATATTAGTACCACGGCTTTACACGCTGTTCCAAGGATGCGTGGGGCCGGCCAGCCGATCAAGGTGGACTCGTCATCGTTAATACCAAAGTACCATGTTCATGTCGGGGATTGAGCAACAGGATGGTCGAATTTTGCTCTTGAATGGCATAAGCGATTCCTTCTGTTGATAACGGCAATGACAGCCGAGGCATAACGGTACCTTGGTGATTGTCTCAGATATCCAAAAGGCGAGACTGGTGTAACCCGAATGCGGACGCGTGGGTGATCGCGGGTTGGTGGAGGTGAGTGATGAGTAGTGAGAGAAAGAAAGACAAAGATAGCCAGACAAGTCGGCCGATTGCCTCAGGTCAGCAGATCATTGTGTTTGGGAAGAGGATTTGTTGCCCTCAACGGCTGGAGTTGCTGCGACTGACCTGCTGATCGGGCACAGTTGCCGTCGGTTGTACGCGCTCTTGCGTGTGTCGTGTCGCATGGCGATTTGATTGCAACTTGCGACAGCTTGGCCGGACTTTCCCACCGGGCCCCTCAGGAGTAGAGCAGAGAGGGAACAGAGAGTGATGACTGATGAGCGAACTAAACTCAAGGCAGGGGTGGGCCGACATGATACGGATACAAGGCAAGAAACGCGCTTGGTGGCAGCTGGCTGTCGCCCAGGTTGTCTTAGGTTGTGCTAGCCCGCCTGGGCTGTTGATAATGTGGAATGAGAAGAGTACTTTTTGCCAAGTACTTTGCGTGTTGTGGTACGTAGACCTAATGATATTCCTCTCTCACAGATTAGTTGTACCATGCCGGAGGCCTGACACCGATAGCCGACACAGAGTACCGATGCCGATGCATGAGTCTGATAGTCCAAGGTCTAAATACCTTGAGAGGGGTAGTAAGGAGGCATTGTTATTATTCAGAGATAACCACCAAATGTTGTAGACGCATAAGGAAAGAGACTCGGAGGACACCTCGCAAGTACAGTCAGTCACGCAAAAAAGGTAGTAGTATATGTATCCGTAGTGAACTTTGAGCAACAGCCAGTGGCATTCAATTTAGGTTGGGACTCTGCGCGCAGACTGGCAGCTGGATCAACCCGGCCAAGCTCATCCACACCGTGACCAAGCCAAGCGAGTAAGCCAGACGTATTGAGAGTATATACATGGAACGGCAGTACCTTTTCATTACGCCAACTTAGATAATGCAACATGCCAAACGCCCAAGGTAAGGTACATTTGGTCATTCGTGAGAAAGAGTTTTGCGCGCAAGCGGGGCTCAGCTACGGATACGGTACCACGGGGATTCCAGGGTTTTATCTCACATTTGCCGGCGCAATTGCCAAACAGTCAATCAACTTAGAAATACACCGGCGAAGCGTTAATCAAATTGCTTGGTGGTGGTGGCCCCCCCCCCCTCTCGAGTGAGAGTGGCCCCCTACTTGAGCCCCGCTCGAGAGCCCAAGTCAGCCAGTCATCGAAACTCTGGTCACAACTGCGACTGGGATTGATAGGGAATTACACGAGCCATGGTCACAGCTTGGTTGTACGCTACTTCGTTACGCATACTAGACCCTATCATTTGAATATGTGCGATCCTGGATAAGGTGTGCCCTGGGCAAGATGAGTCCGAGGCTGTCGTACAGATCCAAATGGTAACTTGCCTGCGGCGCCCAGTGATTCTCCACAAACTGCTTTGGGCAACGACTCGTCAAGAATGGTGAGGTATTTGACTCATCCGATCTGATGCCATCTGGGCACGCGCAGGTCGAACGTGGACTGGGCAAAGGTGGAAGAAAGGCGACGGGCGGGAGCCTTTAGGAGCGTGGCGGTGGAGGGAAAGGAGGGAATAACATCCTGGAACGCGCAATCCAGCTCGCCGGGCCTAGGAAAAAAAAGGTACTATTGATGCAAATTGCTTGGGACATGGCCATGCTGTCCTGACTGGATAGGGTGATGACTACCTTACCTTTCCTCATCCGTCCGTCTCCATTACGGGGCATTGGCAGTATCATTGGTTTCCTTTTACAATGTATGACCGACAGATGATATGAGCCACGGGCCACTTTTGACCAAAGTACCTTTTGCTCACACTCTCTAATACTGGACTATCTCTCTCTCTCTGTCTATCTCTCTCTCAGTCATCTCATGAGAGGCTGAGGCTGCTTGGCCTTCTGCTTGATGGGAGCTACTGGAGAACTCACCCAATAAACTGGAACCACCCCCGAAATCAAAAAATCCCAGTCGCAACTCTGGTTGGCCTGTTCTCCCTTGAGGACAAACTAAAACCTATGTCTCTCAGTATCTTGTTCGTATCTTTCTCGCCCTTATCCTCCTCCCCATCCATCCATGGCCACTCACTCACTCACTCACTCGCCCGCCCACTGGCAGAAAATTCCCTCTCATTTGTTCAGTAAAACCTTGCCGGGCTTTTTACTGTACCTTGGTGAAGTGAACCCCATCCACACCCCGATTCTCATACCAATCGCTTTGTTTCCTTTCCTTTTGTTGCCCCCTACCCCCTTCCATTCCCCTCCAAAGTTCCCATCCTTTTTTTGCTCGTGACACGCCCCCCCGATACTTTACAAACAACACGTCAATAATCAAGGTTCCGATGCGGCCAGGCCACAACAGTACTTGAGTAAAGTACCTACCTTAGCTTAGCTTACTGAACTGAATTTACCCTTCCTTGCCCGTGCTCTGCTGTACACTACTGGTATCCGTACGCTGTGCCCAACTTTTACATCATCCCACACACGGTCCTCCTTTGGGTCTAATTCCAACACTTTTCTCTTCCTCACCTCGCATACCCTTACACGGCGATAACCCAATGCCGTCAACTTGTATGGTTGACCGGCTTTGATCGTCTCGCACGTTGATAACTGGTGTTTTCGTCCATCAACAACAGCAGCTCTCTCCGCTAAGCACGCCTTCATCTCGTTTAAGGCGCGCCGAATCCTGTTTCCCGCGCCATTCAACTGTCAGCGTCCGTGCTCTGGGACACAAGCCTGAGGTACCATTCAGTGTTCACCTCATTCTCTCAGTCTCTGCCTTACCTTACCTTACCTTAAGGTAGCTTTACCTCTCGCGCCCACCTCTCTCTCTCTCTCTCAACCTCGACACACCCTGCTTGGACTAGAAATTCTGACTGGGGTGCCTGACGAGTGATGACTGGAACTCTCGCCTCATTTGGCTTGGCTTTTGCTTTCTTCTTAGTCTAAACTGGACATAATACGGCGAGACGGTAAAGGTGTGGAATCCAATACTTTGTACACCTCTCACCTCTCTTATCCACTCATACTCCGTCCTCAGCACTCACTCGCTCAGTCTCTTTCTCTCACTCTCTCTCTCACTCTTACCTGACACTCATCTCTTCTTTCCCTTCCCCCCTTACGAATACTCCGTACTGATACACACACCTTCCTCCAGTCTACCTACAGTTCTACACCTTTCCGTCTCCACCTTTCCCGGTCACATTCAATCTTGGCCTCAAACACGAACCGCGTCCACCGATCATTTGGAGCCGGCATTCAACCCAAACCACCGATCCCTCCTCTTAGGCCCATTAGCCTTAGCTTTTGTCTTCTTACAACCACACGTCCCAACACATTTCCATCCAACAACGCCTTACCCAGCAAGTTACCCATCAAGGCAAACACTTCTTTTTTTTTTTAGTCCAAAGAGCCAACCTGAACCGCAAGTCTTTGTCGCCTGATTTTCGACAACTCGGGGGGTTCAGTTGATTTGTGGCGACCGTATCAATATCTACCGCCAGACAATCGGCTCAAGTCACCCGGTCGCAACACAAACCCGCGAGAGGCCAACCGCGATGGAGACCACCACCGAGGTCGAGACAAAGCAGCCGTCAGTTGCGCCCTCAGAGCCGCAGCAACAGACCCCAGTTGCCGAGACCCCTACAACCACAGAGTAAGTTATCTTTTTGTCTCTTTACCGCCTCTCTCTCTCTCTCTCTCTATTCTCTGGTCTCGCTTGCTGCATCTGAGTTGTTGTCACTTGATGCTTCCTTCTTCAATTGCTCTCCTTCTCCTGTACAAGAACCACGCGCTATGACCAGTGGTGAAGTCATACACTGGGTCGACTTCGACTTCACCTTCGACTTGGAGTTGCCTGCAATCCCATCACAGCCCTCAACTCGAGTTCTTGCTTCATTTTCTACTTCGCAGCCCGCACCTACCTTTACCTTTGCCTTCACTTCCGTCTCAGTGTTGTGGCTGCACGGAAACTCCTCTCCTTCCCTCCCTGACACTGCATCTGACGGCGCTTCTAGCTTCGGCCACTAAGCTAGGTTGTAAGGCCGCCAAAGTTCCCTCTCGTCATTCCCCCTTCCACTACAACCAGCACCGACCCCTCCCTTGATTCAACCACACCTCTCTTCCCATCAAGCAACCAGATCACTTTCCTCTCATCAACTCTTGTACCTCGTCGCAGGTGTACACGGTCTCTCAGATCCTCTGCTTTCATTCCATAGCCTTGTTGAGCCTCGGTTTCCTTAATTACGCGCCGCAAATACTCTGTCTTTGTTCTCACCTCCTGCGAAACTCTCAGAATGCCGTTCCGACGAGACGCCCGCCTCAAGAGCACTCCCGAAGAGCCCTCTGTACCTATTAAGGAGGAAAGAAGGTGCGTCGCATTCCTTTGAGACTCTCAACTCCCCATTTGAGTTTCCTGGTTCTTGACTCCCTCTTTGCGAATCAGAGTTCCAATGTATTTTTGGCACCTGTCAAAGTTCAATGCAGCCGCCTGGTTTGCTTGCCTTGGTTAAGAGTGCAACTGGCGAGTTGCCGAGAGGCGCATGTCGAGTCAGGGACAAGTGTTCCCGATTCGTGTGCGGATACACCATCCGCTTTGGATGGCTTCCTACCCCTGCTCAACTCGAGTCGTCTGCAATTCTTGGTCTTGGTCTTGCGCAATTGCTTCCCTGCCGGCGATGCCTTACCTTTCTGTCTCTCTTCCCATTGGACGGGGCTTTCTCAGTTACAGCCACCATGGCCGAGCTTCACCGTCTTGCTTAGCAAAGACCTCATCAGGGTTGCGAGTGCGCACCCATTTGGGCAACATCGCAACACATCCTGGAATGCAACGAACTCAATCGTGAACAAGCATATACTAATACCAATTACAGGCTCAGCAGTACCAATGGTGTTAAGCCACCAGCTCTGGATGACGACGACACCGCCAATGACGATGACCTAAGCCCGCCTCCAGAGAACTTGAGCCCTGTCTCAGGCAGCCATGATCGCGCTCTGGAAGATGAGATTGTTGTCGGTAACCGCAATGGTGTGCAAAAGTCATCTCCCCTCCGCGTTGTTTCTGATCCCGAGGATGAGAATATGGCGGATGTTGAGGATGAGCCAGTCGTCTCTCACTACCCTAAGCGGAAGCGCGCGTCTGTCTTCAACGACTTGAGTGAAGACAAAATGGAGAGCAGCCTTGTCTCAGAGAAGGAAGGCACGCCGCGCGGCACCAAACCAGCTCGTAGGCATGGGCTGGGTGGTGTAAAGGGCGTCATTCTCGGATACTGGCGCGATTCGCCCGTCCCCGACCCCAGAGGCAAGCATGCAGTTATTGGCTTCATCGATGTCCGCGATCGCCTCCGCACTCGCATTCAGCAAAACACCCGCTTCGGCGAGCCGGTCTCGAGTCTCGAGTATCCCCTCCCGCCCGGGCCAGGTGGCAGCTGGGTGACCTTCGAGCGGGTCGTCTTCGCAGACCACCTGGTCGGTCTGGACCACCACCAAGTGAAGGAATATGTCAAGCTTCGAACGGATTCTATCGAGATGACGGAGGAGGCCCGAGATGCTGCAGAGCAAGCTGCGGCTAAGGAAGCGGTCCGACGTGTCGAGGAAAACCCTCCCCCCGAGAATCCCGTAGCGCCAGCCATCGCATACGGTGCGGAGATTCCCGACCACGCCACAATGCCGGCTCGACCGGACTCCAAACGTCGCCGCACTGGTAGTGGCATCGGCACGATCAGTGGAGGACCGGTACAGCAGACGCCGCCGGCACAGAATATCCCGCCAACTCCTCAATTCGACCCTCTGCCAGGCACCAGACCCACACGCATCATTGTGGGCTACTGGAAGGGCTCCAGCGAGCCTGATCCTATCAACAAGCACGCGATCTACGGCATCCTCGGACAAAATGACATGTTCCGCGTCAAGGTGGCGCGAGAGACGCGTGATAAGCGCTTCGTCGATGGCAACTTCCCTGTTGGAGCGGGTGCGCTTTGGATTCACTGGGAAGAGGTCGAGCTAGAGCCTCACATCAAAGTACTGTCTCGCCCCGAGGTAAAGGAGTATTGTCGTGTCCGTCAGTACCAAATCGATCAAGGCGAGACCCACAACGAGCGAGTCGAGAATGAGGCCAGGGCAGTGTACGAGGCACAACAGCGCGTGGCAAATGGGATCAACAAGCCTGGTTACATGAACAACATGGGCCCGCCTCCCGTCATTGTTCCACAACCAGAAGAGATGCTCGAGGCACCCGAGACCAAGGTCGAGGTTAATCCCGAACTGCGCCAGAGCCGCAGAACGGAGAACCGCGGCGTTCGACACTCATTGCCCGATCTCGACGTCAGACAGTCATCGCGAACCCCGGTACAAGCGCAGAATAAGATTGACGCCAGTGCACGTCGCGAAATCGCCCGGATCGAGGCCGCCCAAATTCGAACAGAGCGTTTCGCCGCTGACCGCGAAGCTGCTCAGAACGCCCAAGCTGCTCAAGCTGCCCAGGTTGCTCAAGCCGCCCACATGGCCAACTTGGTCCCTCCCCCGATGCCGCCGCAAGCTATGCCTAAGATGCCTTTGCAGAACGGCAACGGCAACGGTCCCCGCATGAGTAGCCTCTTCCACGAGCGCGACGAGATGCAGCGCCTGAACAAGGTATGGGCCAGCCAGGAAGAGCACCGCAGCAAGGTTGGAGGCGAAGAAACCAAGTTTTACGGCGGTATCAAGTACGAACGCAAGACCAACGGTCCCTTTGTCGGCAAACTCGTCTCGCAAGGCACCATTATCAGTATTGACGGAGAGGATTATGTCGAGTATCGCGTACTCACGAAGCCAAGTTTTTTCTAGACGACCAAGACGGGATGCACCTCGCGGCTCTAATCACTTTCACATTTTCGGTTAGTTGGCATTCGCTGAGCGATGATCGCCAGATTATGGGATTCCTCCTGAGCGTTTAGTGTAAACGAATCTCTCTCTTTCGGTACTGGGTTCAACGGATGGAGGCTCAGGATTTCCTTTGTTTTTTCTCGCGACAAAATGGATGCGAGGTTCGGCGGAAATCGGGTCTTTCCTATTATACCCCCTCTCAACCTTTTCCAATTAATCAGTTTTTCCTTTTTTTTTTTTTTTTTTTCGTCCTTTCGGCGTGGAAAAGCCAGCTCGGTCTCCTCATCGGCCACAGAGAACTCGCCGAGGAGGGGACTACTATACCATGTTTTCTTTGTTTTCGCTCTCACGCCCTTCGCAATACCTCACTCATACACCAATGGCTTGCCTAGTTGAGTCATATGGTGGGAGGGACATGGATTCGAATGCTTTCTTCTGTTGTTGTTTTTTTCTAATTATCATGATGCCATTGCTATTCAGAATGGGTACCTCTCAGGCGGAGGTCGGAACTGAGCGGAAAGGGGGAAAAGCGTGGGATCGATACCAGGACCCGTGGTTGTCAGTAGCTTTCAGATAGCAATCAAATGAATCGTTTAAACTCTTGTGTGCAATGTGAGGACGTTTGAGGTGTGCTGGTATCAATGGCAAGACTTGACTCGGGGAGTTGAAGACAATATGGATTTTCGCTCGAGGTAAAAGTACAAAATGTGACATCTTCATTCGTTGAAACCGTTTAGTCTGTCCCAAGGTCCCCATTATTGTACGTACCTCCCATCCCTCACTTCTCTTGATCAAAGTCGTAGCTATTCCCAAACCCCCTCCCCAGATACGTCTTCAAAGCCTCTTCCCTCGTCGTCCAATCCACCGGTATCTCCAAGTCACTCTTCCCCGTCTCCGCCTCCGTCTCCCCCTCGAGGAAAGGCCTTACATCCTCGGCGAACTGCAGCCGCATAGGGTTACGGTACCACCCGGCAAAATGAATCATGGCCAGCATGACGCGCACGTCTGGCGTGGTGTTTGGCATCCCCGCGTGCCAAAGCCGCAGGTCGCGGATGACGATGCTCCCCTTTTCCACCGTCGGCTGCGAGGGCGGGCGGACGGCGCGGCGGAGGTCGAGGAGGGGTGGGGTTATACGGCCGCTTGCACGGGTGCCGTGAGCGCCTTGTTGGGCTGCTAGGCCCGAGGGGATGATGGTGCCGGTGTAGCTTGGGGAGGATGTGGTGGTGGTGGATGAGGAGTCGGTTGAGGATGGAGGGGGATGGAGGAGGTACGGGGCGTGTGTGCCGAACCAGAGCTCGGTTGAGCCGTTTGAGGGTGTCATTTTCACGAGGGGGACGTTGATTACGAGGGCGAAGGGGTGGGATGGGTGGGCAAAGTCTGCGTCCGAGTGGACTGGTTGGCGTTGCGGCTTTGCGTCTGGCGATGGCGGCATGGCGGCGTTTGCGGAGCAGAAGGTCCAGTTTGGGCGCGGGCCTAGGATGGAGGAGGTGATTTGCGTCGCTATGGCGTCTGTATTGTTGTTCGTAAGTTATTTATAGAGAATATGAGGAGGGCTTGGTTGGGCATGAAATATGGACCTGGTGTGTGGAGTGATGAAAGGGAGAAGGGGAAGGGGGATGGACTCAACTTGTAAAGATGGACTTGTAGAAGTACTCAGCCACGGGAGGCGGATCTTGTTGTAGATTCCCCAGATTATAGTTGAAGGGCCCTTTGTCGCCCAGCGACCGGAGGTAGAGTGCGTCCTGGACCATTTTGGCGTTGAGGGCGTCGAGGTCTGCGTGCGGGATTACGTCGGCGACGACGACGAGGCCGTCTCTGTGGAGGTGGCGGACGGCGAGCTCGAGGTTCCGCGGAGAGAGACGGGCGTTGAGCAATTCGGATTGTGAGGGGTGTATTGTTGCCGGTGTTTTTGGGAGGTCCTTGTGGTCGTAGTCATGGTTGTTTGGTGTAAGTGAGGCCATTGTTCGGCGGTTAGTGAGAGGGGCGCGAAGACGAAATGGGAGGTTGGAGGTCAAGAAAGGGAGGCGTGGATGAAGGAGCATTGTTGGGGATGAGATTGCTCTGATGGCTTAAAATGGATGATGATGGACAGATGAATACATGGATGAGAGAGTCCAGAGATTTCTCATGCATTTATATTTTGAAGTGAGGAGGCTTGAGAAGAGGCCCCCTGCCCCAATTCCGAGCTCGGGTTTGGATGACACAACGTGCATTTCCCCATCCACTCCAGACCCCTAGGTACTACTATGGTAGGTTTCCGAGGGTTTTCTCCAAACCCGAGCTCGGGGTACGCTCGCTGACCCCCCATACCCCCTCTTCATAGCTAGCTACGACTGGCCATCCTTTGATCAATATCCGTCTCATCATCCGTCGCCTGCATGTTCCAGCGGCGGTGGATTCCTCCAACCCGCCTCCAGGTCCGAGACGAGTGTCTGAACTGGCCAGCCAATTGTCCGCTTGCACGCCAAGAGGCGGCGGATCAGCTCCTGTCGCGAGGCTTCCGCTCTGATGAATCGTGCACCTTTGAAGAGTAAGTTGAATTCTGTAGATCAGCTGGTGGGGGTATATGTGCGAAAGGTGTACGTAGAGACCTGGTTCGACAGACTCACAGAATGCGATGGGGCCAAAGGCGTTGACTTGAACCGAGGGCTTGTTGGCAGTGAATGCTACGCCACAGACGTCAAGGGCGAGGTACTCCAGGATATCGTCTTTTGTGTCTTGAGGGCCGAGCCGGTCGTGTAGCGTGCTTTGAAGACTTGATAGTTGATGCGGGTTGGCGTGGAAACAGAGTATTGTTGCGGCGACGAGTTGATAGTGGAGGGCCGCCGCTAGATTCTTCCTTAGTTACAAGACAAGGGTGTTCTAAGATAAAAAGGCTTACCGTGGTGATCTCTAAGCAGCCAAATGGATGGCAAGGCGAGGCCCAGACCGCGCTCAACCGTGGAGAAGGGTTCAAATCGTGATGGTAGACTTTCACGCCATTCAAATAACAGATGAGAAAGGTTAGACCACGAGTCACCCGCGACGGGATCTGAGCCTGCGACGCATGTATTGATGATGCGTCCGAGAATGAGAGTAATGGCATTGAGGCAGTCTTGATCGGTTCTTTGGCCTGTCATCGGTAGGGTCGGGGTCACCTGAGCAAGATTTATCTTGAGCGGGCATCTTCGGAATAAACTAAAGGTGATGTCCTCGCGCATGTAGTTCCAGAAGCCTGCTGCTCGAAGGCTAGACCCAAAGGAGTCGGTTTGAGGGGTATGATAGGCTGCCAGAGAATATGCTCCCTGAAGGTGCCTGTTTGGGTCAACCTCTTCTGCTTTGGTGTCAGTCTATGCAACATAAATGTTTAAGTGTTTACAGGGTGCGTCAAGTAGTGACCAGAGGACGACAGAATCTCACCACTTAAAATCTCATACGACCGCAAGAGACAAACAGAAGCCAGCGCAAGCCCCTGCGTTCTCTCATCATTGTCGTGCTCCTCCACTGTCAGATTAATCAGCAAACGAACGCAGTGGCCATGATAAAACTCGGCCGCCACCCTGGCGGAGGGCGCGGTAGTCCGGCTCGTGTGGACCGCGGACAATGCCAGAATGGCGGCAAAGGGCAGCGGGTTATCGCAGGCGGCCTCTGGAAGGCTTGTGGCAAAGGTCAGAGACGCGTCGCTGAGGTCGTACCATGGCGCGATGGTGGTGATGTAGTGGGAAAAGTAGCGTGCTATGGACGGGTTCTGGAGGGCTTCGCGGGGGTTGGATGGTGATGGGAAGGCTGTCGGAATGCATGTGAGCGGTTCAAACGTGAGCAGAGTAAAGAAGAGTGGGATACGCATAGAAGATACTCACCGGCGAGATCGGGCTTCGGGGTCTCATCTTGACTCTTGCTGTGTTGTGGAAGCGGGATGGTGCGATCACAGTATCGCTGAGCCTTGCGGCAACGTAGGCACGCGGGCAGAGCCTCGTCGCCTGAGTAATGTCGTATTGGTCAAAAGAGCTCTTTCCATGGTATCATGTTGGATGTTTGCTTACATTTGACCTTGCGGACGCGGCAGGTGTTGCTGGTGGCACTTGTCAGCACGATCATCTGTCAGCGGGCGGTACTAGTTCTTGTTCTCTTCTTTACCATGCTGCGATGATGTCAGAATTCCGTTCAAGAAGGTCGTTTGATGTGCGCAACTGCGTCAAGAGGATGTCTTACCTGCCTGGTTCAGAATACGAGGCATCGACTTTCTCCGGTCTATCAAGAGGGAAAGAATGTAAGGAACAGATAGACAAGCCGTAGTCAGACTCAGTGGAAAACCTGCCTACTTTGGCACGTGTGGAAGTCACTGCAGCGCTTTGGCACAAGGAAGCGGCGAACAAGACGTACGCGCCGAGAAAATCGCGAGGTAGGAAATTGTGTCAAGGGATGGACTGTCGTCTTTGGGCGAAAAACTCCAATTCCTCGTCTCCATGACTGGACGGCCGGTACCCCGCGCTCGGAGCGGACGGGAGAGTGGGGCACCGGCGGCGATCCCGTCTCACCCCGGATCGCCGGCAGCCACGTTCCTAAGCACTAGAATCGCCAAGCCCCAAAGATCAGCGCAGAGCTAAAGAGGCGCTGCTCTAGAGAGCGGCTTATGACATAAACCCACGGAAATAGAACGTCTTAAAGGATCCGAGGTGAAGAGTGTCATGGGGCAGGATTAGTTTAGTACCGCCACGATGAGAAACGTTGCATCAAGAATGATGAAGTATGATCCGAGTTCAACTCACATATAAACCAAATGGCATTGCCGTGATGGAAGCTCTCAATCAGATTCAGACTCACATACAAGACCAACCAACTATCTCATTATACATTACCAATCACAACTTTCCTGTTCTCACTCAATAACTTTTCAAAATGTTCGCCCAGACTCTCATCAAGACCACACTCCTCGCCGCAGTAGCAATTGCAGCCAGTCTTCCCGTCAGACAAACGACACCCACCTTCCGCCTCGCCGCGAACGTAACCAACTTTGACCTCACGCCCTCCATCCAGGGCCAAGAGCTCACCTACACCTCAACTGCAGACTGCGCAGCCAACGTCGTCTTCGGACCAGCCAGCCAGGGCGCCGAGTTCTACGCCTCCAGAACCACGGTTAACGTCGCCCACCTCTCTAGTGAAGACTCTTCTCCTTCGTCCGGGTTGATCGTCACACCCGGCGGAACGGCGACGGTGCCGAGCGTGAACACCGTCCAGCTGCAGTGCGGGGCTGGCACGTCTGGCGTGACCATCACCGATGGAAGTCTGCAGTTTGAGGACGGGTTCTGGATGGCGTGCCCTAGGAATGGCAGCGTTGTGCTGAGCTTCAAGAAGGCCGGCCAGAGAACCCTTTTAGGATGTGCTGATGTTCAGCTTCTCAGCATCTAGGAAGACCATCTGAAACACCTGGAGATGGACTCACTGCATTGATTCACGGGTAATACATGGTGGATATGGTGAATAATATGTAGTGTTAGTAATATTTGGGTAATCTGCATCATATTGATACTGGATATAGACGGGTTGCATGGAAATCAAGGCAAGGTATGAGGGGCATAACGTAACAGCATGGGTGGACTCTTGGTCGTTAGGATTTGGTATTCTTTAATTCAATTTGCATATCCAAATGCCTTCAAGTTCGCTTCACTCTGCCCAGAGCTATTCAGTCGTTCTGTAATAGTCCAACGTTTGGTATACCAATCCAGCCCTCAGCTTGCTTTTAACCACCTCATTTAGCGCACAGCTCCACAAACTCCCCGATCTCCTTGTTAAACCTCTCAGGCTGCTCATAAAACAACCAATGTCCAGCCTCAAAGATAGACGACTTCGCCAAGCCCGGCCGGTTCTTCTCCACCCTCCTGACAGTCTCAAGCATCCCCTCAAGCGGGAAGCACCCAGATTTCCGCCCCGCCATCACCAACGTCGGCACACTAATCATCTCAATCGCCTCGCGGTGGTCATACCGCGTATGATCCGCCAACAACCTCGCAAGCCACGCCTGATCGCACAGCGCACTGATCCCCGTGAAGAACTCCTCGTCCTTCTTCCTCACCTCAGCAGAGATATCATCCGCCGGGTCAGGCTTCGCGCGGTACCCAAGACACCCATCCACGAGATCAACATGCGCCGCCGCCGACTCCTCCATCCAGAACTTCTGCGCACCCAGCATGCTCTTCTCGTCGTAGCAGCCCGTGTGCGCCAGACTCTCGTCCCACCCGTCAAACTTTGAACGATCCTGCAGCGGCGCCTGGTCGACAAAGACAAACCCCGCGAAATCCGCGCACCCGAAAAGCTCCACGTACGTCCAGAGCACCGCGGCGCCGATGGAGCAGCCGACGGGCACGATCTTGAGGTCGGGCGAGGCGGCGGCGCGCCGCAGGTGGTGGACTAGGTCGCGGAGGTCGGCGGCCAGGCGGGCGACGTGGTAGCCGCCCTTTGTGCGGTCCGACTTGCCGTGGCCGCGCATGTCTGGCGCGACGACCCAGGTGTCCTTTGAGGCAAGGACGTCGGCGTTGCGGTAGAAGTATTCTGAAGAGCCGCTGAAGCCGTGCATGAGGAGGACGCAGCGGGTTGCGGAGGTGGCGCCTGTGAGGGGCAGAGAGGATTGGAAGGCGAGTTTGCAGCCGTCATTTGCGCCGCAGTGGGCGTAGTGCATGCTTGAAGTCGCCATTTTCGGTGAGAGTAGCGTGAAGCGTTGCGAGACGATTTGAGAGTGAATGAGATACTTTTTCCTCCTTGTCAGAAATAGTCGTTGGTGGTGAGTTTGTTTTAAGGGGTCAGATTAATTGCTCTGGATTGATAGAACGGCGGGGGCGTCATGGCGGGGGGATGTTTTCTGTTGATGGGGCCGGGGCGGGGGATAATCGGCGGCCCGTGATAGCGGCGGCGATCCCCGTCCCCGCTGCCGATAGCGCCGAAGTCTGACTTTATCTGGACAGTCATTTTATTCAGACTTGTTAGGTTTCCTCACAGCTTAAGAATCTGCAATTCAAAATTACATCTTTATTTCACGTTTCACTTTCCCTTTCACTTCCCCTTTCACTGGCGACGTACGACTGTGAAACTGGTACTTGGTCAATAACTCATTTACTTGAGACGTCAGACGTTCCACTCGCAGCCATTTCCTTTGGTTTTAAGCTCCTAGAGAAGCGTGTCAGCCCGGCTCATAAGATAATCAAAACTTGTGCCGCTGCCACTCCCATTTCATTGATATAAAGAAACGAGTTGATTTATGTACGAATGTAATATGTATTTCAGAATTTCCGTTTGCTATTCCTGAACTAAACACAAACAGCCCATGGTCGTCGGTATGAAGCTTTTTTTTCTCCCACCAGAAAAGAACTTTGTACAACTTTCGCACAACACTCATGTACACAACTCTTTCCCTCCCATATACCAAACCCACACAGCTCGCCGTCGAATCAAGGAGAGGGTTGATTCTAGAAGCCTAGAAACCGTCCCCTCTTCTTAGATCGCCCAAGCTCTAAGCTTCAACACCAACAAATGTCAGCGTGCTTTTTTTTTTTTAAGCAGACGGGGTAGAGGTGGGCGGGGCACCCGGGGGAGCACCGGTAGGGAAGGTACCATTGGGAGGAGGGCCACCGGGGCCGCCGCCGCCACTGCTCTGGTCGACACCGCCGCCCTCGTAGTAGTGCGCGGCGGCGCGGACCTCGTCGCTGTAGTCGGCTGTGGTGTCGATGCCGATGGTGATCCACATGAGGAGGCCGTCGTTGAGGTCCTCGCCGAGGCGGACGTACTTGAGGAAGGGGTCGTAGGCGGCGGTGGCCTCGCCGGCGGCGATGCCGTCCTGGAGGTTGGTCGTGAGGGTCTGGGTGTTGCTGGTGTAGGGGGCCAGGGTCTCGACCTCGGAGATGAGGTCCTGGTCGAAGAAGAGCTGGCCAATGTTGCGGGCGGTGCCACCCTCGAAGGTGCCGTTGGGGAGGATGGTGGCGCCGTCGGTGGACATGATGTGGATGTGGGTGGCACGGCCGGTGTAGTGGCCCGGGAAGACGTAGTCGAACTGGACGACGCCGTCCGAGTCGGACTGCTGGACGCCGCGGCCGTGGGTGGTGTTGAGGCCGCCCTGGCCCCGGGCGGAGACGCCCGAGTAGACGCCGGTGGCGTTGCAGGCCCAGGCGTCAATGATTTGCTCGGGGACGGCGGTGCAGTCGTTGATGTCGACGAACTGAATGTCGAGGTGGACGGGGACGCCGGCCTGGCCGTCGGTGGTGTCGACGCGGATGAGCTCGCCCTCGACGTAGTAAGGGCCGATGGTGGTCAAGGGGACGAGGGCGCAGGTGGCGTTGGAACCAAAGATGTCCTCGAGAGGGGTGTCGAGGTTGTAGGCCTCGGTGGATTCGTGGTCGACGGCGGCCCACTTGACGAGGTCGGCCTGGGTGCGCTTCTGGTGCATCTTCTGGTCGGTGAGGCCGCGCTTCTCGCGGAGCATCTGGGCCGTGTTGGCGCGGCGCTCGAGGGCGCGCTGCTTGAGGGCCAGGGCGGCGGGAGAGTTGGAGCAGGCGTCCAGAGCGCGCTTGCCGTGGACGGTGACGATGTCGCGGAGGGCGATCTCTGCGGCAATTTCGTCGGTCGTGTGGCTGCCATGGGCTGCGACGGTCCCAATGAAGGGGGAGAGGGCCAGGGCCGCGGCGAGGGCGGAGCGGAGCGCCATGGTGATGATTCTCTGGAGATTCGAAGACGAGAAGACGGGGGCTTGCTGGCGAGTGAAGCAGACCACAGAAGTGTCAGGAGCAAGCTGAGAGAAGAGAAGGACTGATGGAGGTGAAGAGCCTGGTGAGAAGAAGGAGAGATATTTCGTCTTTCTGGCAGGAATCTTGACCTCCTCTTATATCATTCATCTTCTTGGCGTTTCCATAATCCATCTTGTTTCCTCCTTCCTGATCCTGATGATCCCGTCAATGTCAACATCTTGGCACTGTCACGGCATTGCAACATACCTTGGTACTCTCTCATCCCCTTCATCTGGTCTCGAACAGCACAGCTAACCCACCGCCCAACACTGTATCCCGGCACGACAAGTCAAGCACGGAGCACGCAAAAGCAACTACATTCCGTACCAAGTAAAGACTCTCGTCTCTCCGTTTCGTTGGCGTGCCCCACACTCCCGCGCGCGGGCGCCTGGCGAGACATCGTCGTCACCTTCCTTCCCAGAGTCGTTTCGACCGGCGTATGAGGGGCGTGACAATGTCGTTCGAAGCCACTGTATGGTTTAGCCTCAAGCAAGGTACTCTGTAGTTGGAGCATGTAGTTTGGGATCGAGTTGGTTCCTCCTCCTCCTCCTTCCTGGAGCGTTTACAAGGATACTACATAGTACCTTACTTGGAAACCTGGTTGTCCGCCACTCCGCGCGCACCGCGGAGCCAGGGAATTTACACTAATGTGTAAGGTTAACAGAGACTAGGGAGTGGCGGCTTTTCTGTGAGTGACGGGCTAGCAAGCGCGAACGGTCGATGGTCGCAAGGGTTGGGGGGTTATTCGGACGTCCAAGACGTGTGTCATCCAATCAAGGCAGAGGCAATTCCAATTGCATTGCGTTGGGTCATTTGGCAAAAACAAAAAAAAAGTGACGGTCCTGGTCCTCTTCTCCCGTTCCGCAATGTGAGTGTGTGGTTCAAATGACAAGGTACGGTGGTACGGGGATCGGGGTGTGAGTGGGGTCCTTTGGGTCTCCCGGGGAGCGGCGGTTTGGGATGGCGTATCCGGGATGTGGGCAACGGCCGGGAAGTGGTTACGTGGCTCGGCCGAAAACTCCTAGGGCCACAAACAAAAGAACAGTGACACTCCCTTCTCGACTCCTGCAGATGGAACCAAAGCACGAACAGGAGGATACGTTTGGATCAAGGAGGAAGGAGGATAGAGCTCCTTTTTTCCCATGACGCGGCCCGACACTCTGCCAAGAGATCTCTTGACCAAAGGCGTACAGACGTGCCTGGAGATCCAATTTGGGTGGGTTTCATCCTTCGGAGCTTTGAGGAGGTAGGCAAAGTCCAGCGACTCCAGCGACTCCAACCTGACCAAGCATACTGCAGTATTAAACAACTACTTCGGACTGGTTGCGATTCCCGGTAGTTATGGTTGTGGAGCCGGCCGTCGATGAGCCTCCGGTGGCATGCAGGAAGCATCCGCACCTCAAAGCCACTTATGCTTGAATGTTGTCCGTCCCCCTAGCACCAAACCCTTGAAGAGTGGGATTTGCAATCAATGGCGGCCGCGTCATGAGCGAATGGGAACGGCAGTGAATGTAATGAACGACGTTGTATGGCGATGCGGAGACGGCAGCTAGTCTTGCTGGTCTGCCCTGTACTCTAGATGTATAGTCTGGATCCATAAGGTAATCTGTACGGCTTGCGTGATATGGATTCCGTCCGGCCTATCCACAAAAGAGGAACTCGGAAGATGGGCATCGAGGATGGAAAGTGGTAATGGCATCCGAACCTGTTCAAGCTTACTGGAGATCCCTATCAATGCTCCCCGTTGATCGAAGAGGAGTCAATGTAACTCTGCTCCTCCCTTCCTTCTGCCGTTCGAACGCTGGACAAAGCTCCAGGCCCAATGACTTCACAGGACCGACGGGTCGACCGCTTCACCGAAAGTCCACCTTGGAGGATCTAGAGCTCTAGAAGAACCTGGGAAGTTGAGAACTCGCCCACAATCCATCCACATTGCTTAACCTCCTTCCAATCTGTGCGGCCGGCCCCAGAAGCCGGCCAGAGATAGCCTCGGCCGCCCACCATCTTGTCCACCCTTTGCCCACCCTTTGCCTCCCCCAAAAGCCCAGCCCCTTCTTGGATCGCCTATTCCTTGACGAGCTTCACATGTCTAAGCAGGCACGATTCCTTCAAACTTGCCCTCGGGACAAATGATGTATTCAAACAAGTGCCTATCGCCCACATCGGTACGTAAGTACACATCCCGAAAAATTCTTGGCAAAAGACACAAAAGAATTTTGTTGACCACCACGCAGTTCGGCCAACGCCGCTCTCCCTCTCTTTCACTCACACACATCACGCAAGCTTTCCAACTACGTACGGATGTCCCGCGCTCAACCCGCCATCGACAGCCCACGCCTGCCCGTTGACGTAGCTGCTCTCGTCGCTGCCCAAAAACAGCGCCACCCGCGCAATCTCGTCGGCGTGCCCGCCACGCTTCATCGGGTTGATCTGCCCGATCCGACCCGTCGTGCCGCGGGCGCGCGCCTGGTCCCACATCTGCGACGTCATGCCCGTCTCGATGAGGCCCGGGCAGATGGCGTTGACGCGGACGTTCGTGCCGGCCGCCTGGTACGCGCACGTCTGCGCGACGGAGATGACGGCCGCCTTGGCCGCCGAGTACGGCGTCGTGCCGGCGTTGGAGCGGATGCCGGCTACGGAGGCTGTGAGGATTACGCTGCCGCCCGGGGTGGGCTTGTCTGCCGAGGTCTTGCGCATGGCGGGGGCGGAGTGCTTGGCGGCAAGGAAGACGCTGTGGCTCTTTGTCAGCGCAAGAAGTCCCAGAGGCAAGTAAGCACACTCACCTTAGCGTATTCGTCCGCAGGTTCTGCATAAAGTCATCCGACGAGATATCGGTAAAGAGGTTATGAGGTCCGGTAATACCGGCATTGGCGAAGAAGATGTCCAGCCTGCCGTACGTCGTCATGGCGTGAGAGACGACCTCCTTCACGGCGCTCTCCTCGGCAGCGTCGAATTGGCGCGTGTGGACCTCTACCTTGGGGTACAGCTTGTTGAGCTCCTTCTTGTGGGAGACGAGGTTGTCGTCGGCGTAATCGCAAATGTAAATGGCGCGAGCGCCGTTCTCGGCGAATTGATGTGCTGACGCGCGACCGATACCCATGAGAGAGTTTGCGCCTGGGGTTCGGCTGTCAGTCTAGTCTGTCTGCTGTCGCAGGAGGTGGCTGTGGTTGACTGACCTGTAATGATCACGACCTTGCCAGGTACTCGAGGCGCCGCAGACGGCCCGGCGATCTTGACAGGAGGAGGGGCATCGAGCTGCTTGCCCAGAGCCTGAAGCCGCTCTGACGCCTTGTCCGACATGGTCCTGCTGCTAATGGTGATGATGGGGGTTTCGATTGATGGATAAGTGAGGCCAATTCAGCCAGTGAACAGCCAATCTACACGAAAGACAGAAAGCAGAAAAAGGCGAGGCAGTTGATTTGGATGTAGTGATCAAAAGCTATGCAAATGTGCGGCGCAATCTGTACGGATATGTTGAAGATTGTATTAAAATGTGGAGGAGGGAGTGGGAGGAGAAATGACGATGCGGAGGCCGAGGGAGCTCTAGCTCGAATTGGGGACCGAACCGAGGCTCGCCGGGGATTTCGAAAGCTCCCCCAGCTGCCACCTATATTGGGGAAACAACGTACCCCGCCAATTTGGTGCTGCTGCAAGTGGGGTCTTTTACCCCAGATGTTAGCGGAGAACACAATCCCCGGCCCGGCTCGGGACCACTTCTCCCGCTGTAGGCTACCCCTTTCTCAAGTCCATCCCTATCTGCCGATCCTCCAAGGTCGTTGTCCTCTTTACATTCAACATCCGTGTATTGCCAGGCCATCCCACTGAGAAAAGACTGCCAGTAATCTTGGCGCTCAACCAGTGAAAGTTTATCGGTGGTTTTCAACAACCGCTGGAAAGATGCTCCAAATATACCGTTATCAAACAACCGGATTTCGGTTTTCGCTGTCGCCGAGTTCGCTCTGACTATCACTCCACGTTCCCGCGTTATTTGCTGACATTCAACTGCAAGGCTTTCATGCCAATATCACTGCTCCTCCCATCCCCAATAGCCTGACGGAGCCTCAATATTACATTATGGATCGGACAGTCACGATGCTTGGTTGCTTCATCAAGTACGGGTCAATGCTTCATTTACATAATTCTACAAACGAAATGATACACTCAATCGAGTAGCCGCACTTTACCGGGTTCAGCCGCTGCCGATCCCGTGTAGAAGAACGGTCCGCTTGCGTCGCTGTGATGGGGAGTTTATGAACCCAACATAGTCGGTCTTGCCCTCCCTCTACGCAGTAGCCAACCCAATCTATGTCCGACGCCGACGTCCTAATTTGCAAAGGCGTGTCAAAGCCCCAGGTGAGGGGAGAGTGTTATTCGTGCGCGCAGCAGATCTTACGAGAGACCCTACTAGGTTCCTTCGCCTTTGACCAAGATACTCTTGGCCAAGCCGCGTTGGCCAAAGCCCGGCCAGCCTGTCTCGCTTTCCTGGTTTTCCTCCAAAGGCAAGTGAAATCGCAAATTTTTGAATTTCTGATAAACGCCTGCCATGCTGTACCGGTAAAATGATACATTGTAAGTTCATGCGAGTGCCTCCCAACAGGCCGCGACTCGGCTCTCGCACTTCCGCATGCTAACCGTAAAAACAAAATGTGTTGATGATGAGTCCCGACCAGAGTCACGTACGGTAAGCTCTGATCATGACTTCTGGTTGGATCCAGGAGCGACGCCGCCCGTAGAAGTCGCAGGTGGAGGTGGCGCCGGCGGAGGCGTAGCGGGTCCGGCAGGAGGGGGGAACGGCGGGGGAATCGTCTGGCCGATATCGACGCCTGAGCTTGCAGGCACCTTCATAGGGCCTTTGGGCATGGGCGTGCGGTCGGGAAGCTTCTCGCCGCGAATGACCTTCTCTACCTCGTTCTTGTCCAGCGTCTCGTACTCGACGAGGGCCTTGGCCAGGAGATCGAGCTCCTTGCGCCTCGATGTGAGCAGCTCACGCACCTTTTCGTATGACTCCGTCAAGGTACGCTGCACTTCGGACTCGATGAGAGCCTTGGTCTCTGAGCTGAGCTGGTTGTAGCGCTCGCCGTACTCCACGGGGCCTAGCTTGGCAGACATGCCGTAGAGAGCGACCATCTGGAAGGCCAGGTTGGTGGCGTTCTTGAGATCCTGCTTACTGTTAGTGACAATCCTACGAATTAATCTCGCGGGGTGAACTTACGCTTGAGACACCGGTAGTCACCTTGTCGGTGCCATAGACCAGTTCTTCAGCAAGCTTTCCGCCCAGAGAGGTCTCAATCAGACTCTTGAGGTCCCTTGTCGTGTACGAGTACTTGTCCATCTCAGGAAGATGTGCAGTGTGTCCAAGACTCTGGCCGCGAGGCAGAATGGTGACCTTGTAAAGCTTGTTGGGACCGCTCTCGTGGTAGAAAGACACCAGAGCGTGACCGGCCTCGTGATAAGCTGTCATTTCCTTCTCCTTCTGGCTGATGACCATGCTCTTCTTCTCGGCACCCATGATGACCTTGTCCTTGGCCCACTCGAAATCCGTCATGGAGACCGCAGCATTCTTGAGCCTGCTGGCACGGACGGCAGCCTGGTTGACAATGTTCTCGAGCTCGGCACCAGAGAGGCCGCCAGTGCTGGAAGCAATGGCCTCGAAGTTGATCTCGGGGGCGGCCTTGATCTTCTTGGCGTGGTACTTGAGGATCTCAATACGGCCACGGACATCAGGCAGGGGAACGGTAACGTGGCGGTCAAAACGTCCAGGTCGGGTAAGAGCCTTGTCGAGAAGTTCCGGAAAGTTGGTAGCAGCGATGATGACGACACCGCTGTTCTGCTCGAAACCGTCCAATTCCGTCAAGAGCTGGTTGAGCGTCTGCTTGTGGTAGGCGGCATCCCTAGTGTTGCGTCGTCCACCAATGGCGTCGAGCTCGTCGATGAAGATGATGGCGGGAGACTTGGACTTAGCGGACGCAAAGAGATCGCGGACACGCTTGGCACCGACACCGACGTAGACCTCATCGAACTCACTGCCAGACATGTAGAAGAAGGGGACGCCAGCCTCACCGGCAACGGCACGAGCCAAGAGAGTTTTACCAGTACCAGGGGGTCCAACCATCAGAATACCCTTGGGAAGCTTGCCGCCGAGGGTGGAGAACTTATCAGGGTTGCGGAGGAAGTCGACCAGCTCCTGGAGCTCATCCTTGGCCTCATCGGCGCCGTGTACGTCTGCGAATCGGGTGGTCTGGTTCTCGGCCTTGGCTTCGCTGTCCACTTTGCCGCCGGGTCGCTTGAAGAGGTTGAGACCCTCGACCAGCATCGTGACGACAACCAAGCTGAGATACGTGAAGAGACAGAACCACAAGACAAACTTGACCCAGCGGAAGATGACACCGCCAAATGACTCGTCTACCACGACGTGCAGCGGGCTAGTCGGTAGGCCATTGCCCTGGACCTTTGCGGTAGCCATGTTCGAATCGCGCGACCTCGCAGCCAGAGCCTGACCAACAGCTTGGAGCTGCGCCTGGCTAAGGTTCCCGGGGGACTGCTGGTTCAGCTCCTGACCGCCGAGCGTGCCGACATTGCCAAAGGCGGAGGGCAGGTGGTCGTGACCACCCATCCCGCCGACGGCGCCGGTGCTCTGCATGCCAATCGCCTGCGCGTATGCCTGATCTACCGCATCGTTTCTCGCGAACCGTCCAGAGTTATAGCGCTCGATGACGATGGCGGGCATGTTGGCCTTGAGGAGGAGCTGGTAGAATGCGTTCTGCGCGGTCGCGCTGCCGGGGTTCCTGTTCGCTGCTGACTCCCTTGTGGCGAGGAGGTTGCGCGAGATGGCATTGTTGGTTCCAAAGAGTCTGTACTGATGTTGCTGTTGCTGGAGCTGGAGTGCGAGGCCCAGACCGGGGGTCCGAGTGAGGGCGGTGGCGGTCGGACGAGCGGAGGAGGTCGCGAGCCGGAAGATGGATTGCATCGTCGCGGGTTGCATCGCTGCCCTTCGGAGCAGTGGGCTGGTCGCGCTCAGCGCCAGCGCTGCTGGGCGTAAGGCCATGATGCCTTGGGGGTAGCCGGGGAGGCGCGGTGTAGGCTGGAGCGCTTATTCGTCAGAGCAGATGACTTGCTTGATGTCGGGTTGGTGATGGTAACAAAGGGTTCTGCCGAGGGGAATTCCCCTTACGAGACCGAAAAGGGGAAAAGAAACTAGAAAAGAAAAGGCTTCTTCAGTTACTATCGACGTCGTATGTGCAGGTGTGATGAAGATGACATGGTTTGCGCCGAGGGTTGACTCGTCGTCTTGTTGAGAGCGGCGACGGGGCGGCGGGATATGGATACGTTGAGGCGAAATGCGCTACGGATACCTTAGCTGACGTTATTCATTGACCACGACACTGCGGTGCTGCCTTCCGAGTTTTTCCCTGCCGAAGGACCGCGACCGGGGGAAGCAGCAAGGCCAAGCTCCAGCCCCACGTGACGTCGATGAGATTCTAGAATGTCGCGACTGGCCGGTGCTAGAGAAAGACCGATCCGGCGAATACAACTGGTCCATTAGAGACAGGCAGGGGCATAATCCGACCTCATGTCATTGGTTAATAATCACATATTCGACTACACCATCTTCTCTCTCAGCGTTCAAGGTCATCATAGTTCGACCTCAAGTTATACCAAAGTCTCATTGATAATCTTTCATTGCTTCTGTACTTTATCTTTGATTTAACTCAGGAAAGACTCTTCGTCTCTCGCGAATTTGCGGTGCGAAGGCCCCTCTGTCCACACGTGCTGTCCCGAGACGTCGAGAAACAGCAATATGATTGGCCAAAAAGTATTGAGCCAATCATAAAATTCCCTCTCTCTCCCCATTCAGACCCCCAGAAACACATCACCAGAGGCAGCAGCTGGCTGAGGAATGGAAATGGATGCATTCTTCCGCATGCAGAGCAAATAACTGCAGATCAGTTAGTTTTTTTTTTTTGGATTAAGCGCCCTTTCCCCCATGAGTCTGTCACTGTAAACGCCCGTTTCCCTCATTCCTATCCTTCACCAGCAAACTCCCTCTTTCCCAACGTTTTGTTTGCCTTTCTTTTTCTCTGTTTCTTCCCTCTCTTCTCAAGAAAGCCGGGTCTTAATTCCCACATCAGCAGCACTAGGGTGAAAACAACTCACGAGGCTGCGACGATCTCTCGTATTCTGCCATTCGAAATGAGCTTCACTGGGAAGCGCGGATATCCCGGAGATCAGCGCATCTCACGAGCGGATCATCCGGGCTTCAACTTTCTATAGAAACCCCCGTTCATGTCTATACAAATCTCCGCCCATCTCAAACCCATTCGCCAGACAGACAGACAGACAGACAGACAGACAGACAGACAGACATCATGATGGGCTCAGCCCTCTCCTCGACAAGTCAAACACACCCCACGAACGACGCACAAAGTGACTACCTTGACGAAAAAGCCACGAAATGCCAAGAACATATCTCTACTCTGCTCAACTCAGCTATCATCACCACGTCCATCTTGGATGATCTGCATCCCCAGCTGCCGGAATAGACCGTTCAGCCCTCCCAAGCGCACGACTTACAAAGCCGTCTCTTATCAACACCCTCACGCATCTCATCTCACCTCACCCGACCGAATCTCCCAATTCAGGCTACGAACAATTTACCCATCGGAACCAAAGAAACTCAACACCACCACCACCACTAACATTAACAAACACGAAGAAACCAGGCAGACACCCCTTGAACTAACGCAGACGCTTCTGCAAGGCAACGTGTCGCCGGCCCAACAGCTGAACAACTTTCAAAGTTTTGACTTACACCAGGCTAAAAAGCTCCATCTTCTGGTCATGCGTCCAATTTCCCCTCCTTAGCCTTGATCGAAACCTGTCCGCTGTTCTGCTCCTCATCTTACTCACTCATGATCATATAAAGAGACGATTTGGACCGCGAGGTTTTGATTAACAAAGTCTTTATTTCTTTCCTTTCTGACTGACCAGGTATCAATTCCCAAAACTATCCCATTTGTTTCTCATTTCCCCTTTGAATCCAACACAAATACACAAGGGGGGGCAACACATAAAAGTACACATGCACAACAACTTGTCGTCCCCTATTCCTCCTCATGCCCCTTTCCTCCTTTTCCCTGTTGTTCCACCTTCGTCAACTCTTCCCCTGAGGAATACACTGTTCTAGGGAATGCGCCGCCCACCACAAGACAGGAGAAATCGTCGACTTCGTGCTGTTGTTATTACAGGGGATGTTTTGTTTTCCGGGTCGCGCCGTGAGGCCTTGAGAAAAAGCAACGGAGAAATTCCAAAGCTGCCAAACCCGACAAAGCCCTTCGTGTATCAGGCATCGATGACGGTTCCCTTTCTTTCCCTTTCCACTTTTACCCTGAACCTCCTTCCATCCTCATTATTGTCCTCCTCCTCCCATCCCCATGCGATTCCCACCTCCCCCACCTAGGTCGTAAAAGGGCCGTCGAGATTCGGATATCGTCAAATGATTCCCAACATGCCAGTGGCTTTCCCCATCCGCCCGACCGGCTCCGGCTGTTATGCTTTCGTTGCATCATATCATCGGGAACAATTTCAGTCGACATGGTCGATGAATGTCTCGACGAGAAAGGAATGTAAGAACTGGAAAAGAAAATATTAAGACAGCACAAACCGCCGTACCAAGCTCCGAAAACCCCACGAGTACCCGAACGACCAAAGACAAATTATGAACTCGAAGCGACAGAAAAACCACCAATGATATATCCAGATGCAAATGTTCCGAGTCGACGGGGTAATAGTATGTGCTTGACAAAGAAAACGGTGCCTTAAGGCCAAGAGCCACGCAACGAATCGAGGCGGGAATTGAAGCGACAGATCAGGTGATCGTCCCTTATCGACAAATTTGACGATTACACACGGCATTGCGAAGTATGTCGGCAGTGGGTTGTGTATGAGTGTTGAAACCCAGAAAACAAAGTACCAACTTGATGTATGCTTTTGGGGGTTTGATTTGACCTTTTCTGTTCCTTTCTTTCTTTTCGGCTGGATCCCTCTTGGCCCGTGAATATGGACCCAGGGGAGGGATGACAGGCGTGGCGAGGCACTGGGCCTAGAGGCATCCGAAGGGCTCATCCTCTTTTCAACAATCGACAGCTCGGTTCTGTGGAGCCCGCGTGGTATCTCCTTCTCTTTTCAATCAACGAGGTAGGGGAATATGTTAAAATCAAATCGAAGTCAAAATTTCCGGTGGTGGTACAGCAAGCGGCGCCTAGACTAGGCACCGATGGAAATGATGATTTGGTAACGGAAGGCACAGATGCCTGGCGTGGCGGGAGCCATCGTCGAATGGCGTCTGGCTCTTACATGTTCTCGATACGTGCGGACGGGAGCTGCATTGAGGGGTCCTCGAACTCGATCTTGGGGCCGCCCCAAGGGTCGTACACGCCGGAGCCATAGGTCGGCAGCTGGCCGATCGTCGCAACCTCGACCGGGGCCTGGTACGGGACGCCGTTCCAGTACTCTTCGGGTTGAGCCTGGGGCGTCGGTGAGGCGTATTGGCTGACTTGCTGAGGCGGAGGCTGCGGTGCCTGAGTCGGGATCGGTTGGGGGGTATGGATCTGCTGTTGCATCTGCTGGTGCGGGTACGCGACCATGCCGGCTTGTTGTTGCTCGAGGACAGGGGAGGCATGATGCAGGGCATATGTGGCTGCTTGGGTTGGCTGGTGAGTATAAAACCCTTCCTGAATGGATGGGCTCCGACCCGATGCTGCCGAGAAGCTGCTCGGGCTGCTTTGGATGGATTGGTTCATACCAGGTTGAGAGTACGGCACATCAACCTGCGGCTGTTGTTGCCGGGGCACCTGTCCGTACTGTTGGGGCATGGCCGTGTTCATGGTAGCGACACCCGGGTTGCCCTGCTCAGTCACGTAGTACGAGTGCTGGCCCATGCTGGCGGTTCGCTGCAGCATGTGTACACCGGGGTGTTGCTGGTCGTGGACCATACCGTGGACCTCGTGTGCTCCGCCTGACGAAAGGCTATGGCGGTGCGCGCCGTAGTGTTGCTGTTGATGCTGCTGGGGCATCGGGTAACCGTTCATGTGCTGGCCGAAGTCGGCAAATGAGGCAGCTCGGTGCATTGCGTGACCCATACCGGGGTGGTTCATGGCCATGACGCCTTGCGGAGGCCATTGCATGCCGGCGTGCTTCGGGGTCGAAGGAGACTCGCCACTGTCGGAGTCTGATGTGCAGTCGTCCAACAGCTCGTTGGGGTGGAGGCCGCGCTGGTGAGATCTCCTTTGGTGCTTGACCATCGTGGTCTTGCGGCAGAAGCTGTTCAGTTGATTAGTGTCAACTCCATCAAGTGAAGGCAAAGCCTTGTGGCTCGAGATCTACCTCTTCAGGCAGCCATCGTGGGCGCACTTATAAGGGCGTTTGCCAGTGTGAATGCGGCGATGTCTGGCCAAACTCGAAGACTGCGAAGGTTAGTGCCTGTTGGAACATGCCGCTGTCAAAGAGGAATCATACATCAGAGAATCGCTTGCCGCAACCAATGTGCTGGCATTGGTGAGGCTTCTCTCCCGTGTGAGTACGGATGTGGACAGTCAGAGCACTACGTTGAATAAAGCTCTTGCCGCAGCCGGGTGTTGTGCAGGAATAAGGGCGCTCGTTGGTGTGAATGCGGTAGTGTCTCTGCAAATCGGACTTCCTGTTGAAGCTCTACAAGACGTCGAGATTAGATCCGTCCATGTCACACCACAGTAGTAGCCGAGCGGCGCTGCGACTCTAGACTCACCTTGTTACACGACTGCCAGTCGCACTGGAAGGGGCGAGCAGTGGGCTCGTTCTCGACAAGCTCCATGAGTTCCATTTCTTTGGGTTTTGTTGTGTGTTGATCGGGATTACCAAGATGCGGACCGGTGCAGTAGCTGTACTACTTATATATTTCCGCGGTGAAAGATATTAAATGTGTCTTGAATTATCGGGTGATGAAGGACTAGGCCGGTATGGTGTCCGGAGCAGAAGAAGCAAGGGTAACGTGGATGGATGTGTGTAATATGATACTCTGGATCGGAACGTTGCTTAAGCGGGTTGCTCAAGGCGGGTTCTCTGTATGTAGACTCCCTAATCGTCGTTCAAGGAATGGCGGGTTGGGATAAGAAGGCAAGGGTGGTGAATCTGTGCCGAGAAGTAGGAGGTTGACGACTTGAGACAGGAACGGGTGCGGCGTCCAGCGCAAGGTTGCCGAAGATGAGCAGTGTTCGAAGCGTTGAAGACGACGGTGCGTTTAAGAACGTTGAACAATGGAAGAGGAGGATGGACGGATGATGTTTAAGAGAGAAGAAGATGAGGAGGAAGAAGAGGCCTGAGCTTGGTTGGGGGTGTTGGTATTAATCAGGCGTGGTGGCTGTGACGGGGAAAGCTGACACTCCTCTTGAGGTCGAGGGAAAGAGATGGAGATTAAGGTGTGTGAGAAGGAGAGTAAGGCAAGGTAGTGCGAGAGAGGAAGGGGAGTGAAGCTGGTAGGAAACGATCAGCTCAAGATAACCCAAGGTACGACGAACTGATGAAGGCCAGGAGGTAGAATGAGTTCATAGCGGGTGGGAGTAGCCTTCTTTAAGACAGCCACAAGTGTGGACGTACCAGAAGGTGGGAGGGTCCTGGTGCACAGGCACTAAAATTCTCCGTCTTCGATGAAAATTAGCCACCTGACTGGAGGATCTGTTGCGAGTGGTCGAGCGCAAACTGGTGGGAAGTGCTGATGTTGCTTACAGGACAATCCCTTCTTCGGGCGGCGGATGAGATAAGAAGGGTGAACCAAGTTCGGGCTGGCTTGCCGTGTATTTTGTTTCGAAGTCCAAGTGTCGAGGGCCGGCGTGTGTTAAGTTTCCGAGACTAGAAGCATAATGGTGACCACCAGGAACAATGCGATCGTCGAACCTCTGAGCGCTCAGGTACGGGAGACCAAGCGGATCTTGGACGACTGGCGTCGTTTTCTGCTTGAGGGGTGTCTGGATGACAAGAAACAGACTCGAGTCTTCTACCGGCAGCTTCCTTGCTTCTATTTTCTCGTCTGGCTTCTCTTCGACGACTCGCGCAGAAGTGTGCACAGAGCTCTTGATGGTCTCCGAAGATGAAGAGGATCCACTGCAAGATGGTCTAGACAGACGGACCGCGAGAATCACCCAAGTGGGGGGCCGAAGGAAGGTACTAGGAGGGACGTCTGAGGCTCTTCTGTCTCTATTCTCGTGGTGTGTGGTGAGGCTACTTTGGGAGATGCCAGGATGTTGCAAGTGTCGACGACGGTGAGCCGAGAATGGAGAAACCTTGGTGTCTGTGGTGAGAGTCGAGTAGTGTGTGTCGTGGTGGAGAACTGACGAGTGAACGACAGATTTGATGTTTTTGTTATTTGTTGTCAATCGACTTATGAAGGATGATGATGACAGCGATGGTACGGTGTTGTTGGTTTGAATGTAGTTTATCCTTAGGAACGACAAGGACGAGTGGGATATGCCCGGCACAAGACGAGTCCAAACGCAACAGCGTACTTTGGCTGAAGAAACGAAACAATGTGGGAAGTTGAGACGAGGTGCAGTTGCTTGCGTGTCGTTTGTGTATGTGAGAGGTCGTGGCGCTGTGTTATACTACAAGGGGCAGAAGAGAGACGATCGCAGGCAGGCCAGTCCAAGATTATCGTGGAGGCGTTGCTTTATGAGCGAAAGACGTGAGGCGTCTGATGAAGGTATATATTATCGGCAGCAATATAGCATTGCATTCAAAAAGAAGTGGTGCTTCTTTGCTCTGCTGGAGCGGGCAGGTTGCTCCTCCAGGGGCCCCTGGAACGAGGTATGGATTCTGAGCAGGGGGATAGGGGAGCTGTGGAGGCGTGGAGTGAGGTACACTCCTAGGTACCTGAGGTAGTACCGATTGGGCCCTTTCTTATTTTCGACGGTGCAGACGGGTAAGAGAGAGAGGAGAGGCAAGGCAGGGGTAGCGGTAGGGTAGGGTAGGGTAGTGGGAGAGGGAGGAGGAGAGAGGAGTAGTACCAGGAGGAGGAGGGTAAGGGTAAGGTAGGTCGAGTGACTTTTGGCATGTACCGTAACCGGCGTCGTCCTCGCCGGCGGGTCTTGGTGTGGGAGACGCTCGAGCGCTGGCAGGCCAGGTAGGGCCGGCCTGGTTTTGCTACAGAAATTGATTAGATCAACCGAGAGGAGAAACCACGCGCCAGACTTAGATGGCGGACGGCCCTGCGGGCGTGGCGATCCTTAGAACGGGGGAGTAGGTAGTCGTTCTGTGCGTCAGGTCGCAGACGTTCAAAACGGAATAGCCTCGATATAAATATATTATACGTTTTTGGGCTGACTGTGATGGACTGTCCGGAGGACGGGACAGAAGGAGTAGTTGAATTTGAAAGGAAGAGACGTTTGTTGGTGGGCTGATATTGGGCAAATGGGGATTTTGAGTTGAGGGGAATGACTGAGTGAGAGAGAAGCTGCAAGCGCACAAACACACACACCCGCAGGTTGAAATGATGTCTACTTTTGCTGCTGCTGTTGCTCGCTGGCTATATGCCGGGACCGAGAAGTTCGCACAACCCCAGTGTCCGAGCAAGTTCAACTGCACCTGGGGGCAAGGAGGCGGGAAAACGGGTGATGAGTGGGAGTGATATCCGTAGGTCAATGGACCCTCAAGATGTACACAGCTCAAAAAGCAGGCAAGAAGAAGCAAGGCCCCAATGTGACGAGTCGAGGCGGCAGAGTAATGATGAGACGCTCTAGGTATGCCGGTAGCAAGGGCCTCTAGTTTCTACTCTCCTCTCGGATCGCCTGTCCGTGGAGGTAGCCGTTGGCAAGGTGTATGAGAAGAGGGGATAAGTTTGCTTTATGTTGCAAAGAAGGAAGAGAGATCTGATACAAAAAAAAAGAGAGACACGGGTGTGGTACTGTATGTAGATACTGTACTGTACGGTACACCAGCACCAGAGGCAATGAACAAAAAAATAAAAATTTGTTGGTGACGACTTTGGGGGAGGGGGATCCTGGGAAAGCGGTGCTGGTTTGGATGGAGAATGAGCTGGGCTGAGATGACGGTTGGGGAGCGCGTCTGTGAGGTGAGGACGAGCGGTGTTGAAGATGAGATGTGAGGAGCGTTTCTTTTTCCACGACGTCGCTCTGCTGCTGTGTTGCTGGCGCTGGGCTGTTCTGGTGGTGGGAGTGGTGGTGGAGGTTCCGCAAGCCACGGCCGCAATTCCCTAACGAACGGACAGAGTCGGGGGTCTGTCCTCTGGGCAAGGAAGCACAGTCGTTGAGGAGAAAGAAGCTTCGGAAACCAGCCAGCAAGCGGTCCAAAGAGGGTGGGATAACGCGGAGGGGGGCCGAGAGAGAGAGAGGGAGAGGAGATCTCGAAAAGCTCCAGCCAAGTCCGAGTCCAAGATGATGAACAAGGTTGTTTAACGTGTTGGATAATCAAAAGAAGGTGTGTGTAATGTGTGATGTGTGTGATGGCGTCGGCGTAGATGGCGATGTGATGTGCACACAGACAATTGGGCCCAGATGTCGACAGCAGTCAGGCGATGTGTGAAGGACAGGCGATTGACGCAAGGTATGACTGGACTGCCGGTGATGGAGGGGGTTGAGGTTTTTTTTCTTAGCGGGCGTAAATGTGCGTGATGGTAGACTGCATGCTCCCAAAAGACGCGAGAAAACCACGATCAGTAAAGGATGTCCCCCCTGTCCAAACCGTAGGCGTAGAGAAAAGAGTGAGTCGAGGTAACGTCGAGAATGTAGTAACCGAAACCACACGAGAAACCGGGAACAGGAAAAGAGTGTGATGGCGAGAAAAGAGACAGGCAAGGCAAAGCAAGGGTTGGTTCAAACAGCAGAAGCAGCAGCAGAAGAAGAAGAAGAAGAAGATGAGGAGGAGGAAGAGGGAGTTCAAAAAGGTGTATCCGTAGAAGTCACAACATCACAATTCAAGAAGAGGCTTTTTGCCTTCCCGTTACCGGCATGCGGTTGCGGCTTCGATTAACGTTGCGCGGGCAGCCAGCGGGGCGGGTTTTTTTTTCCTTACAACAAAGAAAGTGAGCCCCAACGTTGCGGTTGTTTCCTTTCCTTTGTGTGTCTGAGGATGTTGTTGTTGATCCTGCCACACCAGAGAGCAAAGCAGGAGGTAGGGCGAGAAAAGAACCACACACATCTACACTAGCCGTCGCAGTTGCTGAGCCAAAAACGCTACTGTGGGAGTAGCAGAGGCAACCGTGATGGACGGCACGGGGCGGCCGTCGCATGAGTGAGAGAGAGAGAGAGAGATGGAGAGAGAGAAGCTGCTAGCCCTTGATCCAACAACGAATGTCCATAGTTAGACTGCGGATACATGACAATGTTTACGAGGAGCCAGTCGAACGTTTGATCGAGGACGCGAATGGAGTGCAATGAAGCAAGCGAAGCGAAGCGAAGCGACGGTGTAAGTGGTGCCCAACGCAAGGTAGTATGCGGAGAGAGCCTTTTCTCATTGGCGTCGTGAAATGTATGGTCAGAATGATTGACTACTACGAAAAGGTAGCCTTGCATCGCTTCCAGTCCGTCCCGGTCTGGCTGTCTCTTGTCTCCCAGTCAGAGTCGTCCTTTGCGGTTTTCGTGGCCCCTTTGGTGGAGATGGACACGATACATGCGAGAATACGTTGAAATCGTGGCTTTCAAGGCTAGACCGAGACCGAAGGCGTTTGGTTCTCTCGGCGGAACTTGACTGAGCCAGCCTCTTTTCCCTCTCCTTCTATCTCTAAAAAAAAAAAAAAAAAAAAAAAAAGGAAATCTGGCGATGAAGCCCGACTTGCTGTGGCCGTTCAACAACGTCGGATACCTATCCCCACAACTGCCAACCTTGCTGAGGTCGCTGTCCCATCAGGTGTACGTACGGACGGATACCCATGGAGCGTGGAGTTACGGATACTCTGTGTAGAAACTCTCCCACTTTCTCTCCGTGCCTAATCATTCATCAAATGGATGGAGGTGAAAAACTGCCAGTATGTATCCGTACCCGTAACAGCGTCTCCCTATCCCGCCCACTCGGTCGCAACCTTGCTCCATAGGAACGTCGTAATGGTGAGCAGCAAGACCTCGCCCAAGTGCAAGGGGTGACGAGAAACCCCCCACAAGTCGTTTCTTGCGCGAGCAGAAAGAAAATCCCAAGCGAAGAGATACCAAGATACAGGCGTGGAGAGAAAGAGAGAGTTCTGGCTGAATGGGGGCGGAAAGCTGATAAGTCACTTTTTACCTTACGCAACAAAACTGGAGTCTTGTCCCACGCCGTTGTCTTCTGTTATTCTTCTTTTTTTCGTCGTCGTCGTTGTTTCTTGAAAGGCGAGGTACAGCAGGTCAACAGGCACAGGGTTCAGGCCCCCCCCCCCGCCCCAAGGTGTGGGCGGGCGAGGAGACAGGGCAAGACAGGACAGTGGGAAACATCCAGCAGGTACTTGCAAGCCTGCAGAGCTCGCTCTCCCCTGTCTGCTTCTTGTCTTTCCTCTGTCTCTGCCTCTGTTTCTGTGTCTCTCTTCTCTGCATCTGGTCTCTGCCACTCACCGGGGCCGGATCCAGGGGCCAGGGGCTGAAAAGGGAGATGCGGTACGTACCCCCCAGGTAAGGTACAGCGTTCTGCGCACCTAAGCAGTACGGATAGGTAGAGCTCTCTCCCACACCCAAGCTGCACAGCTCCTCCAGCTCTCAGTCGACGCCTCCGCCCACGCCCACTCTTCTAGCCCACGCCTTTCCATAGAAAGAAATACCATCCAAGTTGTCGTCGTTATTGTTGTCCTCGTAGTGCGGATATTTTGCAGACGGCGACCGAGACACACAGTACTGGACGTGAGTACGTACTCTTCCTCTTGCTTCCTCCTAGATGATCCACCAAGAAACCTCCCCCCACAATGACTCGTCGTTTCCCATTGGAAACGCAACGCGCGCACCTGTGAATGGGAAGACTCAAGAGAGGAGCTGCCCGATAGCACCGGTGCATTAAGACCGTCGGGGGATATTGGACAAGAGGACCGAAAAGTAAGCCGTTAACTCTAGTAACTCAAACTCTCACCCAATGGCCGGGGACGAGACAAAGAGGCTGCAAAACAAACGCTTGCCAATCTCCTTACTCTCTCCTCTTTCTTCACACACACTCTCTCTCACTCATCCTTCATCCGAATATCAAGGAGATAAGGAGCCAATTTAGAGAAATGACCGAGAAACCAGGCAGAAACCTTCGTTCCGGCTTAGCCATGAGGAAAAGAGCGAGAAAATGAGAGAGACAGCGGGAGGAGACATGTTTCGCGGTTTCGGGACCAAGTCCGCCTTCCCTGCCTGTTCCCGACCCCCCCCCCCTTCCAAAGCCCACCTACACGTACTCAATCTCTCACTTCTTCAGCGCACAACAGCAGCTGCAGCAGACGCAGTATCCGTAGCCTGTAGGTACAGTGTTGGAACTCCGGACACCGAGAGAGTGAGAGGGGGAAAACGAGAGGAGAATAAGTATCCGTACGGCCAGGGCTTACAGAGGAGGACCTCCGCGGAAAGAGACCTTGAAGCTGTCTGTCTGCAAAGCCATTACTAGCGAAAGACCTTCGCCTTCAGGGACAAGGGCTACTGCGAGTGGAAAGGGAAGGGGAAAGGGGTGTCGCCCGAGAAAGTCTTTGCCAAGAACCAAACCTCCGGCAGGGGTGGGAGAGCATCCGCACCCGAAGGCAAAAAAAGGGATGCGGGCCTACTGCAGGCCCATGGTCGCCGGGGTCCCCTCCCCCCTTGGCTCCGAGCTGGCCGCTTCTGGGGCACACACCTTTTCTTCTCACTGTCTCTTCTTCTCCCACTCTGCCTCTCTGTTCGAGGTACGTAACTCGTCTCCCTGCTCGCTCTCTGTCTCCCCCACCGCAGACTGAGGAAGAAGAAAAAAGAGAAAAAAGCCCATTTTCTCACCCCCCCCCCCTTACCATCGTAGTTGTGGTTGTCTTCAGTGTTGCCGGCCCATCCCAGGCCCAGGATAAGGTATTGTGTAGGGTTGTCCAAGAGAATGGGGACGGCATGAGAAGCCGCAGTGACAGGTAGCGAAGGTGGTGGGGTGAAGAACGAGGATGGTGTGTCATGTTGCATGTGTTGACCTGATGCTCCCTTTTTCGATGCTCGTTCTATCGATGTGTACGGAGTGATACGAGCACAACTCATAAGAGAGTAATGGCATACTGGAGAATGGTGGATGGATGACATGTTGTAAGCTTTGAGACTGACGTAGTGCGCTTCAGTCAAGCTCGTGAAAGTTAGTGATCAAGCCGCCTCGAGAGGACTGGAGGCGGAAGATGGCAATCCAAGTAAACATCTGCAGCTCAGACCGAATTGAGGAGGCTGTCCTGGTGTAAAGAGTCTATCCTGCGGCCTGCCACCTTTTGCGCTGCATGGTCGCACAAACTCCGGTGGAGAGGGACGAGATATGTTGCAGCCGTAGAGGAGAGATTCGGCCCCGGCTCGTCACATAGTGTAGATTCCGGCCAGGTATCGATCGAATCCTTCACTGACTGGCCACCGCCTTACTCGATTCTGAAATGCGTATCGACCTTCTCCTCTCAACCCACACTCTGTTGGAAAGGCTCTGCCCACACAGCTCTTGGGAGTCGGGACTTATGCCCTGTGTCTGTTGCCGCCACAATCCGATTGCCTGCCAAAGCCAAGTGGCTCATCTCCTCCCCACTTCCTTGTGCAAGACTGTACTGCGTATGGATAGTGTGTAGTACGGATACCGCAAGCTTTTAGAGTTTGACCAGGAAATCTGCAGACGTGTGGCATCGTCATGTCATGTCAGCGCTGCCAAATCGCAGCCGCCCTTCGCTACGCAGCGTAATGCTTCTTCCTTGCGTCGCATCCTCGTCGTTCAGCCCGTCTATCGATGCAAGCTTGTCGCAGCTGCACTAGACTGCATCCCGCATGCCAGATGACAGACAAGAAAGCTTCTTGTCCTTGTTTGATCGTGATCCGCCTTCCCCGTGGAGTAGCGTAACTTCGCGGCGCGTTCTAGTTGTCCAAGCCGATGTGCTACGTAAATCCTTTTTTTGCGCCTTTCAAGTTTCCGGGCATCCCTTGACTCTCGAGTCGTCTCATGGTTTGTTGGCCCAGTCATAAGCTCTGCAAAGCCTCGAGGTCGCGTCGGTAACCCATTGGAAAGCGGCTCTTGTTGACGAAGCATATTTCAATCAGCCCGCAGCGGAAGGAAATTTTTTACCTTGACAGGCCTCGTACCCAGCAAACAAGCATCTAGGTTATTGCGCCCGGCAGCTGCACGCCCACATTCCAAGCTCTTATGGAGAAGGCTTGTCCCTGAGCTTGAGCTTGAAATAGAAAGAAAGATGAGGGTAGAGGAAAAAAGAAGGGAAAAAAGCGCTCATGAGCTTACCAATGGTCCCCTCATGTGCCCCTCCTGATCTCCATCCGTAGTTGTCAAGATGCCAGTGCCGTACGTACCGCTTCGACGACTGCAATGCTGTCGTCAACTTCGCAGGTGGAGGCTTCGCCCCTCATATGAACATGGCCCCTCCATGTCTGGTTACATTCAAACACATCAATCACCGGGTGTCTGTGGCAGCATACTCCGCCAAACGCGTGGTCTCGACAAGAGCCGTCAACGACAGCTGCATGCCGGAGTTACATCTGCCAAACCATTGCAGTGCAAATGGAGAGGTCGCAGTCCAGGCTTGGGTCAGGCCAACCGTAGCCGACGCTGTTTTTTTGCCCACTTGAGCCTGCGGTGCTGACCGCCCTGGTATCTCGTCACTAGTTCCCTTATCACTGGGCTGGTCTGGTTGCAAGCCCCTGCTCCGTTGGAGACTTGCCGACATTGTTAGCCCCCAAGAAACAAACTCGAATGCTGGCCCCCTGGCGTTGGGGGATGCAAGTACCAGAGTTCCCTTCGTCATCGTCTATGGCAGTGACTACTCCGTACTCATGCGCCGCCGGGCACCAAAAAGTGCTGCAATATGACCTGCGTTGTTTCAAGAGTGCAGCTCGGAATGGACCTGTCTTGTTAGCCACCCTAGGAATTAGCCCTCCTCATACTGACACACACTGCCTCAACATCGTCTAAGGGGGGGGGGGGGCAAGAATCGTTGGAGCTCTTCTCCATGAAGCCCACGAGAGGAGTCAAACAGAAGTAGTAATATCTTTGTGGGATTTACCTCTCTTCGATCCCTGTCAGATGAATATTGCCCTCCCCTCTCTGGCTCAAGATGCTGTCACGAATCGGAACGAATAGCTCCCGTCTCCCCAGGACAAGGCATCGCTGTCAGCTTGCAGAATCGCAACTGATCGCCAATAGGGTCTGACCTACGTCGTCGTTGCCATAAAGTCAAGATTCAGCAAGAACATGCACTGAGAGTAAGTACATGCGATATACCTTTGACTAATTGAGGAGCCCCTCAGCGAAGACAAGCTGTCGATGTTGCGCCTTTGATGGGCCCTGGCCGGCGAAGATGACTGGTACTATGAAAGATGTTATGTAGCCTTGCTGGAAGCAAAAGGTAGATTGTTGAAGGTGGAATAAACAATTTGGAACGGTTGCAACCGTCCCGCGCCGCGCGAAATTCTTCACCAAGACGAAGCAGGGGAGTCCATGCTATTTGTCAATCATCCTCAATGCCCAAGTAGGGCCCCACGGCAGCTCTGTTTTCACCTGGACCAGTCCAGTGTGGGAATCACTCTCCTCAAGGACGTGCAAGGGGGGCATTGGCATGACCTTTGACCCCTCCACACCTTAAGCAGACCGTCTCTCATACCGGCTCGCATCCGAAGTGGTGTTCCGAACAGGGGCTTGCTTCGTGGAGGGTCTGATAATGGAGACGCCGTGATTTTGTCAAGCACCTCGCTACTTCGTGAGGTATCTAGAGCTTGACTCGATCAGTGCGGGTGTCCCCTGTAGCTTGCGCCTCTCTAGACGTGGCAAAGCTGGGAAAAGGGGTCCATGTAGGCTGAGTGCGGCATGTAATCTACAAAGATTTCAACAGCGGCGGATGTGTGTTGAAAGTCGGCCTGATGCTTTGGACTTGTCGTGGTTAAGCTGGCCACTTTTCGCAAGTCGCAAGCCCATGGGTCTCGAACTCAAATGCCAATTTCTCAGGGGTGAACTTGAAGGCTAGGCTGGCAGCCCTAACAGTACCATACATAGACTGTTGCATTCCATTGTCCTAGGCTCACATTCACTTACTTTGGATGGCCTCATTTAATCGTCGTCGTTAGTGTCAAGCCATCTGAATCTGCGGATCATCATGTCGTTCGGTCCGTTTTGGTTCAAGCTTCGATGCCCTAGAGTTACCCCAGACTCTAGGTCTCTGGATTGGGCAAAGGCTGTAATATCCTGGGCCGGCCACCAATGACAGGTCAGTTTCGGTGCTCATTTTGGAACCTCTCGTTCATGCTCTCGCCCATGGTTTACCAACGGGTTGCGTGTTAAGCGGCACCAGGGCAGCTGCCGATAAATTGTGTGGAACTCAGTCGTAAACTGGTGCTGTCGTAATCGCACGTCAGCGTTTGCTCACTCGCGCCGCTTGAAGAATGGATTCGTGCGTTTATCCCAACGCTCTGATTAAGCCTCACATTGCTTTTTCTTCGTCTGCTGCCAAACAACCCCAGTGCGGATTACCTGCCACCGCGGCCACATCCCGCCGCTGGGTGGGCGTTAAGGTTGCAGGGGCCATAACGGGGGCTATTACTGGTCTGTCCCGGTGCCTCTGCGTACAGCCATGGCTCTGCTGTCCTTCTCCGCTCCCAGATTGCACAGTCCGCCTCTCACCAGTCTCAACAACGAGTTGTGATAGGGTAGTCACACCAGTCTTAGGCATGGAACGCCCCAAAGGCTTGACGGCTGTGAACGATAGGTTTAATAAGCACAATCTCCCTTAGAAGCCCGGGCTCATAGAATCGCAGCTATTTCCGATATTTGAAGCCTCAGATAAGCACTGTTAAGTCAGCGTTACTTCGTGGAGCAGCCACAGACGCATGCTACGCCCGGCCAGATATGTTGGCGCAAGCAGCGGCTTAGACTCATCGTTTCCCCTGTTCGTCTTCCCGTCGTACGTTGGATCTGCATCTGAGAAGTCGCAGGCGACAGCTACTTGTTAGAGACTAATCGAGAGTCGTCCTACAGTAGATTTTCGACAGTACGGCTAGGTGCCCGTGCGCAACAGGCGGGTGGTGTGAGGCGGTGGGCTGTGATAGGTTGCACAGGAGCGGCTCACCAATGGAGGTCTTTCTTCGCCCGGCGGTGGCCTGCCTTATCAACCCTAGTTACCCATCGCGGCCTTGCCCTCCTGACAGGAGTCGGTGGCATGCTAAGGCCCCGTTCCGATGGAGCCCATTGGCAGTTCCTTGCAGGTTAGGTCCTCCATCCGTAAGAAGTCGTGAGGTCGGGGCTTTGAGAAGCAGGCCGACCCTAGTGCACAGGGATGATAGCGCAATGCGGGATTCGACAAAGAGGTGCCGGGGAACCATACTTCGGAGCCGGAGCTGTTGCTGGTGGAGAGCTGAGAGAGCCTTGGCCAAAACTGGGCCATTAGAGATTGCCATGCACGTCAGTCGCAACCGAGCCAGCAAGGCAAAGATCTTTGTGTGAAGGCAGGATATCGTCGCCGAGGCCCCCACGGCTGTTGAAGATGACCCGGCACCAATGACCTCGACCCCATTCGCAAAATGATATTGTCTCGCCTGAAAAAAAAAACCCCCATGCCGTGTTGTCTAGCGCCTTGATGTGTGTAGGTACTCTTCTTTATGAGGCTGCCAGGTCTTGCTGCTATCGATAGGGCAATTCGGATATGGAATGGTGGTGCGGCAGACATAGCGGCCCAAGAAGTGCTTCTTTTGGTACACCATACTATCAGACCGGGGCGTCACGGCAAAAACGGCCCCGGCCGACCGGCTCCGGCACGCAGCAAGGCTTGAATAGCGTAGGAGGAAAGTACAGATGTCTAGATGTCTCAACAATGGCCTCCAATGTACCACCCACAGCCCGATAGTGTAGGAGACGAGGCGACCGCGACGAAGTGGGGCGCAGATGGTGAAGTGTAACACGCATCGCTTGGCAACCTGGTAGCTTCAGGGTAAGAAAGATGCTCTCCCACTCCGTCATCAACAACACGGTGAAGACCCGAGGGCAGTTAGGTGGGGTTGGGTGGGATAACTGTCCCTTGGATGGCACCCTTATGCGTAATGAAAAGGGTTGTCGATCAATTGAGTTGGAGACCTTAAAGAGCGGTGGGAACAATATGGCGCACGGGCGGAGGGGCCGAAGGCGATGTTGAGGGTCGTCGGTCGTGTATTGGCGCTCGTGGAAGTTCGCGATGTTCATTGATGGTTGCGTATTGAAGGGCGGAGGCGGGAAGCGGGAGGGCAAGTCGGTCCAGACACGGGAAAGAAGCCAGGGATTTGGCGGCTGGGACATGTGTTTTGGGGCCAAATAGAACGTGGCAATGGAGGGGGGAAGACAAGCATCATGGTCGTCGCTTGTGTTTCCTGTGGTGTATTGTGGTGTACGTGCTTCGCCTGCCCTCCGGGATTGAAGATGTAAACCCCCATCAAGATGGACGTTGTTGTTGGCATTTGGATGTGGCTCGTGACTCTTGACTCTACGGAACTGACTCAACTTAGGAAGGCACGCATTTACGTTCTCGCCTTCCCGCTCCGAGATGGCTGCGATGCAAGGAAATCAAGGCAGGCACTCCGAAGGCAGACACCTTCTCTTGAAGCCGGAGTGGGAAGGCACGGCTTCGTCTTCTTAACCGCACCTACAAGAACTCTGCGCTTGGAAGTGATCATGCTCCTCCTTTTCACTATTTCGTATCCTTCCGTGTGTTGTTGCTTCCATTCCTTTGAGAGATGACTTTCGGGAACCACCTGCATCAACAGAATCACTATTGCCATCACAAATTCTTCGAGTGCCGGTGGGAGAGGAGGTCTGACTTACATACCTTCCTTCTCTCTTGCCCTTTTTTTGCTCCTGCCTGATTGTGTGCCTCTCGACTACCCCGCATTGACCTGTCCCTGAGCCGTGTCTACCCTCTTCTGAGAGGTCCATACATTGGTGATTGATGTCGTTCATACCCCACATTGGACCGAAAAGGGTCAGAGTCTTTCCTTCCCTCGGTTCCTTGCAGCAAGGCACACAAGGCAAGAGGAAAGCACAGCAAGAGCACTCTGGATTTCGCTGCCTCACCGCCCTCGGGCTACCCCAACCCTCCCACGCTTTCCCACGCTTTCCCACCCCAAATCTGGCCGAGCAAATCATTGTCCTCCAATTGACCCCACATGTTGTGAAGACTGCAACGCATCCCACGCATATACAAAGTATTCCATCGAGTCGCATCACCAGAAAAAGCCCTCAGAGTGTCACCGATCCAGACATTGTCAGCTTTTGGTTCGAAACATATGCAGGTGGGCAACCTTGTGTTAGCATTTCTTCTACAAGCGTCTTGACCGTCTTTGTGATAATCTGCAGACGCCACTTGTGGCTCTCCTCATGTGGCGTTGTGCAGCAGCAACAGCAAGTTAGCAACCGCATGCTCTCCTTCGCACTGCATGCCATGCCGTTAGGTACCCCTGGCCCCTCTCAGATCAGACAAGAAATTCCCGAATGCTACCAAGGGCCCCTCTTGATTGTCTACCTGCATCGTGTATCGTCAGATAGTCGAGTCTTCCAACCACATTTCGCTCAACTCTGGCTCAGTACTCTACTCCTTACCACATGGTGATTGACCATTCTTTCTTCCAATCCACCTATTCCCTTCCCGTCTCCATGGCTTGTGGATGGAGACCATCATCCGCCACCAACAAACTCCCCTTCTCCAGTTTACGGGTGTTCTCTAACATTGCTTGCGCACAGACCTACGCCTCTTCTCCTCGATCCAGGCACGAAGAGAGTTGAGAAAGGGGGGTAAGAGAAAAAGGGTCACTACGTTCGGTCGCGACTGGGTGATCTGCGACCAAGATGCTGACGAAACGTGGCTGACATGCCTGGCCTGTCTCTGCTTGTTAACCGCCCCTCCACTGCTCGTCCTGATGTGTACGGCGAGCGGCGTGCCTGGCTTCCTGCCCGTGCCACCGACCGATTGTGGGGGTTGCATTCTACATGGACTCAATCACTATTCGCGTCCAATCTTCAGTCCCGAATACTGTACTCCGTATACTAGAACAAATCTGACAAGCAAATCGCAGTTCGTCAACCGGTAGAGACAGCCCACTTGCAGACTCACCTACTTGCAGCTGGCTATCATGCAAGCCAGTGTCTTCGGATCACACTGATATCCAGTGCGGATAAAAGTCTCCTAAATTCCTAGCGGTCATTCCGCCGTATGCACCCTATCCCATACCCTGGCGTTGCCAGCCTCTCGTCCAAAAGGGTAAAGAACCCGCAGAGGAAATGGCTAGTCTCGAAGGAATGAATCGTTTAGGTCGTTACAGATACTGAACGAACACAGTACGGTCGTCTCTCGTACCACTCTTTTGTTTTTTGCCCAATTCGACAGTTGGACCGGCGAGGTGTGCCTCGGTCACGTCCAGGCCATCCCAATGGGGTAACAAATCCATGAGGGGGAACTACTGCAGGTGCTAAGTATGTCCCAATGGTGGTGCAGTTCCTTGATTTTGCGTCGCATGGCAATTGCTCCGGCTACCACTTCAAACGCCCAGAACGCACCGCAGACAGTGGGCGCAAGGCTCACTCAACGGCATATTCTTCGGACTCTGGTGCCTGAGAATCTTAGTTCTGGGTGATATACACTGGATAGTCCGCAACGGGAAATGCCGCCTGCGGTCTGGTTCTGATCTGGTGACTGGAAGTTTGACGAAAGTCATCACGCCACAAGGGGCAGGTCCCTTCAACTTCACCCGCAATGAGGGGCATGGTGTGGACAAATGCCATACTTTCAAGTCGAACAGCACGAACTTGGGCAAGTAGACACGCAGATGCATGTTCACTCGGATTGGGCGATAGGTGCGGTAAAAAGACACGGCAGAGCAGATACATACGCACACGAAGACGCATATTTACCCATCACCAGTTTGTGTAGTTGTTCAATCATGTCTGAATTCATTCTGAGTGGCTCGCCCTGGCTCTGAGAGTCCTGGATGCAGGCTGGTATGGTATGGCTGGCTCACACCATCAACACCTGCTAGACTTGCCACTTTTAACAAACGGGGAACGAATCTTGGTGAAGTACCAATCGTGGCTACAGCCTGCATGCACCTTTCGTTTCAGTCTTGGTGGCAATTGTTCGGCTTCGAGACTTAACAGGATCATCGTGGATCCCTAGGATCAAGTTCCGAATGACGAAGATGAGCATCATGAGCAAGGCAAAGAAAGAAGAACCGGAGAAGACTCTAGCCCACTGGCCCTCACGTGGGAGTGATGGTCGTCCGGGATAAAACGTGGGACCTATTCTAGGTTCGGTCTTGGAAAGCCCCATGTGGCTGCTGCTAGTGTAAAACAGCAGTTCAGCTGGAAGCCTGGCGGTCTGGCTCCGTGGCTGGGCACAAGTTTGTTTGACTAACACTTTTCGAAATGACCTGGATGGACTGGTTTTCTTTCCGTACCATGGACTCTGGTGTCTCGAGGCCTTGTCACTGGTGGCCGTATCCATTGGCAAGGGTAGACTAAGAATTGAAGACCGAGGAGTGCGAGGTCAGTACCCGTACTATCCTTTCTATCATGACGATGGTTCTGTCCGCACCCGGGATCTCTCCTTGACTTCCCAGCCACCGCTGACCTGCTTGCAAGCTTGGGGATAAGTAGCTCCCCGGCGTGAGAGATGCTGCAGACTGCCAGACTGTGGTGCAGACTGCAGTTGGGGGGATGTGGGGCGGAACACCGGTCAGCTCCCACTTGTTCCAGAATCCGGCGGGCCAATGAGCAGACCCCGTAGAATCACTTGATCTGAAACGGGGCCGAAACGGGACGTATCTTTTTTATGGGCATGTTCAAGTTCACTCTTCTGGTCGTTATGAGTCCCGTCATCAATCACATCAACCGGTTACTTGTCTTTGCGTTACCTCCGGGATATGTATTTTGTGTGGAAGGTACGTACTCTGAGCTTTGCAGATACCTATCCGTAGGCAGGTACTGCATACGGAGTGAGGTAGAGTAAGTGCCGTATTACCTAAGTCACGGTAAATATGTCTCGTCCTGCCAGGCCTAGTGAGTTTACTTATGTAAGGTAAGCGGGCTCGATACCTGCCTCACGTTTACGTGCTGTATACAGGTAGATTGGGAAAGAGATGTACTCTAGGCCGTCGTGACTACCTTGCTCTCAGTCGAGATGTCTCAGGCAACTATCAACTGGGAGGAAAGAGGAGGGAGGTGTTCTTACTACGTGCATGCTCGACTAAACCTAGGCACGCTACCTACCTACCTTACGTAGGATTTCTGTCAGACGTAGCGTCCCAAGACACCTAGTTCTTGCCACAGAACCCCCCTCCGTCCTCTTCCTGCATTGAGCGGGCAACCAGCGGCTTCTTCCCCGAGGCCGCCAACGTGATGGAAACCACCGGATTTCCCAACTATCGACACTACTGACAACCTCACACACCACCACCACCAACACTACCATTACCACCACTACCTCCGCAACCGACCTGGACACCACCCTCTCTCCTTTTGCTCGGGGCAGACCGCAGACCGTTCCTCTTCGACTTTGATGACTGTCTGTTCACTGCATAGGCGAGGCCCACCACTGCGCCGTGCCGTGCGTGTCCTGAAAATAACCAGACCCGCCAGTGACAGACAATGATCCATTATCCGAGATGCCCAAGATATGGAGACCGCCGGGTCAAACACTACCAAGGACGAGTCAAACCAATGTCCACACGATGTCGTCGACGCCGTCTGCGGAGGTAAATGCTCTCCGTTCGTCATCTCGGCTGCACCGCCCCGTCATGGTTAGTCGGGGACGAGGAACGTGGTGAGCAGAAAATTGATCCTTCGAGACTTGACGCCACAAATACCAGATCGGTCTTGGGGAACGGGAGCCGCGAACAGACCTCCCAGGCTACTCGCGGCCGCAGCCAAGAATCTTGACTCTCGACTCGGATCTATACCCGTCTCTTCTAGACTCGACGAATGTCTCCCAAAAACCACAAGCGTATGTACGACAAATACGTGGTTTACTTCCAGAGTACCGCAACGCTCGGTACATGGCACCTAACCAGCCGTTCACATCCGAAAAAAGGGCAGATCTCAACAAACTTCATATCCTTCTTGGCTCCCACGTTACAAGTTCCAAGGGCACTACTATTCGCTGCTCATCATGGCTTCTTCAAGTTTCCACTGTCAGACACGTCTCGACAACAGTTTCCATCACACACATGGCATGGCATTTGTCAATCACCTCTCAAACATACATCAGTCACACACGTAGAGTGCAACTGTGGCTTTGCACTGCTATCGAAACACTACCCGATCTGCGACGGCCACTACCACAGACCATGCGTTCGCCTCTACTGTGTGAAAGGGCGTGCATTAGCTTGAGGTGGACGCAACTCCGGCACCCGGTCTCAACAGCAAACTTTACGCCGTCCATGTCGACCCGAACCATACCAAGGACTTGCTGCACCCGTCTGGGGAACCAATCGCCCAAGGATCGCCATATCGGAATCCTCAGCATATTGCCAGTCCTAGTTCAAGGTCCCAGAAGGAATGCTTACTAGACTGAACCGTTGAATCTCGTATGTCACTTGCGCACACTCCGTTTGTAAGAATACACGAGGAATGAGAACAGAAACCCTTCAGGAAGGTGTCATAGCGCGCGCAACGCGGCCCGGTAGCCCTTTGCAATCAGTCTTCTAGTCTTCCCCTGGGCCATTTTTTCGGATCATCGTCAAACACGTTCAAATTCTCGTCTCCGCCCACCGACTTGTCGCATATCCGTCCAGATTCAGGATCACCGTATTATGCCATCATTGCAGAGTAGACATGGGATACTGACCGCATTCCGCAATATATTGATCGGATGAAGAATCTTCACCTGGTAATCACGGTTGCGCCGAGCCGGTATTCATCTTCCACCAACTCCAGAGGCCCGCCATTGTCCGGGGTTGAGAGGGACCTTAGCATTCACCAAATATAGGGGTATCCGTACCTTCATGCAGGTTCCGCCCCTATGCAGGAACGACTGGCTCAGCCAATAGCTTTCATGCATCGAAGCCGGTGCTCCGTCAGCGTCGGCGTCAGCCACACACATTCGACTGGCCGTTTCACACTCTTTTTTTTTTTTCCTCCAGAACAGACTACCGTTGTCGCATAGTGCAAGCTTCTTTAAGGTCTCTGGTCTGACTAGAGACTCTACGTTCTTTGGGCAGAATCACCTACGTTGCGGGACACTCTAAGCATCTTTTGATATCGGAAACGGTTCTCGAGTAGTATGTTCGGCCCGACCTCAATTAGGACCAGGCCAGCTCTCTGCGTTGCCCAGCATTTTGATGTTGATAGGCCCTACTGCCAGTCATCATTGTCCCTTCCGTCTGGAAGGGACCATCCCTTCTCTGCCGTGGATCTCCCTTGTTGGAGCATTCGAGGGACCCAGGTCTGCCAGTGGTTGTATCCACATCTTATACAGGCCTCCGCCAACTCAGGCTCTGAGCTTCTGCTTCCACAGAGATCGTCTTCCGCCCATCCCAAGTCTGTCACCCGGGGGGGCTGGACTGTACCTGCGGCGCACGTCCTCTGCTATACGACCCTGCCAACGACTAGCTCGTCACCGCCCTGAACCCCCCCCCAAAGCTATCACGCCATTTTTCGTCTGCCGCGATGTTCTGGGATAACCTCTACGGCAGCATGCCCGCTCTACCCTCGCACGATTCTGGACAACCCTCGTGGAAGATCTTCTCAACATCGTACGGAGAGACTACACGAATCCGTCGCAATAGTCTTGCGGCCCCAAACATCTGATAGAGGTACCGGCAGGCCGATATGAAGAATATCCAAGCGGCGAGTGGGATCCACGGGGCAAAACTTGCAGCTACGCTCAGTCACACAACTGACACGTCTATTCGTGCCTGCCTCCATCTTAGTGCGTCGCCCTCATCACCAGCTGCATGAATACGGAACCCAGTCAACTACTGATTGGCCAAGGAGATGATTTCGTACCATTGTTTTACAGGGTCGCTCATGAGATATACAACACTCTGTCCTGGGGGTGCTCCAGATTTTACCAAACCGATGTTCGCTATGCCAGTGTCCCAGCGAGCCCGAGGCGATAATGACCAAAACAGGCCTTGGATGGAGAGAACACTGAAAGAGTTTGCGAGCTTCAAAAAGATGCAAATATCCCGATACAGGGCGTGTGACTCGCGATGCCCGCTCGCACCAAAGGGTATTACTTGACGAGGGGCTTTCGCGATGGGCTGAGCTGACAATAGAGATACGCGTTCCACGTGCCACCGCTTGGTCCATATGGAGATGGCTCAAGGGAATTGGGGCATCAGACGAAAGCATTACATGTCTTTCGTCGAGTAAAGACAACTCAGAGCGTTGCTCTCTCGGTTTCGGCGGAAGTCTCTGCGCCAGAAAGGCTGGAGAGGGAAAGTGTATTAGATTCCCACGCTTCGCCAGGACTACCGGTAGATTATTCCTTCGCCGCGTATTCTCGAGGCTGTGGCCGAATTACCGGTTGTTATATTGAGCCGTTGTTTCCAGAGCGAGCCACCCAGCACTGAAGACAACCCTTGCTGGGAATGGGCCAATTGGACACGGACGCATCGGATTGGCTCCAATTTTCGCCGCCACGATCCGGAGACAAGGACCTGAAGAAGATTCAGAAAGAAGAATGCACTGGGTCTAACGAGATTCCAATCTTCTCGAAGCTATATCTGGCGTGCTGCGCCAACCTGGATACCAGACGACTGGGAATTGTCCAGAGAAATGATTGGGGAAGCGTTGGGAGAAACTCGTCATATTGCATACAAAAAGACCCGACAGAACCAAGAGAACAATCACAACCGTTTTCCCATGATATGCCGACACCGTAACTCCGACTACGGCGGAGTCTCTATGGGTTTGTGTGGGCAGAAGAATGGAATATACCCTAATGAAACATGGATCGTCGGCGAGCGCAGGCCGCAGGTATGCCTGGGGTTTTCTCTCGTGGTCCGTGGCTGTATCTGTACCTGAAGATCCCTTCTCAAACAGTCAACTCGAGGCCTCAGTTCGCTGGGATTGGCCTGACCGCACAAAAACTCATCATCATCAATGTCGCAATGAAGTTAAACAATAACCTCAAACTCCAAAGCCGAGTGCGAACTTCTATCCTAGTAACCGGACGAATATTCGTTGAATCGCTCGTTGCCGGCACGTTAGCAAAGGACAAAAAAAGGTTTAGATATTTCGGGTTTGGAGAGCCGCTAGACCATATGGGCGGCCGCAGAACCAAGGCATCAAGGATCAAGCCCGCAGCCTCGTCAAACGGACTGTGGAAGAGACCGGCACCGAAGTACGACAGTCCAGCATGTCGTCCAAACTGGCTTCAAAGAGATCATCGTACAGTCGACGACGCCATCCTGGGCAACCCCTCAGCAATTCAAGAGTGTCAATTCATTTAGGCTGGTGGACCTTGGTCCTTGACAGACAAGTTCAGCAATTGGCCCAGGCTTATTTCATCCGTGAGTGCACATCAAACGTTGACAGCAACCCCCTTGGCCTTTTGTGCCTGCTCTAGGTATCCGCCGTGGCATTGTCTCCTTTTCAATGCAACCCGGTCCTGGACACACTGCGCAATCCCAGGGCAACGTTGAACTGCATGTGGGGGTTTCGATTTTCGAAGCCCACTTCCCTCTGTTGTGTTGAACATTGTACGGATACTGCGTACGCACTACGGAGTAGACGAGCATGGACGGACGGAAATGCTAGAGATAGGTACTACTTTTCCTCGACATGACCCGTCTATGGATAAACCATAGGCCTCTCGCAAGGATAGGCAGTCATCTCTCCGGCGCTACGGCCACATGCTGGTAGGGTAGTTTCCATGGTTCAAGGGTTACGAATTTCTAACCACGAGAAAGAGCGTCATGGCAAGCATATTTGGCTTCAACGCACGACATGTAAGTTTGGCCGTGGCCGGCAGGCAGTGGGACAGAACGGTGCCTTTTCCCAGGCTCGCTGGGGCGTGGAGCTGGGGCGTGGAACCGGGGCATTCCTGGTTGAATCCTATTGAGGCGCGTACAAGAACAGATATCGAATCACGGACACGGCGATATTGAACAAATGATGCCGCGGTGTTCCGAGACTGACGTTGAATTGGGCAACCGGCGGACAAGAGCAGCTTGGAATCGGCGCAATGAACGAGAACGAATTTGTGGGTTCGCAGTAGTTGAACTTTGCCCGAGTCACCTGTGAGCATTGTTGGTCAGAAGCGAGTTGTGAGTGTGGCAAGCCAACAGAACGTCGCAAGTCAGGCAGTAGGATGCAAGGGTTTGCCGAAACCAAGGTATCGCCTTCTATAACGAAAAAGCACGCCAACCAGAGCTGTCTACTGATGGCCAAGCAACGATTGGACGTTGCCCTAGAGCGAGCACGCTGGTAACCATTTAGTGTGCTTGAGCCGTTGTGCTTGGTCTGGAGTAGTGGTGACGTCGACCACAACCGTTGCAAGACTGCAGATTAGGGGGAGGGGAGCTCTCGTGGGCAGCACCCAACTCAACAAGCCATGTCCAAATGGAGCGACACACGGGTACTCGATTGGTCAGTCTGTTTGCTGGCTCCCTCGAGCCGGGAACCTGACGTGCCTGGGCAGAGGATGAGGGAAATTTCCGATGCCGGTTGTGACCGTGATCTTATCCAATGGCAAGGGGCAATGGCTGCCAACCGGACAACACCAATCCCAAGCCAATGGAAACCGCTGCATCATCCCACGCCACGACCATCAAGCTGCCCTTGTGCGGCGTGCCAGCCCTGACCTGAGCCATGTCGACGGGCAGCAGGCAGTGAACAACGGCCCCCAGGGGGACACACCAGGCCCGACTTGGCTTTCTCTGCTCACCTGTGCCGCGCAGTTCCATTCCTTCGGGTCTCTTGAAAGGGGCTGACAGCCGGACGGAGACAGAATACCTTTCACAGTACCTTGCCGAACGTCTAGTTGCCTCCTTTTGTCAGCCGCGACCCAGTTCTTTGCCTTCATTTCGAATCTCGCATCCGACTCCGGTGCTGGGCCTTGTTTGTCGCGAGCCGCTGGCCGTCAGGACTCAGAAGTCAGGAACCACTCAGCTTGCACCCTCGACAAGCCTTGCCGGACCTTGCCCCGGCCTCATCGGTCAAGGGCTTGCTGTCCGTATATGGCTTGCTTCAGGTTGTCACCTGAAGAATCGTCTTCTCACCCCGGCGAGGCAGGCAATGCCTGTCATGATCCACCCTCATTTCCAACCGGATCCATTGACCGCCGCTCTCGAGTCTCGCCTGACCTGACAGCGGGCTTTGCCGTCATTGCAGCAAACAGCGCAGCATGCCCTGCCCGGTGTGTTTCTTCTCGCTGTGGAATTGTGGCCTGAGCACGCTGGGCGACTGACACACGAGGCTTGCTACCGACCACTGAATGCCAGGTTCACCGCGTTACCTTGGATGGGTGTCAACTTGGAAAATACAACGGTGATAACTGCAGCTCGGGTGCGAGTTGCGAGATGCGACTCGCAAGTCCGCAACAGACCGCGCCTCTTCCATTGCCGTTCTTCATACACTGCCCGCCTGGACTCTTGCCAGCTCGGGGGGCCAGCCCCGGAACGTTGGCGGTTCTCCTCCCGCAGAGTTCTTCCCAGTCCACAGTCGCAACTGACTCGTTGTTTACGCGACCCTCCGCTAGCGGTGTCGCAGTGTCTCAACGAGAGTGAGAGATGGTTTCCAAAGTACCACTGCTAGGGAACGGCGCTGCAGGCCGAGATGCACTAGTGGAAGCCCAAACACTTCTGCTTGGGAAGCAGGAATCCACCCCATGGGTCTCCTCCTCTGCGACACTACACTGGTTGATGATCTCTTTGAGAAACAGCCCAGGGCCGGCATCGTGTGCCAAAAAACGAGGCGGTTCAGCGGCACAATTGCGCTCTTCTGTCTCAGACGCCCTGCCCAAGGGCGGCTGCTTCCAGTACACCACGGGCGCTACAGGCCGGTGGGTGAGCCTTGTCTAACGCGGCCGATGTATCATCAATGGAACCCGAAAGATACGAAGACCCCTCACTCCCACGCCAGTCCCTACTGTATTCCCTGACTTGCGTCTCCATACTAGAGCTAAGACGCTGTCAATGGCAACTCTCGCAAGTATCGGGCCGGCAAGTGTGCAAATCATGAGTGCCAAGAGACGTCTGGCACTGATTCCCGACTCGGCAGGCAGCGCATTCAATGGACTTTGCTAGTCATCTCGCTCAAGTGGGCTACGGATACTAACACAGTGTATTCTCACTATCGTAGCGCCGCTTCAACGGAGTTCCGGTGGCTAATTTTTCATGTGGGCTTGATACTCCTCAGAAACACCATCTGGCACAGAGCCATCATAATAAACTGCACAGCTCAATCTCCGGAGGCACCCAGATAGCAGAGAGATAGCTCCACGGTCGAGTCAAACACACAGTTGAACAGACGCGGGGGGACTCAGCGGGCTCAAGACATCCGCAACGGTACATACGGCCATCGCAGACAGCGCGAAGTAACGCTGAGAGACTGAGGTCCAGGTGACCCACGACAGAGACACAGGGGATGATGGGATGGGATGGTGTTCGAGGAGGCTGGGGGAGGACGATCCCCATCCCAGGGGCGCCCTCACTGCTTCTTCCACTGGCCAGTGGCCTGAAAGGGTCCTCCGTCCCCCGCACACTAGCTCCTAGCCAGGAACGAGCGTTCTAGCCCGGGTCCGAAGCTGGCGAGGCGCGCAAGCCAGGGACAGCGTGAGGAGGACTTGGTTGCCCTTACAGTTTACTGCGACACTGTTATCAACGAAAAATACATCACAACCGCCTCGCGGCTACATACAATGCAACTCTGCGTCGTCGAGCTAGTTCATACGCGGATCGATGGGGGTCACATCTCATCACATCGTTCGGCAGCTGACCGATCATGACCCTCAACTTTGCCCGCCTATGCCAAATTTTACAGTTGCATTGGGCTATCGACTGCTTGGCAAGTCGATCAGGCGCACGCCTGCTGGGCAAATTCGCGTCGATTCTCGCGGATAAAGTCAAGACTAAGGTTCGGGACAGCACGTCCAGACTGGACAGTTATTTGAAAAGGCCCACATTAAACAAGTATGGCGTCAACCGCGTATGAGACGAGTTGCGCGGGGGTGTGAGAGGGATCCTGGACGAGAGCCTCTGGCGCATTGATCAAGTATGAGGATCCGGGATCAGTCTTGCCGGACGGCAGGGAGATCGTCTTGAGCCTCAACTTGGTTTCGACGATGAAGCCCCCAAGTTTGCCGTTGATGCTGCGGCCAGGCCAAGACGCGGTATATCAGAACGGATGGAGATGCCCACAGTTTCAGCTCCATGAATCTGAGCCGCGCCCCAAGGCTGCCGAGTATTGGACGCCACAAAGACTGAGTCGAGATGGATAAATTATTCGGCAGACACGAACACGGTACCTTACGGATACACAATTGCTCAACTACGGAGTACAACACTGCTACACTGCTACAGTACAAAGCTTCACGGATGCAAAATCAAACTGGCCACAGTGGTCCCAGCTGTCAAGTGGAAATCAAACGCGGATCAGCCAGTGGTCAGGGAGTTGACGTGTGTGTACCCGTCAAGATTGAAACATCTTCAACGGCGGGCAAAGCACCCACTCTGGACGGATGTGTTCCGCGGGGACTTTCTCGCCTCTGTACTTCGTACAGTCGGTGTGCCGACATGGATAACGCCATTCTCGCAAGTTCCAGTGGCATGAGAATGTGTTGTAGGTGGGAGAGATCCTACTTCATACCCAACAGCTGCCAAACGGGCCGTCACAATTGCACATTGCCAACTCAGTGCTTGATTTTGACTACCGACGAGGCGCACTAGCTGAATCCAAATAAGAAGGCACCTGTATTGACATGATCAACGTCAAGGTCGTCTTTCAGAGGCGGGGCCAAGGTGATATGAAGGGCGATAAGATTGTGTACCGTGGAACACAGCTATATCACGTCGCAATTATTAATTCACGTCCGATAACTACAGCTTGCATCTTTTAATTGCAGGGGGAGGGGGTGTTGAGATATAGGTATCGGGTGCCGAGTCGTCATGAGACACTATTGAATCCCCCACTTTGAGATTTACGCCATCCAGAGAAGAATTGCTCACAAGTTGGACTCTTTGGAGACTTGGAGTCCATGTCGACGCTGAACAGTACGGATGCAGCATCAGGCCTATCGGAGAAAAGACGAAGACAAATACGACGGACCGGCTTTCCTACCAGGAGAAACCTCGTTCACTATCCTGTGCTTGACGAGCAAGTACAACGGTTCCCGGTCACGTCCCGCAGGCGTTCGCAGCAGGGCAAAGCGGGGGCAGGCCAGAGTATCAACGCGGAGAAAGAGGCATGACTGTCCGGCCATGTCATTTTGGATGGCAACTGCCGACTTATCGACAATGCTGCAAAGTCTAGGATATTCCAGGGCGCTTCCCGTCCAAGATGTAGTTACAATTGTCGCTTGCAGATGCCATTATACGAGGTTGAGGACTGACATCAACAAGGGGGGTTCTTTTCCTTTGACCATGCAGGCGACCTCCGGCTCTTCCAGCATCGGGCACGGCACGGCACCCTTGGCCCTGAATATCAACACGCTGGAATAAGTCTGGTAGCGGCATGCCAGGGGCTTGCAGGAGCTCTCTTTCTTCGATGTAAAACCGACAGCATGCGAACGAGACTGATTAACCCAAGAGACTCATCCCGTGCCCGAAATAAGGAGTCAAAGCGCTCGACTGGGCGGGTCGGTCAAGAGAGTCCATCTCCTCCCCCTCTCCGACTTATTACTACGAAAGGCATTGTTACCGCGAAAGGGGGTTCGTCTTCCCCGGAGCCTCTCTCTCTCTCAATCTCGCATGAGTTACGACGGATGATGATTTCTGCATGTCGGATCGCAAGGGGAAATATGACAAACTTTCTGGTGCGATGGGGTTCCGACAGCATGGAACAGTGGTCATATCGACCATGCAACAGTCCGTCACTTGATCGGAATGCACGTCGAACAATCTGGCAGGAAAGGTGCATCGGTTGGCCGAGGAGACCATTCGGGGGGGTTCATCGACTGGGCCAGCATGCACGGGAACCACAACCCGTACAATCACCATGCTGCTTTGCGGCGCCCGGCATGGCGAATCTGTGGCGCTGCGCCGGAGATCTTTCCTAACAACTCACGACTTGTCACAATGGTCTGTCGGGTCAGAATAATGGCCTTGTTGGCTGCGTGTCTCGCTTGAGCCCCCCCGCCGCATGTGCCACGACAGCCGTCGTCTGATGTGTCAGTTGAGCCAACATGAGATTCAAATCCAACTGCATCCTTCCAGGACCTATGGATTCGCAAGGCAATGAATGAGTGGCCATGACGAGTGGGTGTTGGTTCCTGCCTGCGGACGCTGCACTGACTGCTGTGTGTGGTGTTTACAGGCAACCTGGTGGTCGGTCTCCCGAGTCCCGGACGGAGGTCGTGGGACGATGGTGGATTCTCTTTGGGACTGGGCATCGACCAGTCACTTTGTAAATGTACGTTGATGTCATATCTGGGCACAAACGATGCCTGTCGCGCTGTGTCCTCCTTGCCTCCGAGGGAAAGGGAAAGGAAAGGAAAAGAAAAAGAAAAGGCTTTCGTTCTTACAGACGAACACTGGGTCCGGATACCACCCGCTGATGGCCGCGGAGGGCTGGGCTCCAAGAGAGTTTGTGTGTGCAGGCTCCGGAACAGCATCGAATGAGCCGAACGTCCAACGTTGAATATTCGACTGTCGAAACAGGGTCGCGAGCAGGATATGGCTGCGGCTTGGTCTCTTTGACTACTGCAGCCTCCTCCGCATTCCGCTAGCCAGCTTGCGAGGGTTTTCTCCTTACTCAGTATCCTCGAGGACTTGTCCCGGTAGTGTCGTTGATCGACGCCTGCATGCCGCCGCCGACTAGTCCTGTTTTTGCCCATCTTTTACCCAAGAACAGGTGCGATGAACACTTTCTCGGCGGCGCGGAATGGTCAACTACCCTCCCCGCGAGCCGCGGAAGCGATGCTATTGGTCCGCTCACACACAACCTCTTGCAACACCAGATATGACGGAGAAAGCAGCTATTGATGGAGGCATCTTCGAAGAAACTCATTCGCCTGCTCGACTCGTAACAAGACATGAGTGAATCTCTTTGCATCACTCGTCATCATTTTACTCTCATGTTTTCCTGGTCAGGTCCATGCAGGTTGAAGTCGCGAAAAGCATGCAAAGAGGTCTGTCCCTTTGCAGATCGAGCATGCGCGCACGGTAGGTATCACGTCCGGTTGCACCTTTTTTCTGGGCCCCTCGCCTCCTCCTCCTCCCAAACATTGCTTCTTCTTTAGACTGCTTTCTTTAGACCGGCAGATGAGCGTCCGGAATACTTTGGAGGAGCAGCAAGATTGCTGAAACAGAGAGATGACAGATTCCTCAGCACCCCGTCGACATCATCCCCCGATCCAGGATTTGATGCACAAGCCGATGGGTGCATAGTCCGCCAGTCCCTAGTCTCGCTCATATTCGGCGATGATATCGAAATTTCCCCGCCCTTCTTCTACTAGGTCCTACGGTTTCTTATGCCATCGAACGGATGTAATCGATCTTCACCGAGCCGGGTGTCGCACGATCTATTCTTTCATGCTTCGCTGCTATCTTGGCGCAAACCAAGTAGACTCACCAGATGAAAGTGTGTCTGTGAGACATCGATACGGGTAGAAGCAAGATCATGTATCCGATAGCGACGGGAAGCAACGTGGCCCACGGCCGGGTACGGGTTGACAACGTCAGGACAACGGTTCAAAGGGGAACCGTTCGTCGAGATGTGTTCGTTGTTTATGCCTTCTTGTTCAGATGAACAGATGGAAACAAAACAAACAGAGCAAGAATAACACACAGAATTGGTGTGGTTTACGAAGGACGGACGCCAGATTCCAGAGGTCAGTGGGCGACACGTTGTTTCCTGGGGAAACTCTCGGGTCTTAGTCTGAACCCTTTTTTTGCTCTATCTCTTCACACCTTCATGGTGCTAGTGCTGGCGATGCCGTGCCCTAGGTCCCGGGATCGCTCGCTCCGGGGGGAAAGCCGTTGGCTGCGAACGAACGCCGTCTGTTCGCGCCATGCTAGATGGTGGTGTTCACCGTGATGCCGGTGTTGAACACTTACCCGCGAGTGTGTGTGCGCGCGTGTGTGTCTGTGGTTGCCTGACGGCAATGACAAAAGGGACGTACGTTGGGGAAAGGGCTGCTTCGATGATGACGACTACTACTCCTCCTACATACGACGAAGGACGATAATGACCGTGATTCCGGCCGGCCGTGGGTTTGCCTTGATGGCGTGGCGTCACGGACAAAATACACGGTTTACTTTTTCAACGCACAGCACAGAAGGAGCGTTACAACGAGAATCTTGCCGTTTTTCTCTTCCCGCCTTAGATCTGGGGAAGTCCATGTGGCAGTGTCTGTTCGACAAAAAAATTCCAATTTTCTTCTATCCCGTCTGTTCCACCGCCGCGCGCGCGCGCGAGCGCGAACATGGCGTTCGAGCAAGCGGGTTGCGCTCGTTCCTGGTGTTCGCGCTGATGAAAAAGGGCGCGAAGAAAAGAAGAAACGAACCGAAGGAACGAGCCGCATGGGGCTCAGACAGCAAGAGGTATTCTGGCTCTCAGACTCAAAAACCAGGAACGCAACGCAAACAAGAGATGGATCTTCCGTTATTTTGGCAAAGATCTGGCTTGCCGCTAGGCTGGGGCTGTTCCGCTCTACTGCACGTACTACTTTGTACGTGCGACAAAGTAGGTGTATGTGTAAGGCAGGTACCGTACGTGCGTGTGGCGCGATATAGGTGGCTCTGACGCCAAAAATATAACCCGACTTCACACACCTACTTTGCTTGATGAGTACCTATTAGTGAGTGAAAGCTGATCACCTTTACACACAGATATGTGAAGAGGACTGAGCGTGGGAGTGGGAGAGGGAGAGACGTGAGGCACGGATTACGTGGGCTTCCATCACCTTCCTGCTCGACCGCAAAGGAAAAACGATACGAACAACACATCAAATCCACTCCCACACTCCCATATCAGCCCGTTCTTGACAGCATCAAAGCAACGACCTTGCGTTCGTTGAACGACATACGCAGCAGCAGCAGCGCGCGGCCCTTGTGTGTTCTTCGTAACTCGGTCCCTTTCGGTCGTCCCATCAACGGGCATTCGACAGTAAAACTATATCGGTCTTTTATCTTGGAGAGGATCTAAGTTGACGAACGCCTCGCTTTCTCGGTTCTAATCTGTTTTTGCCTCTCTCTCTATCTTCGTCTCTTCCTGCCGGTTCTACTTCGCCGTTTCGTCTCCGTGCCCGTTCTTGGTTTGCCCTACCGGACTACCGTGCCATTGTTTCCCTCCGTGCTCCTCCTCCTCCTCCTCCTTCTCGTTTCTGTCTCTCACCCGTCTTCCACATTGCCAGCAATGTCTGTTCTTTCGTAAACTCTGTGCTTCCCAAGTCACCAAGTTTCCATGGATATTCAATGTGACCTTCTTCCTACTCTTCCCCCAACTTCCCTTCCGTGCTCCGTAAAGTCCGTTCGTATCGTCTCTATACACGCCCCCCTCCCTCCCTCCCTCCCTGCGGTAAAATCCCAACATTTCAGCTCGCAACGTTCGTGATCTTCACCTCGTTAGTTCTATCGATTACATTGATCTACCAAAAGGGAGTATCTTGCTCGGTCCTTGGGGCCTGGAAACCACAGGGGAACCAAGGAAATGCCAATATCAGAAATCGAAACGGGCGAACCAAATAAACCAGAACCAAGTAAGCACCAAACTTTACTTTACCAAGCTGACGATATAGCCTTTTTTTTCCGTGGTTCTAGTCCCCCAAAAGACCGGACCCAAACTCTCTTCTTTGTTGTCTCTCTCTCTCTCTCTGTCTGTTTCCCCCTCACCTGGACTACCGGTAGATCATCAATGGCATTGTCAAGTTTCTGCCCTGCGCCTTATCCAAACGTACCGTACCACCTTACGAAGTTCCCAAAAAAAGCTTAGCCATCAATGTACAATGTAAATCTCTCATCACAAAACCCTAGATCCCTTACTTCCCCATGTCCAGTTTTTTTCCTAAACAGGCAGTGATCTCTCACTCTCTTGGACCCCTTCTCTGTCTATCCCCCACACATTGGAAATACTCCGAGGGGAAAATATGAACCGCGAAAAAAAAGTGAGGCTGGTTAAAGAATCACGGTATTACCTAAACCCCACGCCCGACCGAACTTCAGGCCTGCATTTTTCATTTGAATTTTTTCGTTTTATGCCAAGCCCGAAGATCCGCTGGGGACATCTTTTTACGTTACCGCACATTATCTCTCTCCCCCACGCGGGAGACCGCGCGGGCGACTGCGGGCGAACGCGGGTCGACGGGGGCACGAGCGCCGAAGAAGGGGGGGGACCCTCATCGGAGTGGGTTCCCGCCCGGATATCTCACGGGGGTGTGTGTCGGTCGCGATGATGGAAGGAAAAACATTGCGGTAAGGGTGATTGAGTTTAGATAAGTTTGGAAAAAGACAAGTCTTCGTAAGATTGACAACGATGATGATGAATCGGGTATAGATGGTGACCAAATCTCCTGCTAGGATTATGACGAAATACCCCGAATAATTCTACCAGAAGTGCCGTAATCCTTACCAGTACTCCGTAGCACCCGCGGTACAACATCACGAGAAAAAGATTGACACAAAAAGTATATTTTGTACCCTTCAACCTGGATGGTTCTATTTTCTGGGAAATTCTGGCAGGGTCTTGCCGGCGGCAGAAGATCGTGAGACGACACCAAGTGGTTCCTCCTCTAGGCTTTACCATTTCCCCTTATTTTTGCACCTGTGCGTAGGAGAGAAAGCGCGCGTGGCGGGCGCTCTCGCGCCGGATTGGACCACACACACACACAAGACTAACACGACGCCCCCCTTTCTCAGCAGCTATTATGTATACCATGTCTCCTATCAGAAAGCCACAATAGCGAAGCTACGGGAGGAACGGCGTGACCAGAACGCTCAGACGGTGGAGATTATAAAGGAAAGCTCCGTGGCTCCGTACGGAGCGGACGGGCTGAGATATCTCAGAAGGGAAAGGAGGAAAACGTGGGAAAACGTGGATGCATATCGGCCGACCGCAACGTCTAGCTCGACCGACGGAGATGGATTGGATGGATGGGGGCCGCGGGCCATGGAGATGAAGATGGAGATAATCGACAGCTAAAACAAAAAAAGGGGCCGGGGTGGGAATCGTGACTAACGGCGATGTTGCCATCAATGGCAAAGACCACAAGAGGCAATTTTTTCGACTTGAGAAAGTTGCCTTCTTGAATCATGAGCGTGGCCATTTTCAACGTCACCGGAGCCGCGCGACGTTGCAAATCTCCCCAACTTCTGCCCAGCTCCGCCTGCCGGAAGAACCGGCGGAGCGGCGATTGTCGCTGCACGACTCAAGTTGTCGCCTCCCTCATCCGAAGCTATTGTCGAAGCTGACTCCGCAAAACCCGCGAGGCGCAGTAATACTACTGATAACTCAAATCTTGTCAGTAGTCTTTTTCTTTTCTTCCTGGTGTTCTGGGCCCGCCGTTCCTCTCTCCAAACATCCGATGTGTGAGCGTCAAGGCCTGCGACTCCTACTACTCCTCCCTCTCACCTTTCGGTACGGGGAGGCTGGACTTGCATACTCAACCAAGTCAGGACCCCGGTTTACAGCTGGTCATGGATGATCCTAATCATGCTGCCTCTTTGTTTTGCTGCTTGCGAACAAGATGAGAGCTGGAAAAAAACAACAACGACAACTGGCAACACGAGGCAGGCTGGTTTCACCAGCCGTCATTGTCTGTGCTTGTTCATCCAGCTACAGATACGCCCTCTTCGTGCCGTGATCTTCCATGATTAGCGTCGGTCGATATGCTGGTAGGTTATGGGTACGTATCGCAAAGTGATTGCTTTCCTTCTCCATTTTTAAACCTTTTTTCTCTCTGTACCCCTTGCTATTCTCCTTGCTTATTCTCTTAGTGTCGATTAGGCAGGTTTCGCTAGGCCTTTTGGGAATATTTTGGATACGTCCTATGAGGTCTCCCGAGTAGTGCGCAAGGCTAGACGCCAAAGGGGGCCGCCGTCGGGTTTGCGTGAGGGTCACTAGAGCTCGCGTTAGCTCGTCCGACTAATGCCGCTGCACGAATTCGTCCGGTAGGTGCAGACCGCTCGGTCATGGTTCGTTTGGCAAAACCGCAACTTGGCTCCGTCGAGACAGTCAAGGCAGCAAGCACCGGTGCCGATCTCCGGTGATAGGGATGAATTTGATAATGGGGTGAGGTTTTGGCTCCCCCGAGCCAAAAGTCGTTACTAGCACTTGGGCTAGGCAAAAACGTAAGTGTGCTGACAGGAGCCGGACCGACATAGGGCCAAGCTTTTCCTAATCATTGCTGCAGGCTTCCCCCATAGCTTCGTCTATCATCTCCCAAGACTACCTGAAGACAAGGTATCTTTGCCGGCCTCGACGAATATGCCCCCTTCTGCAACGCTCGAAGACCCTGGACCCCCACAGCAACCTGTGGAAACCTGAAATAGGCTCAACTGACCGACACTGATCAGTGGTAAGGATATCGTATCTGCCGGAGGCATGTCTCTCCCTTCTGTTCCCGTGACATGAAGCGCCCGTGCGAGCTAGGTTTCTCGAGAGGCGCAGTTGGCACGAGAGAGTGCCAGGAACGCTCGCAAGCCATGCGGGGGAAGACAACGATCTAGCCACCCAGGCGTATTCGGCCTCAAGTTCGTCTTGTCATTCCCCCTCTTTCCGTTTCCCTACGAAACCGGATGGCTCGGACGCGACGCTGGTAGACTGATGACGGGTAATCCCTCTCTCTCTCTCTCTCTCCCTCTTCATCTCACTAACACTGTTTCTTGGATTCGTCCCATAGCTTGCAGTTGTTAGCCACCGAGCAAAGAGGGAGAACGGCCACAGGTTAACCCGTTGGTATTCTCAGCTCCTGGGCGAATGGGCGTAGATAGCGCCTACCATCGCACCACGTCTGTTCGCCGAAAGACTGTGCGTCGCAGGGAGTGTGTTAGACACTACCCTTCGTCCGTGGGTACTGCGTGTCTCAGCTCAAAGTCCTTCATATGGTTTTCCAAAGTAAAGGTCGTTTCCCTAGGGCTGCCAAAGACATCGTTACAGGCGCCTCAACTACTTGAGCTAGAAGGCAAATGCTTTGGCTACGTACCCGAGGTCGAGATAGTGGACGTTGTGAATCTGACGAGCATTTTGTTGCAGATCTCATCCATGTCTCGCCCACAACCGGCCAAAATAAGCTCCGAAAAAGGTCGTCACAGTTAGCGTTTATGCCGCAAGCTCAATCCATGCAACGCCCGAGTCTAACCAAGAAATCTTCCGAACCCTCTCAGGAAAGTATTGGATATTCATGCGGAAGGCGAAACTCACAGCCTCTTTTGCCTCCTCTCGCAACCTTTGTCAATATGTTGGAATGACTTTTCGGAGGGTTACTCTAGGATTGGTAGTTCGGGGACAACACCGCCCTTCCTTGCGCGGCTTTCAAATCGGCTGTCCAACGCAATTTCCACAGCCTTACGCTGCCAACATCTTCTTCGCCGTTGCCTGAAACCGGTGCGAAGATGTCTGTCTTAGCTAGAACCCGGTGAAGCAGCTGTCAGGTTTGCATCGCATAGGTAGCAATAGTTCACTCCAAGGTTAGCTTTGCTAACTATCGTGATTAGCTCAATCCCCCCAAAATAAAGTCTAGTCGAAACGGAAGCAAGGAGATTCCCATCCCCTCCAGCGGTGTATAACGATTGCCGTTGGCTGCTTACTGACTGACCGCTAACTCCTTCCTGGCATTACTGCGGCGCTGTTAGGTCACCATCTTCGAGTCATTTAGCGGCAGTCAGTCGCAATTAGTGAAATTCCTGTGGACTTAAGGCCCGTTGTGCAATTTGCATCACCAAGGGGAAGTCATACGCAGGGCGCTTCTGGCGACAAGTTGTCTCGGTATTCAGAGTTGACCTGGGTAGCTGTCTGTTTTGAGCCTCGTGCATGTGCTAGATTGTTGAAAGCGTGTTTCGTTGACACCCCCTTGTCGACTTGCCAGGTACTGCAGACAAGGAGCTTCAGCAAACATCCCAGGTCATCCAAGGGGGATCCTGCGGAGCCAAAATAGCAACTTCTGGATGGCCAACAACTAGGTTTCTCGTTGTCTTGCATATCCGAAGATAATCGGCCAGGTAGGGTCTTGTGACATTGCAGTGGTGAGTCTCCGTATGTGAATCTGGGAGCATAGTCTCAGTGACGCCTCATCCTGCAAGCCCCGCACCGCATCCCCGGCCTCCCGGGGTAGTGAGAAGGTTGTCCTTCACCGACTCAGGACTATGAAGAGCTTGTGATAATTCCGCAGTGGATTCTTGGGCTATCCGTCAATGTCTCAGAGTTTGGAGAACGGCTCCTTTGTCGAACTCATGCTAGCACAGCTGGCTAGACTTATTGGAGTATCTTTCCGTAGAACTTGTTGTCTGTATCCTC